CCCCCGAGATGACCATGCAGTACTTTCAACAGACTGGCATGTTCCAGGGCATGAGCATGATGGGCCCTGGCCTCACTGGAAACGACTTTGGCACCATCAAGCCCCACGTCCTGTCTGCCGTGTCCAACCCCAACGTCATGATGGGCTTGAGCGACCCCATGATCTATAGTGGCTACGACGATGAGTCGATGCGACTGTAAATGAAAGAACAAGACGAAAAAAAAAATTACAACAAAAAAAAAAATCTTGATAGCGACTTTTTTCTTTGGGTTCGGGCGGCAAAGCATTCATTTCAGTTGTACCAATGTGTAATAACATGGTTCTTGACGTCTTTTATGTTACGACTTATTCAATTTCATGGCAAGCCCACACTCATTATTCATGCATAGTGTGGCCTATGGGGATATCCGACACCTTCAATTCTTAACGATCACTTTTTTACATCTTCTTCATGTGAAGCATTTCTTTCTTCTTTCTTCCCGCATAATCTTGTGGTGTTTTCATGGAGTTTCGGACAGCAAAGGATTTTGGGATATAGAACGTTTTTTTTTTTTCTCTTCTATTTATTTGTCTTTTTGGGAAGAAAGAGGGGGGAGTGTGTGAATACGGCGGGAGGCAAAGGTCGGATCTACTTGACTATATGGGAGCATTTACTGGGATGACCACTTAAGCAAACAGAGCTTTTCACAACCATAGAACGATGGCACTACGGTGTCACAGCCTGAAGTAATTCAAAACAAAACATAAAGGAAAAAAAAATATTCATCTACTATACACATTGATTTGTCATTCGCTTGCTGTGATCGTTAATTTGTCAATTGCATTTTTTATGTCTTATATTTAGTCCGAGCTAAGACGCCATTTATGGCATGTTTGATTAGAATATCGTTTTTCATTAGCCTGGTCTATTACTATTCTTGACTCTCGGTATACTTACGTGCAGCGCAGGCGTAGGGCTTACATGCTTCATTGCAGCAGCCTCAATTAGCCCAGCTTCTCTGGGCGCTGAAGATGGGGCCTTCTTTTTCAACATCTAGAACTTGTTTCTACTCAGACACGTCACGGGCAACGGCACGCGCACCCCCTAAAGAATCGACGTCTCATAAAAAAAAGGGGATCTGTCACGGAGATTTTGGATGAGCAAAACAGCCAAGCCCCCTCAGCCACACATGCGTTCGTCAAGCTTATTCGTCTAAATACCCAAGATGGCCCTAGTTTGATTATTGGTTTTTCCTTCGGTCTCGGGGGGATCGTATAACTGCTAGTTTCTGCGGTAGGGATTTGTGTCTCGGGGGGGAACACGCAGTTGGGATTATGGTCTAGGACCAATGTGAGCATTGGTGCTTGCACATGTGCATTAGGGGGTTTGCCCGTAAAGGCTCGTTTTTTCCTAAATTTGAAATTGTTCTATCAAATGAGCTTTTTGCTGCTTGTTAATACAAATTTTTTTTCTCCGCCCTAGGAATATTTTGTGCTCGGGGCTTTTCTTCTGCTTTGATGTCTGCAACATCCACTTTCGGGCAATGGTATCGGAGTTTGTCAACAAACGCAGCATGGTTTGTCATCCCACTTTTTTTTTTTTCACGGATTGCCGAGAACCCAGTGAGAAGGAATTCCTTCCATGATCCCACCTCTCATTCTTTCTCATCTCAATCTCATCTGGCCTTTGTTTCCCCGCTACTGCTGTAACTTGTATCAGAATCGGCACACGCCCAGAACATGGGGGAGGCAAAATGAGGCACACTTTTGGTAAAATTACGTGTAAGAGAGAGACAGCCGATGGAGCCTTGTGTTACGGTAGCAGTGCTATGGAGATTTCTCTTTTTGTTTTTTTTGTCGCCGTTCGATTTGACGTTATTATCCCCGTGCCTTATACCCAGACCAATGTCCGGAGCTATCTACGAATCCAACGATGTGACCCATCGGAGATAAAAAAAAAAAACAAGAGCAAATATTTCAAATTCGAGAACGGAGCAAACACAAGGCTAGCTAAATGAAAGGGAAAAGAGCCAATGGAAGACGAGATGAACGATAAAGGGCCATAGAAAGAGGATTCACGAAAAAAACTGGCCCCCGGCGTGTCAAAAAAGTTTCCGCCGCTGACAAAACATCGAAAAAAACGGAGTAAGGAATTAATCTCGTGAGCTCCAAGGTCGGAAATATCCATCAGCAAGCAACATACAAAGCACACAAGCTTAGCAGGTAGCACTAGCTAATCCATCACTAGCAGGAGCGTTTTTCCAGCGGGGTTTTGTGAGTGTGTGATTTTCAGCAGTTTCCAGTACACATGGCGTCGGCGCCTAAAGAGCTGCTTTGGCCTGGTACCTTTGACTTCGGCAGTTAATTGCGATCTGAACAGAAGCCCGTTGCAGTGAAGCCAAAAGTGGCAATTGCTGGATGCAGAATCCTACCTAGCAGGCAGAAATTCTTTTGCTGGGCTCGGCAGTTGTGCCTTTTTGCACTGAGTCACCGGGCGACGGCGATTTTGCGGCTACAGGACAGCTACAGCAGCCAAGTATTGCTAAGGAAGTTGGATGGGATATTCTGCAGTTATCCACATATCGCTAACTGGAAACTAGAAGCTCTCTAGCACCGGTCAAAGAAAAGATGGAAAAAAATTCAAGAAAGCAAGAAATTAGCTTAAAAATCAAGCATGGCGATCCGCGTGGGTACGTGTATGACCAATTGGCCGGGTTACTCATGTAAATGCAACTCCAGCTTCAGATATCCGACCTGTCGTTCTGCGAGTCGCCTCCTCCAGTCCTGCAAAGACCCCGCAAAAGCCCGCAATAGTTGCGGTCTTTTGCTCAAGGTTGCTGTCGAATTAGAGAGAAAAGGAAGGGCCCGTACAAGTCCACGGAGTTGATAGTTAGTTGAAGAAGAATAATAAAAAAAAATTGAAGAAAATAAATAATGCCACGGAGTCAAGACGTCTTCGGCGATCATATGTCCGCAACTAATAGCTTAGAAGCGGGAAGTTGTCCGTGGACTTTTCTTCTACTTCTTCTTCCACCCACCCCTTTCCCCTGCGTTTATGATTATTCTAGCTGCTATTAGTTTCCAATTAATATAGGAATCTGATCTGATTGCGCGTGTATAGTATGATATTTTGCATGCACGGGACGAGACAATTGTTATACAGAGCGGCACGCCTTCATGTCGGCCACCCCCTTGTTGAACGGGCACGTCGTCAACTCCGACCGAGGTCCAATGGCCGAATCGAGACGGAAGCGTGACCGCCCACGCGCATGCACTGCGACGACAGCAGGCATTCCATAACCTGCCTGTAGAATCTGCAGTACAGTTCTTTTCCATGGACATGTATGTATCTTTGCTGTAGATGTTCTGCAGCCAGTCGGGGTTGGGCTTTGTCAAGCTACGGCTCAAAGCGGCAACAGGCCACCCGGCGTCAGGTTCCCGGACCCGGACCTTCGCAAGACTCCGAACGCCGCCGGGTCAGGCAAGAAACGGGGCCTGGACCTTCGTTTTTTCCCTTCTTTTTCTCGCATGGCTTTTCAAGAAGGGGCGTGTAGAAACAGCAGGGCAGTGGGCTTGGGGGCTGCATATACTTTGCCTTTGCGGGGTGTACACGTTATTTGCAAGAGGATCGAACCAGCTCGTGGCTAGGCAAGTACATGTAGTACATGCAAGTACTAGGCTGAAAATGCAGATGCGTATTGCAAAAAGCGTGATAACTAGCAGTGATGGGATCCTGTAGCAGCATCTCAAATAACGACTGCTCGGTGGATAAACGATGCAGCGGTTTTACTCGATCCAGAAAGCTGGTGAGAAACAGAAGGGCGCACACCCATAGCAGCTATTACAGGCATATACCAATTAAAACAAAAAAAAAATAAGTTTGCGATTTAACCCACATTAGGCTCCACGAGTGGGTAGCCGGGCTTGCTTTACTAATGAAGCCCGCGCTGGTACCTCGCGGGCGAACAGACAGCTTCTGCCCACTTGTTTGTGGCTTGCGCAAGATACGATTCCTGGGATTGGAGATGGAGGGGGTCCCGGGTCCAGGGCTGTACGACAGAATAGCCTATTCCTCCTCGGCGAGCAAATACACGTAAAGGGCTTGTCTCCTTCTCTCTTGTTCGCTCCTTATCTCGCATTCGCACTGATGGATGGATATACAAAGGTACACGTACATGCTCGCAAGACCCAGCTCCATGGATCAGGATCAGGATCAGGATCACGATTCAAGCAAAGCCCGCACGGAGGACGGCGTGTTCCCGCCGACGCCCTGCATTTCCCCTCTCCACCATCGGTCAGCTATTCATTCCCGACTCCATGCCCATCAGGGTCTTGTTCAGCCTGTTGATGCTCGTTTTGTCATCCTTTTAAATCAAACAACAAGTGCGTCTGTGCATATAGTCTCCGTCCTTTGCCATGGATACCCCCCCTTGTAAATAGGAGTAGTTGGTATATAAAATAAATAAATAAATATTTTAAAACAATTTAATGGCTTGGTTGTTTATTCAGCGGACTTTGACCCGCCAGCTCGGCCTGTTGCAACATACCGTTTTACACCACCACTTGCTTCTTTTATGCGGAGTGCGGACAGACTAAGTATACACGAATACACAGCATAGCAATCAACAAGGGGGCATTGCATGCATTACAGCATTACATACATGCATTCCAAAAAAAAGCCCTGCCTCATGCTCCTCCCACTCAATCGCCGCACGGCGCTTCACACGTTTCGTTCTTTGGCGCGCGCTGGCTTAATATGTCTTTCAGCCCAAAAGCCACTGTTTTGTCAGCCCTGCCCGCGGCTTAACAAATCAAATATCCATATGTGCTCTTAGTTCGCAAAGCCATGTCTGGAACCGGCATGACAGTGCCCGTACGGAAACGCCTCTTGCTCATTGGTTCGCGAGGTGCCAGCTTGTAGGTATTCCGGAGTATGGGTATGGTAAGTAGGCGTGTTAGCCGCATCGCCTTTTGTTAGTCGAACGAGCGAGAACAAGCTAATTACACCAAGAACCCTGAAACCCTCAAAGCTGCTGCTGGCTAGACAAATTGCCCAGCATTGGCAGCTCGGCGCATCGCTCGCCTTGTTTGTCATGGGTTGGAAATCGAAATCGCCGAACGAATCAAACACGTCGCAGCCCGCGTGTCGCCCAGTGTGTCCTCGTCGAGCCTCTTCATCGCTGTTTCAAGTAAACTCTTTCACAGTGGCGTCTCGAGTCGGCGTCCTCTCCACTCATGGCGATGAAATGACAAGCTCTAAAGCTTACCGGACGGGACCCCTGCTTTTCAGCCATGATTGGCACGTGGATACGCCCATTGACTCAGCGGAGTTTGGGAGCTTGGGACTGCTGTGTTAACTCCGTCAATAGCCACGAGCCATGTGCAAGTACATGCTCTGCAAAGGATTAAGCTGTGTTAATTAGTATCACTATTCAGACAGAATCCTGCCGCCCCCCAGAATGGCACGAAAGGTCCAAAAACGGAGGCGTAACTTGGGCGCAGCAGCTGCCTGATGGAAGCGTCTTCTGCTGGCATCACGATCCCTATCATCAGCACGGCACCCTGCTCGATGTAAGACACTACGGTATATACAGCATGTACCTACTTGCAGTAGCATGTAGCTCCAGGGCTCGAATTGTGGATACGCGTATCACCAAGCGGACCTGATGTGGTGAGAGCGATGACAGATACCATGGAAACGTGGGGAGCGGGTCAATAGCCTACTCGTATGATAGTGCACATGTGCAGCAATATATTGATGATACATGTGATTATCGATTGGTCCCTCTTGATGTTTTTACCCAATATGAGCCTCGCTTATTTTTTTTGTTCAAAACAACAAGATTCAAAAAACAAAAGCAACAATAACAAATCGAAAAAGCCAAAGCTACTAAACACCAGGGGCTGAAAAAAAAAAAAAAAAAAAAGAGTCTCTCCGCGCTGACACAGAAAAGAGGCTTGAGTCTAGCTCTTACACGCCCCCTCCCTCATATTCGCCTAGCTCGCCAGCAAAATTGGATTTTAAATTCAATGATTTAGCATTTTTCTTTTTTCTTCCTACGGGCAGCACCAGCCAGCCGGGCACAAATCCAAAACATCGGTGGCGTCTTACCAAAGAATAAAAACAGGCGAGAGCAAAAAATGAATACTAGTTGAAATATTAAGTCCAGTCTTTGCCAAGTGCGGCAGTTGTGGAAAAGCTTCCACATTCTTTCTTAGCTCATCTTGGCTTGCTTCGGACTTTTAATTGCTTTTCACTGTGCTTGTCGCCGACTCAAGAGCTCCAAAGAAGCTCTTTTAAACGAACATACGGCACTTTCTTTATCTGGAACAGGGTTCAAGATTAGCGGAATGGTGCGCGTTCCTTGCGGTGATAGGTTGACATCGGAATCCCTGTGCCGAGCTCTGCAGCTCAACGTGGCTTTCGACGGACGAAATGATCCTTCGCCTGGGTCCGAATTTGCGATGAATCCGTCGTAGTAGCTCATAGTTCTTCCTTTTGATGCAGCAAGCTTCCTTCTGCCTCTCTCTTACTGGTCTGCTCGCATAGATTCCCTCCCTCATCGTTTGTGCTACAGGCTGTCCTACCCCTCTTACACGCTCCCTCTTGCATCAACACTGATTCCTCATGACTTAAGGATGGCCACTGTAGCACCTTACTTCACCTGGACGGTGTTAAGAGCCTGTCTCATTCCTCAGCCTTGTCGGCGATGCTTAGATAGGTATTTCGGCTAACGGTGGTGGTTGCATATAGAGTTAAGAGCTTATTCCGAATGGCATGAGGGTGTGGGGGAAGATAATGCCGATGCCGAGAGCTCGGTACCAGGCTAAAATGCGAGTCAAAGAATAAAGCTTGCCTTTTTGGCGGTTGTTGTGCTTGATGGCTGGTAGATTTTCACTTGATGACTGTGAATTGGCTGCATACAGCGAGGCGGTGTTTAGAACCAAACGTTTGCCCTGACGCAAAGACTTTTGATCATCTATTACCATCAAGGGCGTATTATGTGGGCTGATTCTACCGTAAATCGTTGCTCCGTTGCTCTACAAGCGTCATGATGTCGCCCGGCTTTGATATATGGGATCGCCAACAAGTGTCATGTCATGATGGTTCCAAGCAGCGGCTGCAAACGGCCGTGATTGCCACAAGATCTTCACCTGTCAAGGAAAAATAGTCGAGAAGGGTCCAAAAATACTGCACTACTAAACAAGCTCTCACACGATCTCGACAATTTGACATGCAGACCTGCTCCTCCAACTTCAGCATGAGTCAGGAAGAGCGGGCTGAAGATCATCCAGAGGATGAGCTTGTCCAAGCACTAACCAAACCTTGATATAAATACCAGATTAAATACATGTCCGTCATTGCTGTTCATCCAATCACCGTAGATGGCTCCATTCCACCCAGTCTCAATCAGCTGGCGGTGGCTTAAGCCTCAAATGCAGCTTTACTCAGCGCCAGCGAGTTTGTAGAAAAGCAATGAAAACTTGCGAGATAGCTCTAAAAAAACAAGTAAAGCTCCCTCCCCACCCTCACTCAGCCCTATTATGCCCTCATTCGATGCAACGAGAGACATAGCCTTTCTTTGCCGAATCCTTAAGTGGGTAGTTTGAAGTTTGTGCCCGGTAACTTGGGTCTACGATAACACTAGATGGAAAGTCGTTTGCCATTGCCATTTGCTTGTTGCTCGATTTATCTGTTTTATTTTATTTTATTCAATATTCATTTTATCTAGTCAATTATTAATTGGCCATTCTGTTTAACTCACACCCCTCCCTCCGAATTCGATTTCCCCTCTGCCCCTCAAGCGCCCAGGGACTCTCTCAAATTCCACTATTGGCTCTCTCAAAATAAAGGGCGTCTTCTCGACTCGAGTCGGGGCGTTAAAGAACGCTTCTGGGGATTTTCTTTCATCAATGGAAAAAAAAAATCTGAACTTGGTGGCCCTGACATCACAGTTTCTTGGTCAGGGGCTGCTACCGTTCCTCGGAGATTTTGGTGTCTTGCCGGTCGGCGACCTCCGATGACAAGCTTAAATGAGGACGCATTGCCAAATACTAATATTAGAGTTACGCTGACAAGAAAAAGATACTTTTTATCCCGTCTGCAAGGTAAGGTAAGCATAGGTATACCCAGGAGAATCCTCAAGTATATCGTATGACTGGTCGATCTCGGACAACAGCCATGACTCGCAAATCGAGGGGCTCTCCCTCCTCTGTTCCAAAACAGCCATTTCCACCTAGATGTCTATTGGCTCCCAGGGAAAACAAGCGGTCGATTTTTTTCCGCACGAGCAAAACGTGCTTTTCAGGAGGCACGTGTGCCAAACTCGACGCCGGCTTGCTCTGATTGCTGGGAGGCTTCGTTAACGGTCCAGCCGCACCGCCAAAGAAGGGCGATCCGCATCCTCGATTGGCCTCTCGCCGGCGAGGCTGGGCGCTATTAGGAATCAGACTTTGCGGGGTAGACCAATAACCAGAAGGTCGGGACAAGCCTCGTTTTCAGCTTTGGCTGGCTGGCCTGCCCACTCTTGTCTCCGGTATCTTTCCGACGTCTATGGTGTTCCGACGGAGGCTTTCCATAGTGGGCTTTTCCATAGTGTTGCTTTGCTTAGGTAGCTTCTTTGGCCAATTAATTGCTCTTTTGGCTGAGGGGAATGTTTGTCATGACGCATGTTGTTGCTGCGTTTGAGTTTGCTAAGCGTGTGTCGCGTGCGTGAATTGTTTCCAAGGATGAGGCTGAGATTTGGCAAAGAGCTATACCAATAGTTGTTAGCATGCGAGTCAGCTCATCGTGGTGATAGAGGAACAGAATATATGCATTAAATGACGAAATGGCTGTTATTATGCCTCATCGAGATCAAAATCTGTACCTCAAGGATCGGGGAAAGATCAGAAAGCGAGTAAAAAAGGAGGGAGCTATGGATTGTGGTTATGTAGACTTCTTCTGTTGGATTAACAAATGCAACGAGTTAATCTTTTTGGTCATTAAATTTGAAAGAATAGCAAGCTATGGTCATTTTTGTTAATTATACATGACAATTCTGTTGATTTGAATAATTAATGCCAGAGGAATGATTTCTTGTTAGCCTCGAGAAAGCAGATGAGCATTGAGGCAAAGGCTTTTTGAGTAAAATAGTCCTACAAGGAGTTTTCATTTATGGATATATAGATTAACATCTACATTTTGCTTGTGCTTGTGTTCCTGGTTTTACATTGCTATATAATTTCGTGTAGATTCAATGGGACACGACAAATGCCTTTGAACATTTATCCATGTATCCAACACGAAACTAAACGTAATTACTATTCTGCAATCTATCTGCGAGTATTTTAATCAAAACATGTGAATAGTGCAGTCATTACTCACATTGAAGATGATCATCTTTTATATTCCCTTTCAAATCCCTACCGCTCGTTCTACACAGCATCAAAAGCAAAGAATCAGCTCGCTTTAATAGCTCATCTCTATCGTCGATATTGATATCTGTACGATTGCAAATGATTTCCATGTTGACATCTAAAGTTACCAATAGCGCACCTTTGGACGCTTCAAAATGCAAAGTTATCTTATGGCCTTTTCTGGCGCCATGAATGTGATATACCTTGAAACCCTATGCCACGAGCTCATGGTAAAGCTTCGCTGATCATGTTTAACGATGCATGATTAATTATAGACATTGATAGATTTCTGCGTTTCAATTATTCATGGGATTTTCTTAATCAGGCGCCTATTCCAATATATCATGGACGTATGTTTCAACTTTTTGCGCGCTGAGTATGGACTACATTTCATGTCCCCCGTAACACTCGATAAAACGGATGTTATGATGCTGCTTGAAAGGGCCTTCATGATGATGATTAGATACATCAGTCGTTGCTTTCCTCATCTGTGATAAGTGAGAAGAGGAATTGTAAAGCGATCAACATATCTCTTGTTCTCGAAATGGGCATGACTAGAACAAAGGCGCAAGCTAGCTGGAACTGATGTGTAATGCAACAACAAAAGTACAAGTAGATACCTCAATGTATTAAAGTCCTGTTGTTAAATATTCCTCTTGTTGAGTATAAGCCCTTCTTATACTATATACAGAAAAATTTCCCCAAAATACTTTCCATCCAAGGCCGTCAAAAAGCCTCCCAACGCCCGTATAACCCAAGCATTGCAGTATCTGAGCAACCCCATAAACGCCAAACAAACTCATGTAAACCTCTATAAATCATGCTCGTGTAATGCCGTCAATCGACGCTCCTTTGCATCATGGCTTGATGTCAAGGACCTGCTTCAACATGCTCTCGCTGGCTCTCCACCATCGAGCTCTCTGCTCGAGATCATCCGCAACTCCACCAAGAGCGGCCTCTTTCCTCCTCTGGGCTTCACGCGCAGCCGTAGTGCTATTATGTCGTTTCACCTCCAACGGCTGCAACTCAGCCTGCAGTCTCTCTACTTCCTTTCTCTTCCTGGGAACTCTGGATTGCAGCGCCTCAAGCTCTCGCGCGAGCTCTTGCTGCTCGGCCTTTCGCTTCGAAACGAGGCTGAGCGTCTTTGCAAGAGGCAGTTGCAGTTTCGGGTCCGCATCTGACCCTTCATTCTGGTCCTTGAGCTCTTTGATGCGATTCTCCAACTCGATTATCTTAGCAGGCAGCTCTTCTAGCCGCACAGTCTCCAGCTGAATCTTTTCGTATCGCTTGCTCAAGTCTCGCCCTCTGGCTTCCAAGTCGGAAACCATGTCTGCCACCTCCAACTTGAGATTCTTAAGTTGCGCTTTGGCCTCTGCATTTTCCCGCTCAAGATCCAGGTTCTCCTGAAGCGTGACTATGAGTGGCGGATCGCCTACGATTGCGCGGATAAACTTCTCCTTTGTCACTTGCTCGACATAGGAAAATCGGAGTTTGGAAAAGAGCTCTTTGTAATGAATAAGATCTGCGTCTAGGCTGGTTGGAGAAGGGCCGTCAATGGACGTGTTGGACGCGTCGGAGATGCGCTGGCGGGCATCGTTTGGCGTAGAATTTGAGATTGGCTCGCTCAATTTGATGATGGAGAGCTCATTTTTCTCCTGGAGACGGCGAAGAGCCTCGAGCACCTTTTCTGGCGTTTTCGTGCTCATGTTGCGGTACAGAAGACAAAGGCCACTTCACGGAGCAATTTGATACAGTGAGAGCCTTTCTTTCACTTCCAAGATCGAGTATCGCCAGCCTGTGAAGCAGAGTTGATGCAGCGTGTTGACACAGATCCCAATACAGTTTAGCGCTGTATGCACCGCTTATCTTATCAACAGGGGTCTCGCTGAGTCACCTTTGCGAACTTGTTTGCTGGACCCTGATTCCTCAACAACCCAGATTTACTGTTACATCACGGACGTCACAAGGATTCTCATCTTTAACCAGGCGCATTACTCTGCTTTTCCCATGCCAAACGACGAGTTCCTCACCGACGAATATGTCGCCGGCCTTTTGGCCAAGGAGGCCAGCGACTGCTCGCTGAAATACTCTGCAATGGGTATGGAAGCTTTCAACACCAAAAATAAGTAATACAGCTCGCGATTCTGCGTATGGGGCATCATTCTGACGGAGAGAAAGGCCGTCCAACTCGCTGAAACCGAATACGAGATTTCTGAGGAACATAATCAATGAAACGGATTCGCACAACAAAGCGCTGCTTGCCAAGGAAGCGGCTGAATCGAGAGCGAGGCTGAAGGACCTGGAACGCGCGGAAGAGGTCAAACGACTCAAGACGGATCCAACTCCCAGGGATATACGGAAGCGGCAGCTTGGAAGCATCCAATCCATTTTAGGTGGGCCAAGACACAAACGCGACGACGATACGAAGCCGGCTGCTAGCGAAGGAAGATTGAAGAATAGGAGTGATGGCGATCGCCCTTCGCATCGGTCGTCGCATCGTGATAGAGATGCAGCCTCTGATCGTCGCAAATCAAAGAAAGACTATGGCCGACTGTCAAGAAGCCCCCAGGACGACGAGCGAAGGTCTCACCATGAAGATAAGTCACGGAGCTCCCGAAAAAGGCACCGCGATCACTCTCCGGAACATAAACGTCGACACTCTCGCGATCGCGAAAGAGATCGATCCAGGTCGCCCCGCCGCCGCCGACGTTCTCGATCACCTCGAACGAAGAGAAGCAAACATCGGAGCCGCTCTCCTTTAGCTACTGCGAAGCAGCCTACAATAGATGCTCGTGATAGGAATGATGGCGACGAGTCAGATCCCTTGGAAGAATTAATTGGACCTGCCCCGCCTCCTAAATACCGTGGACGGGGGACCGTTGGGGGAGCGTCTGGCCTAGATCGGCGGTTTTCTGATTCGTACGATCCAAGTACAGACGTCTTACCAGAGGATGATGCGGTGGAAGCGTTTAGGGACCGCCAGAAGCTGCGACTGGCCCAACAAGAACGGATGAGAGCAGCCGAGATTGCAGAACATCAGGCTCAGAAGACAAGCAATAGCCAACGAGAAAAAACGGAGGAGGATGTGGTATGGTCCAAGGCGGGCGAAAAGAGGGCATGGGATCGCGGGAAGGGAGAGGATGGAGATGACAGCGACGACATTACCATGCGCGGCGTCTTATCAGAGGAGTTTTAAAGCCATATAAGAAGTTTTTCAGGAGTAGCATAGGATGGGCGCATTTGTGTTAGTAAATAGCTGGCTGGTTTGAGTGGATGATTCTGTTAGAGGCGCTGGGTTGAGAATCATGTTGGCTACTGCTTGGAGAATTACCGAGTCCATATGAGTTATGATTTACGAAGCAGCAATTACTGCTGTAGATATTTTTCTGTATTAAGAAGCAATTAAATCCCTAACTGGAAATGCCATCACTCGTGTGCATCGCAGATGTGCAGAGCATAGACCACAAAAAGTGGGAAGCACATGCAAATCATCAAATATGCAAAAGCTGCCCCTGGCCAAACGATACGACGTGAAGATGCCGGGATCGAGCCCCCTTCGTATTCGTCTGTGATGAGAGCACGTGCGCACCCCAAAAACTACTAATTACTCCCATCTTTTCGCAACTTGAAAGTAAAAAGCATTTGACATTTGCTCATCTGCTGTCTCGCCCGCAAAAGCTGCATCATAAATGCCCTCTGGCCGATGCAGTCACAAGTGCCGGGAATGGAACGCTGCAAGCAAGTCATGCCATCTGCTCCACCTGATGTCGTCACGAGCAGTTGCGTCATGCAGCTCTTCATGTTGCTCAGCAGCCAAAGGGCAGTGGAGGCGTAGTGGGTTGGTGGGTACAGCGGCCCCTAGCTCTGCTGGCCATCAGAACCTAATTCTGGCCTTGAACGGCTCCCCTTGTGCTAGGACGGTAGTTTGTGTAGGATCATCGCTGTAAAAGGTTTGATCCGTCGACGTTTTGATGCGACGCTGCAAACGCGGTCTGTTGCAGGAGATGCGATGGGCAGGGCAGAGATGAAGAGAGGCAGCAACGATTTGATGTACTGTGATGTTGGTGTAGTATACAGTACCTAGAATCCATGTCTTCTCCAGACAAGTCCCCATCCGGCGCACACATGCAGTCCCGCTTATTTTGTATCAATCTGATATTCTGCTGCTGTCGGCTGATTGATTCAGGTAGGTGGTGTCGCATTGGGCTCTATACAAGTCTTGCCGCAAAAAAAGGCAGAAACGGCGATGCTGTCTCATTTCGACGAATCTTGCTGCTTTTGGCCAACATGAGTGTCGCACAACTATATGCAAGTATTGAAGAGAGCTGAGCGCTTCCAGCTCATGGTGAGGCAGCCCAGCGCAGCGGTCCAGGGCTCCACCGGCTAGCAGCTCTCAGCCCATCGTCCCACAGCCAAGCGTGCTAAACGCGTGCCTCGATCACAGAAGCCGAACCCGCGATGCCCCGTCTGTCAGATCAGGGAAATGCCGGGAGTGGCAGCAAAAGCCATCGTGCGATGGGAATCTCGCCAATTTTCATATTTCCACGGGCTGTGAGGCCATAAAGCAGCGATTGAGTCGTAGTGGAAAGTCGCTTTGCCGCTACAAATGCTACTGTTCGTCCTGGGCATCGGAAACGGACGTCCAAGGCACTTACAGCGCCACCGTTGCATTTACAGGCCACTGCCTTGGCACTATTAGCGGCCTGGGCCTCCGCCGCTGCCGCCCGCTCGCTGTAAGCGTCGTGTTGGTTAAGTACAGAGGGCCATCGTCGCGCTTCTTTGCCCACCCCGCCCTGTGCTGTTTACTCCTCAATACCTCTTTGGACGCCAAACTCTGTTTCCCATTTCCCTTCTCGCACCGTTCCTCTTGTGCGCGTCGTCCTACGTGGTTTATATCGTCCCTCTAGAAAGTGATTTACCTGTTTGTTCTTGTTCTCGTTGTTTCCTGCGCATCCGATACTATTTTTCTCCTCTCATCCTGTCGCCCGGCATTGAGCTCATGCGGTTGTCTCAGCCGGACGACGTCAGCCTCTCCCTGAGCTGAGGCATAACAACCTCATCTTTGGCGAAACAGAACAGGATTTAACAACAACGCAAACAAGCCCATATATCTGCGGCCACCCCAGCTACACCTCACGATGCGGACCCCACGGATCGTGATCCTTGTGTTCTGCATCTCCTCGACGCTCTTCCTCCTCTTCCGCTCGGCGACAGCGTCCAGACACGCCGCATCGTCTCGGTACCCCACTGAGAGCCGACCCAACAGATCGATCTGGGGACTCATCTTCTACAACACGCCCTTCTCGCTGTTTCCGCCCAACGCCGCCATCAGCCTGACCGATGACAACAGCACCTCTTTTGCGGCTCGGCCTGCAGCGTTCGGGCCCAGTCTATCGCCGGGCGGTCTGAGCGGGCAGCTGTGGGTTGGGAGCGGCTTTGCTGAAGACAGCTTCGACGTCAACGGGGAGCTCGGCTGCAGCGACATTCCTGGCTGGGACGGCGCAGACGCAAAACATGCGCTGAAGCAAAGCGTTCGCGGAGCTGCCTTACGCGCCGATGCCTTCAAATCCACACGCCATCCCCGGGCGCATGATGATCTTCTAAGTCTAGACAAGCCAGCTTCAGATGCAGGGGCAGGCCTTGACCTGAAGATTCCTACTGACGATGGCACCGACAACCACCTTCACGTCAGATTTAGCAGCGCCCTCCCTCGACAAGACGCCTCTGCATCCTCCCACGCCGATATCCAATCGATCCAAGAAGGAGCTGAGATCAAGGGAAAGATTGTTCTATTAATGCGCGGAGGATGTGGATTCTTAGAAAAGGTGATGTGGGCGCAGCGCAGAGGTGCCATTGGCGTCATCGTGGGCGACAACGTCAAGGGGGGACCGCTGATCCAAATGTTTGCCCACGGCGACGAGGTCGACAACGTGACCATTCCGTCAGTCTTTACCGCTCGGACGACCGCACAACTGCTGTCTTCGTTGACGCAGCCTGGCAGTTTTATCGAAGACACCCTCGACGACAATGGAAACCCTGTGCTGAAAGTCCAACAGGGCTCCAGAGCAAGAAAGAGCAAGAGCTCGGGTTCGAAGACTGCTCGGTCGAAGAAGTCAAAGAGATTGGCCAAGGAAAATCGGTTTACAAAGCGAAAAGAAGTTGAAGATAAGCCCGGTTGGTTTTCACGCTTTTTCAAATGGGGCACATCATCTCGCGGCGTCCACAGTGAAAGCCGGCCACCTAGCAGCGGCCAAATAGACTGGATGGTGGTCGAGGATCGAGTTGACGAGAAAGACAGCGTTACAGGACCCAGCCTAACCAAACAAAAGAAGCAACCGAAGCAACCGAAAGCAGGAAGTGACGACTTCGTTATCGGAGTTCAAGACTGGCGGGACCCGGATGTTTTAAGCAATGTCAAGGCACCGGCCTCTTCTGCTACTGGTGTCTCTGACAAGGCGACGAGCCCCGACGAGCCCAAGGGTGGAAGCATTACTCCAAGCAGCGGCGAGTATAAGCTCCGTAAGGTGTCTGAAGCTGAAACCGAGTCTACCTCGGCCTTTGAGCTCAGAGGAGTCGCGCCATCCGGCAAGGGCAAGGGCCTCATCTCTCGAATCTTTGGCGACGATGATGACGAAGTAGACGAGGCTCTTGAGCTTGACAATGATGACGATGAGGATGACATTCTAGACGAGGACGAGGATCCTGTGCATCACGAGGGTCTCTGGGTCACCATCACGCCGACCAGTAGCGCCAGTCCGTTCTTCGATACCCTCCTTGTCCTTGTAATCAGCCCCTTGGTGACACTTTCCATCGTATATGCTCTCCTGGTTTTGCGTGCAAGAATCCGAAGGAGAAGATGGCGAGCACCCAAGTCTGTGGTCGAGCGACTGCCCGTCAGAACCTACCACACCGTCGCACGCTCCCCCAGCATGTCACCCAGAGTCCCCTCTCCCTCAGGCGCAACAGCAACCACACCGCTACTGCAGTCCAACCCCAGACCCAGCAGACCACGACCTCGATCCAGGACCGCCAGTGGAGCTTTGGAGAGCGCAAATTTTCACACTCCAGCTTCCAGCAGCTTGTCTGCGCTACAGACGAATCATCGTGCTGGCCGTTCGGGCCACCACAGAGGAGCCATCTCAGGGGAATGGAGGAAGTACATGGGAAGACAGGTAGAGTGCGTCGTCTGCCTAGAGGAATATGTCGATGGCGTGAGTAGGGTGATGAGGCTTCCTTGCGGCCATGAATTCCACGCCGACTGCATGTGAGTTTTCTCTCTTTCGTCCTGTGTTGAGAATATCAGACTAACGAGCATAAAAAGCACTCCATGGTTGACTACCCGTCGACGAACATGTCCAATCTGCAAGGGAGACGTTGTCCGTTCCATGGGTCGCAGCTCGTGGACCAACCCTAGATATGAACCGTACCATGACGATGGCGACGACGACGACGATGAGCAAGTGGCTGAAGGTTCATCATCCAGCAGCGATGAAGATGTTGAGCAAGGCGTAGCGGAAGTGGAACCTTCCGAGACACGCCGATCGAATTGGCAGCACAATTTCTTTGGCATCATACCCGGCGTTGTCGGGTACAACCGCAGACCACGATCCCCGTCGCCGCCTCCAGAAGATCGCCAGGCGGGGTCCCATTAATGATGTGATATCCTCTTTTCAATGCCGAGCTTATTTGGGTCAGCCCCTATTCACCAGTATTGTGCCAAGAGCTGGCATATGGATTCGCAGTTTTACAGGGACATGTCTCGGCAGCAAACTATCTCGGCGGCGTACCTTTGTTATTAGGAGCAACGACTGTTCGTTCTGGCGTAGTAGGTAACAGGAGCAATAGGAGTTTCATTTTTTTTTTTCCGGGAATCAGCAGGCAGTGCTTTTTGGGATTTGTTGTTCTTCATTGGCCCATCTGCCTTTCTGGCCAGGTGGTAGCCATATGCTACTCGAGGAGAAGAGAGAAGATACAAGAGCGAAGAGGCTTATTTGACGGACGGGATGCTTGCTGGGGTGGTCGAATGGGAGTGACTTTGTTATATACCCTTGTGTTGGTGGCTCGTATGAGTATCTGGTATTTTATGTACGGTAGCGCAATAAATGGATGCTCGTCCTTGACGATGACGGGCCTGAATCTCCCTTCACTTGACAAAGAATAGCTAGTTTTGTCTTATTAGGTCACAACTAAAAATGTTAGAAGATAGAACTGGGCTGCCGAATAGTTATCCTTGATCGTATATGCTAGTTCTTTCTTCTATATGGGTATCAAGTCATTAATGTTTCTGTCCTCGCTGCTGTAAACGCTCCATAAACACTCCAACTCAAGACAATCTTCTACTCCAGTCCAAGAGGCGTCCGCCTGACTTGGCCGGGCTGCTTGACCTCAAACATGGCATTCCACGCCGTCTCGTCAACGTCAAACTTCTTGGACACTTCAAACGCATTGCACTTTGCGTCCCACGGCCCGCAGTCCGCCTCGCACACCGTCCCATTCTTGGGCATCGTGCCCAGTGCGAGATAGTCGGAGACAATCTTCCAGGTGCACTTGCTCGGCGCGCTGGCCCAGGCCGTGTGGCCAAAGCTCTTCTGCTTCACGATGACGGACCCGGCGTGGCTGCTGGTGGCCTCTTTTGCGGCACTGAACGGCGTCACGGGATCGAGATTTGAACCGAGAAACAGCAGCGGCGCGGCTGGACGGTCCATCTCGAGGTTGGCGCTGTGGGCGGGCGTGCGGAAGGGGCCCTGGAAGTCCCAGTTGGCGCGGAATGGCCAGGCCGCGCACCTGAAGCGGAGCGACGCCCACGAGAAGCCAAAGAGCTTGGACTGCTTGCGCTGCTGCGAGACGTGATCCGTCCACCAGGTGATGGCGCGGGCGCTGATGTCCGGGCCGTCGCCGCAGAGAACCGCCGCGCCCTGCTCGTCCTTGACTTGCGGCATCGCTGAGACTGAGCCGTTGCTGCCCTTGCCGCGAAGCGCGTCTCCGAGCTTGGGAACCTCCAGATCGGCCCATTGCGGCCATTGATCCGGGAACCCCCTCATGCCTTTGTGGAGCGCCTTCGCCAGCGGCTGAAAGTGCTGCACAGGGCTGTACATGGCGTTGGCGACGATGCGGCGAACGTCCTCCCCCCTGAGCGCCATGAGCCCGCCCAAAGTCGAGTTGACGGCCATGGGGTAGACGTCGAGGCGGTTGGCCCACTCGTGGAAGCGTTTCTGGGCGGCTTCCCAGTTCTTGTCCGTCTTGAGAAAGGGGCATTTCTCGTAGCTGCCGGTTTTGAAGCACGACTTCCAGAACTTGGAGAAGAGCTTGTCTGCGTCTTTGGTGTTGGAGAGCCAGCCCTGGAATATTGGTTAGATATAGTGAGTTTTGTAGAATGGTGGTAGAGCTTTTACTTACAGAACCGGCAGCATAGTCTGTCGGATCCATCACGCCGTCGAGAACCATCCGTCCAACGCGGCCGGGGAACATGGACGCAAAGTAGTTGCCCAGTACACTGCCGTACGACCAGCCAATGTACTGGATCCGGGGGAGCGCTGCCTCGTCTCTTTTATGCGTCCTCAACTCGTCAATCTTGTCCACCATCTCGACCATGTCGCGAGCCACGCTGGCGGTGTTGACAAACTTCATTGCCTCGCCGTCAGGGTTCATGGCATCTTCTTCTTTGCATCGCAGAGATTGGAAACCCATGAGGCCTAGGCCGTAGCCGATGGCTTGTTCTGTGTTGAGTGGCCCCCTGCCGTGGTTTTCTAAAGACCAGGATGTGCGGACAAGTTGGTCTGAGCGGAAGCAGTCCACCGATGGCGTTGTCCTTGCAATACCTCGAGGGTCAAATGAAACAATCTCATATTGTCGCTTGCCTGGGATGTCGACGAGCAGTCTTTGGACGTTGATGCCCCTTTCGACGAGGTAGCTCACTCCTAAGAGCCCAGGACCGCCCGGGTTGACAAAGACGGTGCCGCCAAAGGTAGCGTCGTCGTCGGGCACAGCAGCCGGCAACTTTATCATCGCGATGTGTACGAGGCGGGCATCGCTGGCGTTGCGCCAGTCCAGGGGGACGGAGAGGCGCGCGCACTTGAAGCCATTGTAGCAGTCGTGGTACTCGAGATTGCGGCTGGGGACGATGGAGGCCCAGTTGAATTCTTGGATTGGGCCTGTTGCGTTTGAGATGGGCGCGGTTGCAGCTGTAGACGTAGCCGCGAGAAGGGCAATTTGCATGATTCGAAGGAGCAACATCTTTACAATGAAAAGAGTTAAAAGTCAAGGTCAAGAGAATCAAAGGAGTCTTCGAGAGGAGGGTCGGAGGAAGACTCGAGAAAAAAGTCAAAGAAGGAGTCAATAGTATCGAAAAAGGATAAAAAAGTGAGGAAGAAGAGAAGAGAGAAATAAATGAGAAAAACAACAGTTTCTCGAAAGGACACGATTAGAATATAAGGATTGCCTAGAGGCATGAGGACGACAAGAAGATTTTTTTTTCTTCAAAAAAAGGATTTAAAAAAAAAAGGGGGGGAGTGAGAAAGGAAGGAATGAAGAACAAGGATGAAAAGAAGGATAAAGAAGAAGAATAAAAGAAAGTATTAAGGATAACGAATAATGGGTGAAGAATATGACAAAAGATTTCGGTTCTCTGAACGGGAGGGGGCCTTCTTATAGTCCTCGAATCCGAGCAGTCTACGTACACACTTCAGACTAGCATCGCCTCGCCTAACAAAAAGCCGCAACTTCATGATAAAGTTGTCAGGCTGAGCTTGAAACCATATCGGGCGAAACTCTCGTGGACATTGTGGGCGTGCTTCCGAAATCAAGGCCATCCCTCAGAGACGCGTAACGGTTGCCCACCCAAGACCCGTTTATAGCGCCTCAATCATCATAGTCGGGATGTATTTGGCTGTAAACAGAACCGATAACATGAACAATTTAACGGTTCGATGATCAAGGCCGGAGAACGCGGTCCTAAGACAAGGGATACAAAAGGCCAAATGTTGATATGATTGCTATGGTCTTTGAAAGTTCCGCCATGCAATGATATTGCGGCCCTTTACCAGATACGCCGAGTTGGAATACGCATCATAGCAAAGGGAGAAGCTCAAGTGACCTCTCAGATTTTCTATTTAAGATTAAGCTCTCTGTACTGTAAATTCGCCACATTGCTATTTTGAGTGCCGGACGAAACTGTAATTATTTCCTGAAACGTGTCAACAACTCTTCAGATAAGCGAATCTCTGCGTAAGGCTTCTTTGGAGGGGGGGGGGGGGGGGGGGGTACAAAGAACTTCCCCCTTTATCGATACGTGGACAAGAAAGGAGTACGAGTACCACGGCTGGCAGAAAATATGATCTCCAAATTTCACTTTGCATGTTGTATCTGATCTCCGGTGACGGAAAGTGTCGGGAGATACCTGCCGAGTCCCCTAAAGGAAGACTGAATTCCTATATATATATACATGAATAAGCTCCTACGTCGTAGCTACAAAACTTGTTTAATCCCTCATTCGACCCCTCTGCTCTATGACAAAGGATCTCATCTGAGCAACATCGGCTTATCCCACGATTTATGCAAATGTCGAAGTAAGCAGACTGAATTTTCTGCCAGAGACGTGCAGCTAGAATATGACTTGCCAGCCTATTAGTGGTTATCATGCCTTGGGCAGTCTCAGCATCTATTCACGCTCATCCAGTATATCAGATGCAAGGGAACATGTGCAAGCGTTAGACTATTTCACTATTTCCCAATGGCGCCTTCTGGGGAACGGAATTGACATAGCGTTTGTTGCAATATAAGTAATGCTGTCTTGTAACTCCTTAGTAATGGCACAGCTTAGCATGCACATAAGCCCGGGATAAATTACACCGACATGCCCTTGATTACGAGCTTACTTGAATGAAAAAGCGACTCCCTTTGCATCGGACCATGACAAGTAAAGACGTTGTAACGGCGATGGTCCTGCAACGGCGGTAGGCCGTTGCCAGCTTGATACAGATATAGGTAGGTTCAGACTCTGCTTTTGGTAAATATTATCAGTCATTTGTAGTAGACTTCTGGCTTTGATGAGCCTATATGCCCGACAAAGTCGATTTTCCAAGCGGAGCATTTCGTCCGTGCGAGACGGTTGGAACGGTTGCCCAATGAGGAAATAGACGAACTTCCCAACGCAGAGCCAGTCAAGAATCTTCCAATATATCGCCAAAATAGGCATTAACAGTACAATTAGAACGTCTAGATGGTGATATAATCCATCTTCTGAGTGGGATAATCAGTTTGTAGAATGTCATCTTATTTCACCTGTAGCAACAACGATAGGTAGATGCGCGCCTCACTCTTTAATCTCCTTGTTCTATCAGAAACTGCTCCTGCGATATCTGCAAGTATGACCTCTCAAGATGGTATAATCTTATAGTATTGATGACCGAATGAAAACCCCTAGCTCCAGCACCAGCGCCATTCTTAAGAGACATATGCGGCACCTGTGAAGAAGGCGAGAGTGGAGGTCCGGGATGCTGCCAGCCGGTAGACGAGGGGCTCTGCTTCCTTTGCGACTCAGATAGCCCTACTTGAATGATGGAGATTGGTGTACCGCTTATACAGACGGGGAGACACTATGCTCGTAATTCATCATGCCAGTCTGATTCTTTTGTTCAGCGTAACGAGCCTACAGACTTGAGGCAAATAGCAGACTGACAGACCAAATGATACAAAAACTTTTAGAGAAGGCTATGAAATGCAGCCTTCCACGGATCCAAGGAAGCTTAAATATTAAGGTAGCCGGCTATCGATAAGGCCTTGTTCAAATGTCAGATATTGTATGATAGGTTGAAGGCTGGCTCTCCGAGACAATGATAATTGCGTATTTGACTGATATTGGCTGTGAAGTTCTATGATTATGCTTAATAGAAAGAACAAGCGCAATGTTGGCGATTGGTACAATACATGTCCGTCTGCATCATGAGATTACATTACGCAGCTGCAACAACTCATGAAAACCCGTGTGTCTTTTTGAGGTCAAATACTGCAAGACTGGCGAATATTATATCGATATATACCTCAATCATCAGCTCAAGCGGCTGAAATAGATCACTGTACGAGCTGTTGCAATTGGCAATGCCGGCGCAAAGTGCTAGCATTGACCAACTTTTCCAGGTCTGTTTGCTTAGTTGCACCTCGTCCAATTTTGTCTTGGCGGTATGCCATTATGAAGGAAAAGGAATTCATTTCGTTTGACTTGAGCTTGATGATGCTCTAGATCACGAAACCTAGTTTTCCAAGTCATGGCAGTGCTAATGCTAGCCTTACAGTCGAACCAAGCCCTGGAATTAAGAAGGAAGTCTACTCCTGCAGTAACTAAACAATTAAACGAAAGAGAGCTATAACGTAATGCAAGGCCAAGAATATCTTCGTTGTGTCTATAGACGGCATCTTGATATGAGATGTAAGAGGTAGCACGGTTTTGAAGTTTAGCTATATGTTGTCTTAGCAATAAGTGATAATGAGAGGAGGATATTTCAGTAGTAGATGGAAACCTGCGAAAATAAGAAGAATAAAATAAGTAAGCTTTAGTTAGATGCACACACCCAACTACTTACTGTATTCTATATCATCGCACATATGACAGCACTTTTCTATATTTGAATTTCACTAAAAGACAGAGTCTATCTGATCAAATTACATCCCCTTTCTTTTTCTTGCTTCTAAGCAGTCTTCGAGAAGATCCCGACTTCTTTGTGTTTCTGGATCGTCTGTACCAAATACCTCCTCTTTTAGCTTGATTGCCTCTCGATGCCATTTCTCAGACTCATCATGTTCGCCCAGATCTTGGAGCGACATTGCAAAGTAATCCATGCTGTTCAATGTAGATGGATGGTATTTACCCAATACCTTCTCCCTCCCCCTAAATGCCTGATATTGCAGTACTTCCGACTCTTCATATTTGCCTACATCTGCAAGCGCAGATGCAAAGTTCTCCATGCTACTAAGTGTATCCGGATGATCTATGCCAAGCACCCTTTTCCTTTGCTCAAATGCCTGCTGGCACATTTCCTCTGCTTCTTTATATTTGCCTAGGCTTCCAAGCGCATATGCAAAGTTATTCATACTTAAAAGCGTATCCGGATGATTCATACCAAGCACCCTTTTTCTTTGCTCAAATGCCTGCTGGCACATTTCCTCTGCCTCCTTATATTTGCCTAGTCTCCCAAGCGCAGCTGCATAGTTATTCATACTATAAAGGGTATCCGGATGATTCATACCGAGCACCCTTTTTCTCTGCTCAAATGCCTGCTGGTGCATTTCATCTGACTCTTTATATTTGCCTAGGCTTCCAAGCGCATATGCAAAGTTATTCATACTAACAAGGGTATCCGGATGATCTATGCCAAGCACCTTTTTTCTTTGCTCCAATACCTGCTTGCACATTTCCTCTGCCTCCTCATACATTCCTCGTGTGCTGAATACAGTCGCGAGGCCACTCTTACTGTTGATTGTGTCCAGGTGGTTTTTTCCAAGCAGATTCTCTCTAACCTCATATACCTGTCGCAACATTCTCTCTGACTCTTCGGATTGGCCCAGCCTATCGAGCACAATTCCAAGATTATGCATGTGCCTCAGTGTGTTTGCATGCTCTTTGCCAAGCTGTTTCTCGTCAAGTTCTAGTGCGTGTCGATACAATCCTTCTGCTGTCTGATATCGTCCTAAATGATAATTGCCCTCAGCAACGTTGCTAAAAAGTCTAGATTCTGCTTGCGTGCCTGTCAAATGCTCTGGAAGCTCTAGAATGGCATGTGCGTGTGGTAGGCACCTCATCCATATCTTTCTATTGTCATGCTCTGGAAATGGCATCACCTCATTAAGCCGCTGTATCGCAGACGCGACCATCTCCTTCAGCTCCCCTTCTTTCTCTAGCCAGTTTCGCATTGCTAGTCGCACAAGCCGGTGCATATCAAAGAAATCTCCCCCCTCCTGTTGAGTAATGAATGCATATCCCTTCAGTGTACCAATTGCATCTACAGTCTCCAGTCTGGTAGATGTAGGCAAGAGATACTTGGGTATATCTTTCTCCATTAAGATGCTCATGAATCGAAGGTATTTTGCCGCCAGTGGATCATTGTGTAAAATCTGGTGAAACGAGATAAGCCACGTCGTAGCCACTGGGTTCTGGATCTCTTTGTATCGATGTCGATCCTCAAAATCTTTACTGAGTAAGCTGATCATATCCCTAGGATTTGACAGGCAAAGCTCAAGATATTCTGTGGTTGATACATGTTTTGTTGCCATGTATGCCGATGCTTGTCTGATGGCAAGCGGTAAATTTGCCAAGAGGTCGAGTAGCTTCCCCGTGGCCTCCGTATCACTGATTTGGCTCTCCTTTAGGCCTCTCTGCAGTAAATTCAAGGCCTCGTACTGGCCCATCTCTGTTACATTGAAAATGTTCTCCACGAGGATATCCAGCCTTACTGCTGCTTCACGATTTCGTGTTGTGAACAAGATGGAACCATTTCGACTGAACGGAAGATAAGCTGAGAGTTCGGCATCTCCAAAGAACAGCGCTACATCGTCCGCATTATCAATAACCAACAGCCAACTGCCACTGCTCTCTTCACTCAAGGCAGTCTTAACAAGCTGCTTAATATCAGCCATATCTTGGTCGATTCCCTTAACATTTAGCTGTTTGCCAATGTTGCGATAACCGTTTTCGAAACTGGTTGCGTCTATTGCGGGCACCCAGAAAATAGAGCAGCCTGGATGCTCGTTATGAAGTACGTAGACGGCTTCCAATGCAATCTGTGTCTTACCCACGCCTCCAAGGCCTTCTATAACAGTTCTTTGGCAGTCTTCTTTATTCCCACCCGGCCTAATCTTTTCCAGAAGTCTTGATAGAATGGCCTGCCTTCCGACAAAGTTCTTGTTTCGCCCAAACGGGACGAGAAAATGAGCTTTCGGCGGTTCTTCAATGAGCCGTCCACGGCTTCTATCCGTTTGGATATACTGTTCGAGAATCGCCTTTAAAACGGATGCCGCCGTTGCCGCCGCAAAGTCCTGCCAGAGCTTGTTCTTGTGGCAGTCGGCATAATCGCAAATGCCCTTGACCACGATGCACGGCAAATCTTCCCACGCGCCAGCTCCCTCCATCTCAAACGCAATCACGCCTTCCTTTTTGGCTATCCTATCACGGTCTTCTCCAGACTTCATGACGGTGTCACCTGATGCAACTGCACCAATATAAATGGCAGGCCCCTGCGCCTCGTCTTGCTCTTTGTTGGTTCGGCTTCTCTCCAGATATTCTTCATCGCATCCCAAATCATCACATGATGAAGTGAGGGCCTCATCACAAACTGGATCCTTTCTTCCATGGCAACTGCTGCAGATGCATGTTGCTAGTTTGCGGTGCATATGACGATAGCCTGACTCGAATAGCTTGTCTTTATTCGCCCCAGGATACCTGTATTTTTCTTGATGCTTGATAGCATTTTCTTGAAGCTGTTTGAGAAAATGAGCGGTTCTTTCATAAAGCTTATCTTGACCGGTGTTTGTACTGAATTTCGTCAAGAAGTTGCCAATATTTTTGTCATGTTTGCGAAAATTATCCTCACGTGTATTCTTGCGCATAAACCCGTGGGGATAGTGTCTGCCGAAATCGTATTGAATGACGGAGCTGCTGATAACCACATCTCCTAGAAAGACATCATCTTTGCCGTTATGAGGCACGCCGCCACATATTCCTGCTAGGATGACGAGCCTGAGGGCTCCGTAGCTGGACCGCATGTTGGCAGCGGCAGAGGCTGCGTTGGTCTTGCCCATGTGAGATAAGAGAGCCAGCACAGCATCATGTTTGCCAATGCGGCCGGTTGTGTAGTGATTCAAGTCTCCGGCTGCTCTTCCAAATGTATCCCCATCTTTGTCCCAGAACTCGTCGAATAGGAGGGCCACCGCATCATACTCGAGGGGCAGCGCGCAAATGATGGCGATTTCAAAGTCTTCGCGGCGGGATGGTCGCTGAGCCATGGCGGCGATCTAGCTCCGTGTGATCATTGAGAACTGGCCTTTACTTTGCTTGCCTGATTTTTGGGGCTTGCGAAACAAAATTAGCATGGCTCAGTGAATTTGACAGTTCAAAGTTTGATGCCCAAAGCAAGATGGGCTGGTGAGGCTGTTCCGTAAACATTATGCGGGGAATCAAGGAAGCAGCCAATTACCAGGCTACAACCCCACCCGACCAATTATACCATTCCCTAAGGCTCAGCTGGTTTGAATAGTCCCTTGCTCAAGTATATACGCAAAGCAGGCTTCTTTTTGCCCCTGTAAGACTGGAATGTGCCGTCGCTTTCGATGACTGGCCATGTAAAGTGACATTGATTATGTGTTCTGTAGGTAGGTAGTTGCTTATCACAGGTTGTCGGTAATGATTTAGCGATAGCTATTTCGCGGGTTCTAACAACCGTGTGCTCAGCATCTTGTAGAACACGCCGAATAAACTACATATCAATTGCATGTATCTGATCGACTTTGGCCTTGGCAGTTGGGAAATAAGGTTGAAAGATCCAAATCCAAAGGCCACTATGCGGATGCTTCCGCTTTTCTGGGCCGCTAACGCTCGCTGTTAAAACAGGTTGGTGCCTGTCACGTACCAAGTACGAAGAGACACGCGAAAGAAATGGCGGGACAATCAAACGGATGAGCTTCACGGGTACCTGCCCGGTACAATGTATTTTCGACAGCACCCCAATATTCTACATTGATGCGAAGACGATGTGAAGAATAAGACCAAATGCACAGTCGATTTAAATATATATATAGACAGCCGTAGATGGACCCTGCACTAAGCAAACTAAATCTTGATTACCTGATCGGCATCAAACCTTGTGTCCGTTCTCACACCGTCACACCGTCACTCACTGACTCACTCCAACTGACTCACTTACATCCAATCAACACCACAAACTTCAATATTCACAACCGTCATCAACCAACAATGCCGCCCACAATCGTCCTCATCCGCCACGCCCAGGCCCTCCACAACGAAGCCAATAAGTACCCCAATCAATACAAAATTATATATTAAAACAAGCATCCTTATAAATATATCCTACAGGACCATTCTATCCCCGACCCTCGCCTCACCGACCTTGGCCTCCAGCAATGCGCCCAGCTCCGCCAGAACCTCGTCCAGCGCTTCTCGTCTTTCGAGGGCAAAATCGCCATTGTTGCGAGCCCGATGATGCGGACGCTGCAGACGGCGAGCTTGGCGGCGGATTGGCTGGTTGAGCGCGGAATCAAGATTGAGGCGGATGCTGATTGGCAGGGTATGTTGACTTATACCATTCTCTAAAACATCATCTTCAAAGACGTCATGTATTTTCTCATGCTATTGTCTCATGCCTGAGATGTAATACCACGTCTTACTGGCTATGATAACTCACACGCTCTCATACACTCATACACACTTCAATTCCTCATCTTACTCATAAACGTAAACAACAGAAAACTCGGACAAACCCTGCGATACCGGCTCTCCCCCCTCCCACCTCGTCCTCCTCAAAGACAACCACACCAAAATCCAATTCACCTCCCCCTCATTCGACTTCTCCGCCATCCACCCCCTCTGGCCGGATAAGACTTCTTCCCCCGCGGCCCGCAGCCGCTTTGGCTACACCCGCTCCGCCATCCTGAACCGAGCCCAGCGCGCCCTCGAGAAGCTCCGCCAGAGACCCGAGGATCTGATTTTTGTCTTTTCGCACTCGGCGTTTATGAGGACGGCGGTGACGAGCTGGTGGTACTTTAATGCGGATTATCGGATCTTTGAGTTTGATGATGAGGGCAAGGATGGGGCGGTGGTGCCGTTGAGGATGGATCAGTCGACGCTGGAGGGGGGGATGGGGTGGTCGTGGGCGAAGAGGGTTGAGGTGGGATATGAGCTTCCTGATGATCCTGAAGAGGAGAATGGAAGTTGATTGGTCAGGTTGTATGAATAGAGATTGCATTGATAGATTTGTACTCTATATGATAGATGGTTGATTGTATGCTGATTCATAGAAGTTATATATACACATGATACAAGGCACTGCCTTTATTTCGACAAGAAGCTCTGAAACGCCGACTGGTCGATAATCACATTGCCCACCGCTCGAAGTCTCTTTCTTCCCTCCTTTTGCTTCTCCAACAACTTCCTCCGTCTGGTGATATCACTGGCATGCAGCTTCGCCAGCACGTCTTTTCGGAACGGCTTGATGGTTTCTCGGGCAATCACCTTGTTGCCCACGATGGCTTGAATGACGACCTCTTTGCAAAATTGTTAGCAACCAATAATCAAAACACTGTTTTGCATAAGTAAACTCACCAAACATTTGTCGATCGACGTGCTCTTTGAACTTGGTGACCCACTGTCGGCCCAGGCGGTCTACCTGCGTCGAATGCACCACTCGGCAAATAGCATCCACAGGCTGCCTGTTGACAAGCAGCTGCAGCTTCACAAGCTTACTCTGGCGCCATCCAGCGTCTTCGTAATCGAGAGTCGCATAGCCCTTTCTATAACCCACAGATTAGTATACTCAGATTCCAACATGACGCTCTTGTGAAACTTACGACACGCCCTTGAGTTTTCCAAACAAGTCATCAACAAGCTGCGAGGCAGGAACATCGTACGTCAAGATAACTTGGTCCGTGTGGAAAAACTCCAAGCTCTGCTGCTCGCCGCGGTTGCCTTCGCAGAGCTCAATGACTCGGCCGAGATACTCCTCAGGAACCGTAATTGTCGCCTTGACGAAGCTATCAACAAGAACAAAAGTTAGTCAAATAGCTATTATATGTGATATTTGCTAGCACTTCGTTTATACTCACGGTTCGAACAAGGTCGCAGATCTAATCTTATGATCGCTCATATCGGGAAACAAAGCCGGGTTCTGCACAACCTCCTCCGACTCATCCGCGTACACAATCTTCGTCGGCACAGTAGGCTCCGTGATGATTATGTTGCGGCCGTGCTCCTGCCTCAGGCGGTCCTGAAAGACGGAGCAGTGAAGACTGCCCAGGAATCCAAGACGCCATCCGGAACCAAGAGCTTCAGAAAAGTCCTTTTGCAGCGTCACGCTGCGATCGTTGAGCACAAGTTGGTTCATACTATCAGCCAGACGGTGGTAGTCGCTCTGGTCGGTAGGAAAGGCGGCAACGAATACCATAGGCTTCGGTTCTTCGAAACCCGGACACGGCTCGACGGTTTCTTCCTCGCCTACTGTGGTGAAGGTGTCTCCCAGCTTGGCGTCTTGGATCCTCTTCATGCCCGGGTTAAAGTATACGTAGCCAACTTGGCCCGCACGAAGAACAGACTGTGGTGTCGCATTGGGGTATTGAATGCCAACCTGGCCGACCGTATACTTCATGCCCGTACCCAAGGATATCACATTGTCGCCAGCCTTGATAGTTCCATCAAACAGTCGGACAAGAAGAACCACGCCCTTGAAGGTATCATACCAAGAATCAACCAGAAGCATCTTCAACGGCTTATTCTCATCGCCAATAGGATGCGGAATCCCCTCCACCACAGCCGGCAAGAGATTCCCAACGCCCTTGCCCGTCTTCGCGCTCACCATAATCGCCGTCTTGGGGTCCAACTCAAAGCTCGTCTCCATCTGATCCAACACGCGGGGCACATCCGCCGACGGCATATCAATCTTGTTTATGACGGGCACCAGCGCCAGGTCCTGCGCAAACGCGAGGTGGAAGTTGGACACGGTCTGCGCCTGGATGCCCTGGCTGGCGTCGATAAGTAACAAAGCGCCGCCGCAGCTGGCGTAGGAACGGGTGACTTCGGCGCGGAAGTCGACGTGGCCGGGCGTGTCGACGAGATGCAGCAGGTAGTCGAGGCCGTTGTGCTTGTAGATCATGGTGCATGTCTGGGCCTTGACCGTGATGCCGCGCTCGCGCTCGACGTCGAGTTTGTCCTGCGAAAGACGGCTGTTTAGCTTTCATGCTGCAAGAAGAAGACACCAATAGCTTACGAGAATCTGCTTGTTCGCATCGCTCGCCGAAATCGTGCCCGTCAGCTCCAGCAGCCGATCGCTCAGCGTGCTCTTGCCATGGTCAATATGCGCCACAATGCAAAAGTTTCGGTACCGCTCAATCGGGATCGCCGCAATCCGCGCTTCGAGCTGTGCAGGCGTCGGCTTGGCCTGCGAGGCATACCCGCGAAATCGACTCGACAGCTTGATGGCGATATTGTAGCTGCTGCTATTCCAGCCGAGCGCCCGACTCCGCGGCGGCGCCAGCCATTGTCGAGTCCAGGCTCGTCCAGCTCTCCCAGCCAGGCTCATCTGGGCATCGACAAAGCTTGCATTGAGCAACAACTGTGCGATGTCGCTGTGGCTGTGGCGCAAAACTGCAGAGGTTGGAGGGATCTCGAAGCTGCGGAGGTGTTGGTGGGTGAATTTTCCTCTTTGAGGCGGATTAGTTCCGCACTTGCGATGGCGGCCCCTCCTAAGAGCAACATCAGCTAATGGCATGACATGATGCTACCGGACAAGAGAAATCTCATATCATAGGAATAATTCTAAACATTGTATTTCTTCTTCTTCTTGTTTGTTTTACGGCGGTCATATCCCATCCCTTGCCTTGTAGCTAAAAGCCGCAACCGTAGTCTATAATACATGTATGTACATGCAAGTATCATAAAGAGCCCACTCACATCTCTTGTAAGCACATCTTCGAAACGCGACCTTGTGTCATATGTCGGCACCGATATCCCACACAGCTGCCATTACTATATATAGGTATATATATAATCGTCCAGTCATGAACATTATTCTAAGTTCCAGATTAATTATTTCCGTCTCTTGATCGTAAGGTATCACATTGTATAAAACACAGCAACTCTTTCTCTTTCTCTTGTCTCTCTTATGTAAGAACCCATTCGCTTCCCCTCTTGAGGAATTTGTCTAGCAGTAGACTAAGATCGGCGAGGACAAACCGACAGATGTAGAAGCCAAAGAATTCGGCCGCGTGACGTGTGCAAAGCTCTAGGCCGACTTGGGTTTTGTCTGCATGTCGCAGGCCGGGATCTTCGACTTGTCTTGCGATTTGATCTAAGCGTTGCAAGTCAGCCATCTGGTTATCTCAAAAAGAATAAAAGTGTGAGCATGTCGCGGAAACTTACCAATTGCCTGCGCAGCATCAAACAAACGGGCTAGCGAGCCCATGTACATCGCGTTGGGGCCGATAAACTGAGCCTGGCTGACATCTCGCTTCGGCGGACGGCTGGTCGGCTTCGGCGTCATGGGGAGAGTCGCCAGCGTCGTCACCTCCTTGGTTTCCATACTTGCACTGCGGTTGCTATATGATCCGCCCAGCCCGACGCCCGACGTCTTTGGTCGAAGTCTTCGCCATGAAAACGCAGATGCTTTCCCAGACACACTGCCCGAACGTGGTACGTTTGAGCCTCCCTCTCCGTCCACGGAGGCATCTTTGAAGATGTGGCCGCCTTGGACTCCAACTTCGCTCCCAAGCTTCCGGGCAAGAGACGATTGGACCTGTTCAAGAACGCCCTCCAAGGACTGCATCTCTTCCAGTACAGCGTCCGCATCAAACGTGTCAACCTTGGCCAGCTTCAGCAGCGCTGCAGTGAGGAAATCGCAGTTTGCAACTTTATCTTCAACGTTCTTAATCTTGACCCCTTTCACTCGCCACACATCCCGCGGTACAAACAGCTTCGTGCTGACATAGCCGCCCTTGGGGTGCACCAATGTTTGGTAGAGACAGCGCATCAGCCAAAACGGCCGCAGCATAAAGTCATTAGGGCAAGGCTCCAGAGGTGCAGGAACTTCCATTGACACCACTGGACTCTGGGGACCGGGAGTGGCCGCCGCATGGAAATTGTCGTCAAACAAGTGGAGTCCAGCACCACCGCCAGCCTCCCCGTTGTCCCTGAATGAAGTAATGAGAGGCGTCGGCAGCGCAGGCACAGCAGGCGTCTTGCCAAATGGATTGCCATTGGGGGTGCCAGGTGATACGTCCGAGTTATCGTCAAGATGTGACACTGACATGTTTCGATTCTTCATGCTCCGCAAGCTGGAAGATGAGAAATTCTTTTTTAATCTGTGGATGGAAGGCGACGCATTGGCTGCGGTCGCATCTTCTCCATCTATCAGCTTCTTTTTGGCACTGGGTGATCCAGGAATCTTTGACTCGTTGTCTGCCGCATTCAGTTGCTTTACAGGGTGTGCGCTGGCTCCTCGAACCAATGCTTCTACCAGGTCCCTGTCTACCGTGCTTGGGGATATTTCGTCGTCGTCATACACTGTTCTGGTGTTTGACTGCCCGAGATTCGTGGTTTCAATCTTGAGCTGCTTTGGATTCTGCCCAGACATTCGGCGATTCCGCACGCCGTGGGATGGAGAATCAGAGCCTTTTGGCACTTCTGGTAATGTCGTGGTTGGCGGTGGTGGTAATGTCGTAGTTGGTGGTGGGGCTGCTGGTTGCATGATATTTGAGGTCTGGGGGATGGGTGGTCTTTGAGATAGGGCAGAAAACGATCGAACGCCTGATATAAAGTCTGGCCTTGTCTCGTCTTCATTCCATGCTTCCTGCTGGCTGGCCGACACCGTTGCGGTATTCGACTGCGGCTGCGTCATGGTAAAATCTTCGATTGCAAAGTCGCGGGTTATCTCGTCCAGTAGCCTCTCCTCATCTTCTGAAGAGTCATCCTCGTAGAATCCGTCTGGTGTATATTTATCCTCCTCTTCTTGGAGATAGTGTTGATTTTGCTGGTGCGCTTGTCGCAGCATCGCTAGGTCATCATATGCTTCCTGTTCAGTCTGTCTTACTTGTTCTCGTGCCTTCTCTACCCTTTGCATTACGCTTGCGACGACGTCTTCACGAGGATCCATGGCATCGTAATCTTCGGTTTCCATGGGCTCGAAACCATCGTCATATGCAGCTTCGATAGCAGCGTCCAGCGCTGTGTCGAATTCCGCCTCCGTGTTACCGCTGGCAGCCCTAATATGACGCCGGCGGTAGCCTAGCGATGATGTACGCGAATGTACAGACGAGACGGTTGAAGCACCTGATTCATCAATTGGATCCAACCATGAATTCTGGGTTCCTTCTGTGAAATCCTGCATATCATAAGGGAGGACGGAGTCGCTGGGCTGTCGCTGGTGGTAGTGCTGGTGATGAGGTTCGTGATGCTCTTGTACCATCTCGGTGTATTCCTCTGGATGCATCTTCATTGGGGATGGTGAACGAGGAGATAGGGGCGCCGGTGCATACAAAGCCTCTTGTTGACTCTGTGCCCGGAGATTATCTGTAGAGCGGAGTCGTCGAGGAGATCGAGAGAATGAGGACTGCAACATCCCTGGTTCCAAAGTACGAGCGGGCTGCTGTCGATCTGTTGTTGTGTAATCTTGCTGCCACTGATGTGCAACTGGGGAACTGCCATCTCCAATAATGCTGACGACTCTTGCCGTTTCAATTCTGGGAGCCTCCTCCATCATTTCGTAGTCCTGATGCATGTATATGGACGCGCCGTAATCTTCGCTTTCTGGGCGGGCGGGTAGAGCCTTGACATTCTCATCTTGCCAAGGGCCCATTTGATCCAGCTCGTCGATCCGGCTGGTGTAAGTTGCGCGCTGGATACATATCATTAGCTCAAGTACATGGGTGGCCTTTGCCTAATCTTTCTCTCCTCTTCGTCATCTTCTTCTTCTTCATCTTTCAACCCAATAGTTTAAAACCTACAATTGTTTCAAGCTTCCGCTTATCCTCATCTCCTGAAGTTCGGTCCAGCACCTGCTGTAATAAATCACAGGCCTCGGCATACGATTCTCGAGCGCCCTCGAAATTTTGAGCATTGTCAAGCTGTACTGCAGTGTTGGCCTTTTGCAGCGCACGAGAAAGCATTGCCTTTTGAGAGGGGTTCTTCTGAGCGCGGGGCTTGCCCAAATCTCTGCTGCTTTTCCCAGAGTGGTCCCTTGAATGGCCCCGGGGGGCATAGGGATCATGGCTATGTTCATGCGGCATCCTGGCGGTGGACGATGTAGTGGTGGTAGGGTTTGCGTAAGGATTGGGCGATACGGAGCGTAGCTGGCCGTTCTCGTAGTGCCTCATGGACATGCTCGACTCAGACCTCATTGGATGTACCGACGTGGGCGTCACGCCGCTGTCTGAAGAGTTGAAACGGCTTCGGACCGTGTAAGACGGTTTGCGAGGAGGTGCCTGGGCGGGTGGGAGAGGAGGGGGAGGGACCGATGGAGGAGAGAGAGCTGCTTCAAGACTGGCGCGACGGATACGAGAATTCGATATCGAGGCCTGGCGAGAGGCATAAGGGGACGTGCGACTGGACGCAGACGAGATGGACGACGTCGACCAGCGGTTGCGGGTCCGGGAGGCTTCCTGCGGCGACGCTCCGGAGCTGGCGCCCCTGTTGAGCTGCGACGACGGCGTTGACGGCCGCTTGAGGCTGACGGGGGGGTGCACGGGGCCGCGATGCGTGTGCTGGCTGGCGTTTGCGTGGTGAGGCGGCGAGTTGGTGTTGATAGCAGCAGCGGTGCTGGCGCTGGGCGGCGAGCCGTGCAGCGGCGGGATCAGCGACGAGCTTCGCGGCAGGCGGGCGGACGAGAAGACGGAGCGCAGAACGGGCGTCTTGGGGCTCGACAGCACGGCCTCGATGCCGGGAGCCTCTCGTGACGACGCCTGCGGTGGTGGTGGCGGCGGCGACGAGGGTTCTATGGGAGCGCGAGTTGCCCGGCGGGAGATGATGTTATCGTCAAAGGGATGCGACTGCTGCATGCTCTGCTAGATGCTGGATTGGGAGCAGGCTCCTGTGTCAGCCAATAGTCGCCTCGTCCGGGCCAATCTTACTCGTACAACGTGGGTCGTGGAGATGTGCAGGCCTGGATATCGCGCTTGTGCGGCAGATAGCCATGACCACCAAGATCCGGGCTTGATGGTTTGTTTTAGCGAACTCGAGCTGAAGGCCAGATTGGCGGCAGAATTCTGAGAGAGGGAGATGGAGAGAGACACAGAAGAACGCTCAGATCGGCCGCATCCCAACGCAGCTGCTGCAAATCCCGTCTGCACGTACCCAGCCCAGAGTCGAGAAAATCGGGGATTTGGATGGACGTTCCCTGGCCGGTGGATCGTGGGGAGAGGCCAGGCTGGGAGTTGCTTCTGCTGCGAAGCACCGGCGCACGCTCAAGTACCGGTACCTGTGCCTGGCGCTGGCGAGGACCAGAAGCCGCCCACAGCGCCCACAGCGCCTGGCATGCACCGCTGATCACAGCACAGCGCTCACCGCTCGCAACCATGTGGTGCTACCGCACGATATTAACCGCTGTCAGGCCCGCCGCTGCCAGACCACAATAACCCCCCCCTGATAGAGACCATCGGCCGTCTGGAGTTTCTCGCTTGAGGCTAAGAGGCGCCTGTCCCAGCAGCTTGTCGCCTAGTGCCAAAATCGCAGGCCAATGCCGCTGCATGGAGCCCTTAAAACCGACCCCTAACCCACAGCGTCTCGTCCCCTTTTCCAACCCCTGGCCGCTGTGCTGCTCCAAATGGACGGGTACCAGTACACTAGTGCGTGTTTGGACCAAAGTAGGAAATGCCAGGCTGTCAGGCATTGTAATTGGCCAATGCAACTTTGAATGTCTGGCATGCCATGAACTAGCCCGTTTGGGACTTGGGGCCCCGTTAGCGGATCAGTGCCTCTGTAGAGCGCAAATCCGGAGTAGAACCTTATCGCCCCGCGAGTGCCGTAACTGAAGGACAGGGGCCGCGATAAAGACGCCAGAGCTCCATGTGCCTATGATGCTAGGAGCTTAGTGTGTATAGCAGCTGCAACTCGATCAATATCACCAGAGAGCTCTTGTGTCGACATAATGGCGAATGTTGATGACATTTTCAAGGTATGGGAATAATATGACGCTTTGGCTTCGACGCATTGGCACGTGTATTGCTGCTAACTACCTGCTCTCAGGCATCAGGCTCCAGCAGCAAGCGAAAACTCGAGCAGCCAATTCGCGACCCCAGTAAGTGAGAACACGAGACATGGCATCACGATACATTGCCAGAAATCTATACTACCATTATAGCTGATCTGTTTCTAACCAATTGGCTGCTCTTTACAGATGAGATTTACAAAGCTACCAAACTGAGCGACCGCACCGTCAATCGCCATGCCCAAGTCGAAGACGAAGTAGAAGAGACTCCCGCCGACGACGACGAATTCGGTCCCGAATTGCCACCGGAAGACGACGCCGGCGATGACGAAGAGGGCCGCTTCTTCGGCGGCGGCATCTCCAAACAAGAATCCGAGATTCTCGATTTCGTCGACAAGGCCGAAGCGGGCGGCGATCTGGGAAAGATAGACAGCGCCTGGCTCAGAAGAACGGCGCTCAACCTCGAGAAGCTCATCACCAAGAATTCGGAACTGCGCGCCCGGTTCGAGGACGAGCCGCACAAATTCATCGACAGCGAAGCCGATCTCGATGCCGAAATCAAGAACCTCTCTCTGCTTGCGGAGTCTTCGGAGCTGTATGAGGAGTTTGTCAAGCTGGGCAGCGCAGGGAGCTTGGTCAGCCTGCTGACGCACGAGAATACAGACATTGCCATTGATGCCATTGAGATTATCGGAGAGCTCACAGACGACGATGTCGTTACGGAGACTGAGCAATGGGACACTTTGGTCGGCGCATTAATTGACAGTGACCTGTTTGGTCTGCTAGTCTCCAACTTGACTCGCTTCAACGAAGACGACGAGTCTGATCGCACGGGTGTCTATCATTCTCTCAGCGTGTTGGAAAACCTCAGCTCCCAGAAAGCCGTCACTACGCGCATGTGCGAGGAGGATGCCCTGCTAAAGTGGCTGCTGCAGCGCATTCAGCGCACCGAGTCGCCAGTGAGCCAGAACAAGCAGTATGCCGCAGAGATTCTGGCCATCCTCGCCCAGACAGCGCCGGAAAACTGTGAAAAGCTCATCAGCCTAGACATCGTCGACACCATGCTCCAGCTAGTAGCTCCTTATCGTCGGCGAGATCCAGAAAAGGGAAGCCCGGAGGAGGAATTTGCCGAGAATTTATTCGAAAGCCTTACATGTCTGGTCGACATCGCTGCCGGGAGAGCCAAGTTCCTCGAAGCTGAAGGAACTGAACTCTGTCTCATCATGATCAAGGAGAGCAAAAAGGCAAAGAACCCGTCTTTACGCCTATTAGATCACGCGACAGGCGGCGCCACCAGCGTCGAGATATGCCAGAGAATAGTCGAGGCAGGAGGACTGAAAACCACATTCACCCTGTTCAACAAGACGCAGGATAACCGCCTCGTTGGGCCGTTGCTGTCCATCTTCTCCTCCATGTTACGATTATTGCCCGCCGAGTCCGCGGAACGGATACGCTTGCTGGCCAAATTCGTCGAAAAGGACTACGAAAAGACTGCAAAGCTGGTAAAGCTACACAGAGACTATAACACGCGCATAAAAGCCGCCGAAGAGGCGCATCAGCAAGAGTCGATAAATTCGCGCGACTCAGAGGAGGATCGTGAGATTCAACTGCTCTCGCGGAAGATGGACGCCGGACTGTTCAACCTCCAGCTCGCCGACGTCATTCTAGCGTGGCTCATTGCCGAGGACGGCGGCGCAAATCAGAAGATTAAGCGACTGCTGGCGGAGACGGACGACGACTTTAAATCGATACAGAAGACGCTCAAAGAGCAACTGAAGGAGTTGGATACCATGGAGGAAGACAGCAAGGATATGGGGGAGATGCTGAGCACCCTCATAGATTTCCTTGACTAATTTGAGAAACCCAGGAGAGAAGCGCAAGTAATAATGAGCAAAATGTAGTTTTAAATATAAGTTAATGTGCAAACTTGATCGAGCATAGCGTCAGTACCAAAAGAGTACGAGCATTTCCACCGTCCTTCTCTCCCCCAGCCGCTAGTACAGAAAGTTCAATCCCATATTATTCCCTCCTTCAATATACACTCCACACCTCACAACAGCAACAGCCACACTTCATCGTAACTCAAATTCACGCAGCCACAGGCTTAACATCAAACACCGCCTGCAGCAGGTTCTTCACAACGGTGTCCTGGTTCTTCTTGCCGGCCTCCTTAATCACCTCAATCTGCTTCTCGGCCTCCTTGCTGGCTTCCTGCTCGGCGGCCTCGTTGCCCTTGCTGTGCTGTAATCGGAAAATGTTAGGCCATGTGTCTGTATTATGTTCCTGATGGGCTGTATATCCGTACCTCGGCTTCAAACTTCTTGAACTCGTCTTCCTTGCTAGCCTTGTAATCGGCGATTTCCTTCTTGGCTTCGTCACGGGCCTCCTTGACGCGCTTGGTTCGGACTATATGCGTCGTTTGTATGTCAGAATTGTGTTTCTTCGCTTCGGATTCGTATATTCTCGCATTTCGTTCCGCCAAACAGAGAGATGGAGCTGAGGTGTGGTTGCGGTTGCGGTAAATGGTCATCACTCACATTCTCGAGCTAAATGCAAACAAGCAAAAGTCAGTCAACTTCCAAAAGGCAATGAAGCCCTGATATAGGATGGTCACAACATACCCTTCTGTACAATCTTGGATGCCTCTCTCTCAGCCTACCAACACAGCATCAGCACCACGAACCATCATCGCCCGACATCTTCCTCGTCGTATCGATCCTATAGAAACAGCCGTATAAAATCATACGCTCATGTCGTCAAACATACATCAAGAAGGGTCTGAATACCCGCCGAGTTCTGTGCAGACTGTTTTCCATAATCGTCAGCTTCCAGAAGCTACTACCCCCTCTAGACAAACATCAATGCGCGCGCGCACTCACCATGACTGATCGTTTGACGGTAGTTTTGAAAGAACTCGCTCAAATACAAAGAAAGGAGAAGAAAAGGATTGGAATTCGGTTCAAGGCGCAGGAGTTGTAAAGTCGCAGAATGCAGTGGATGTCTCTGGTGAGCTTTAGCTTCCAGCTTCATGCAAAGGATAGATGGGATGCCGCCTTAGGTAATGCCGGTTGTCGTCACAGCTTTTCGGCGTGGCCTCGGCCTTAGAAGTGCGCTCCTAAAGTACCGCGCTCTGGCACCACTAACTGCGCAACAGCAAACTTTCAAGCTAAACTGTTACTGCATCCCGCCAACGGTACTCTCCTCCTCTACAATACCACCTAAATCGAACCTGTCCAGACCACCCACACAACAGATAAGCTTGACGGGCAATCATCGTTCTAAAACTTCATTCGCATATTCACGCCATTTCATTCGCCAACGCCTAAACATCCACACTCGCCCATCGCCCATCTTTATAGCCTCTTATACAGATCACGCCAAACTACTGAGCCAATCTCCTCATATCCTACTAGAAGTCTTGCACGCAAAACAATTCCCCATCAGGGAAGAAACAGAAAAGAAAAAAAACTCATTATAAAACTTCGTCGCCATGTCTCAGGCATCTAGAATTGCCCTCGCCACGACATCCACATTCACCTGTGGAATGATTGCATGGGTTCACTTCAGACAACGAGAAGAGAAAAATGTACGTTTTGCTTTCTTTGTCCACCCGCTCGCCATCATACTTCATCTTCACCAGCATCACTGCTAACCAGTAGCTTTGTACAAAAGACTATGCATCAGGGCGTTGTCCGTGACATGGAGCGACAGCGCATCAAGAGAGAGCGTGAATTGGACTTTGATATGCAGCGCCAGTTGGAGGCAGAGTACAAGCTCGAGCAGAATGTTCACAATTCACTGGAACCTCTGGGCAACAATTCAGCCCCGCCAAAGTAACGGCAAAGACATTCATTCACATCATGTATCACAATGAGCGAGCTTAGAGATTCATGTTTGCCTTACTTTTTTGTTTCTTTGTTGTATTATTCTTATCTACATGTACAAATCATACTCTCCGCTCAGCAACCATGTAGCTGGCGTAGCAATGGGGGTGAAGCCCCCCATGTCCATTCTGTCTTGAAGCAATTTCCACTTTCTACCAATCTCCAAAAGATGTACGAAAAATGAACTTTTCAGCCATTGTGGCAACCATATAATGCAACATTTATAACCCAATCCCCATCGCCAAACTACCGAACAGATGCACCAGACCGGTTGGTGTACATTCTAGCTGCAATGTTCATTGACTGGAGCTCCTGGAATAAGAGCTTGGCAGCGTAAGGAATGTGGATCTGTGCAATCTTTGTCTTGTTCTTGCATGGCCGACACTCGAACGATTGTTTGGATAAGTTACTATAAAAATGTTAATAGACTGTTATTGAGTTTGTAGAAGAGAAGCATGAGGAATACGTACGCAATGGGTGTCATGAGTCCACAAATCTCGCAAATGTGAACTCGGAAGGCGTCCGACACCTCAAACAATCGCTCCTTGAGGAAGGACGCTGCACCGTGTGCAATCATACAATCACGTTCCATTTCTCCGAATCGGAGACCACCATCTCGAGCACGACCCTCCACTGGCTGCCGTGTCATGATCTGCACAGGACCACGAGCTCTGGCATGGATCTTGTCGTCCACCATGTGGCGGAGTCGCTGGTAGTATGTCGGTCCAAAGAATACTTGTGCTCTTAGCTTGCGTCCAGTATGGCCGTTGTACATGATTTCGAAGCCTCGAGACTGGTAGCCGTGCTTTCGCAAGAGCTCAGAGACTGAATCGACGGTGACATCCGTAAAGGGAGTAGCATCACCCTCCATACCTTCCAGCGTAGAGACCTTACTCAGGAGACACTCAATCAAGTGAGCAATTGTCATACGAGACGGAATGGCGTGGGGGTTGATAATGATATCTGGAGTGAGACCTTCTCTTGTGAATGGCATATCCTCCTGTCGGTAGGTAACACCAATAGTGCCCTTCTGACCGTGACGAGAGGCAAACTTGTCTCCAATCTGGGGAATCTTGGTCGTTCGAACACGGACCTTGACATATTTAACATTATCCGCGTTCACCGTCACGATAACCTGGTCGACGATACCATTCTCGGTACTTCGCAAAGGCGTCGAGATATCGCGTCTTTGGTGCATGGTCGTCCTGGTTCCAAGATCCTGTGTCTCGGCGTCGATTGGTGCTGTCTTGCCGATGATGATGTCCTCACCTGACACACGAACACCAGGAGCAACGATACCATCTTCGTCCAGCTTGTCATATGTGCCGTGCTTCATGCGAAGAGTGTTTTGGTGGAATGGCTTCTCAAACACTTCCGTGTAGTTCAAGCCAACCTTCTTCTCTTGATCTGAATATGATCGGAAGAAAAGACTTCGGAAGAGACCTCTGTCAATACTACTCTGGTTCATAATGACGGAATCTTCTTGGTTATAGCCAGAGTAACAAGCAATTGCTACAATGGCGTTTTGTCCGGCTGGCAGCTCACGGAATTTCAAAAACTCCATAGAACGAGTAGTGCCCAGCGGTTTCTGAGGGTAGTAGAGGATATTGGCCATGGTGTCCATACGCCGAGAATAGTTGGTTAGGAAGAAGCCCATGGCTTGTTTACCCATGGCAGACTGGTAGGTGTTACGGGGGGACTGTATAGCATCAATTAGCGATCTGACCGTAGGGGACTGAAAAGTTGGACAAAGGGGGAAAAGGATAGCTTCTCGGGTTGACATACCTGGTTGTGATCGGGGAAAGGAATGATACTAGCACAGATACCTAAGATCATACTCGGGTGAATCTCGCAATGCGTATACATGTGAGTTGTCGGATTTGTCTTGGTCTTGAGACGCTTATTTGGATCGTCTCCTATGTCTTCATCCGTGGCAATGCCGGCCTTTTGAAGACGATAGAGCTCCAGATCCTCCGGTGTCATGCAAATCATGGACGTTTCTTCTTCCTCGGCGTCGAGATATTCCACCGCACCAGCTCTAATCAGCCCTTCCCATCCGAGCTTCATGCTTGGGTCTTCTGGAGGCTCAGCCTGCTCTTTGGCCAGTCTATTGACAAGGTCCTTGGTCAAAACCAGGTGGCCCTTGTTGATACCCGTTTCCGGGTCATCTTCCTGCTGTACAGTGAAGACGGGACGCATGACACGGCCGGCGTCAGAGAAGATTTTGAATTCTTGGTCTCGAATTTCTCTGATCAGAGAGACCTCGTACTGCAGATAGGATTTGCGACGAGTATCCAAAACTTGGTTTACCAGATGCTTGGGGTCTTGGTGGATTCCAACCCAGACACCATTCACAAAGATCTTTGTAGCATGGGGATACCTCAGTGGCTCATACTCCTCAACGACTTCCATACCTCTGTTGATCATAAACTCGATCAAAGGCTCAGAAGGAGATCCAACACTGACGTAGCACATGAGAGACAAATTCTTGACCAGACCACAAGCTTGACCTTCAGGGGTCTCAGCCGGGCACACCAAACCCCAGTGTGTGTTGTGGAGCTGTCGAGGCTTCGCCAGCTTACCATCTCTTCCGATGGGTGTATTGGTACGGCGCAAATGGGAAAGTGTAGAAGCAAAAGTGTAACGGTTAAGCACCTGTGAGACACCTGCGGTCGAGCTCATTGCCTTCTTCTGGTCACCCCAGTTTCCAGTGGCGAGCGAGTACTTTAGTCCGTTGGAAAGTGTGCCGGGCTTAATGCCAACAGCAAGGTTGAAGTGGCGGTTACCCTCAACACATCGTCTGAGGTAGTTGGCCAGCTCTGTATTCATTCTGCGCATGATACCACGGAACAGCTTGGCCAGCAGTGGACCCGCCAGATCTAGACGCTTCTTTCCAAAGTGGTCTCGGTCGTCGGGCTCTCGTCTTCCAAGTGCGCATTGCAATAGCTTGTGCACCATGTATCCAAGGAAGAATGCCTTTCTGGTCTCACTGCCTTCAGTCTGGGAAATGTGGGGAAGCGTCTCCTTCTGGAGAATGTCCTTTGCTACACGAACACGCTTCTCACGACCGAGGCCGGCTTGATCACGGTTGCCTCGCTTTCCGATGAAATCAAGGGCAACTTCTCGATCCTGAACACAAAAGGCTTCTTCAATGCAAGGCCGAAGCATTTCGAGCATTTGGCTGTCGTTTCGGTCGTAGCAGATGTGGTTCAGAATGTCCTCATCAGAAACGACGCCCAAGGCACGGAAAACAATGGCAACGGGAAGATCTGACTTGACAAAAGGCAGGGTAGTGTGAATAGTTTGCCCAAAACCACCTCGCGCAGAGTCTCCTTTGCCGTACAACTTGAGCATCATGCTGGAGATGAGTCGAGATCCCTTTTCCAGCGCACTTCGGATTTCGGCCGTGTAGGTATAGGCACTGGGCTGGGCCTTCTTGAAGACCTGGACGATGTTTGCGGCGGAACGCTCCTGGGCGATGAGGACCTTTTCACTACCGTTGATAACGAAGTAGCCTCCTTGGTCATAAGGGCACTCGTTGACGAGGAACAGGCTGTCATCCTGTTCACGGCTCAGATGACAAATCTTGGACTTGACCATGATGGGCAGCTTGCCAACGAAAACCATGTCCTTCCAGTCGTCAGACTTGCCGAGATTGTCGTCTTCGCCATTCTCTTCCTCTTCCCATTCCAGCTTTGTGGGGTTTTCTCCGGTCCTTGCATACTGTTCCTGCTGGGCATCATCCATCTCATGCAGCGGAACCTCCCTCTCGACGGCCGCAGACACTTTCTTGGTGATCTTGATATACAGCGGACTGGCGTAAGTCAGGTTGCGGTCTCGACATTCGTAAGGGAGCAAAGACGTCACAGTTCCATCCGTCTCACTGATAGTGGGACGTGATACCATGACGCTTCCAAATTTGATTTCATATCGGCGAAGGGCTATCGTTCGACCAGGTGGCGAAGGAGGATTGGGCTGGTCGAGTGTGATGGTGGAGTATTCGTTGACGAGATCCTGGATTGTCGTCTGGGTGAACTCGTCAAAGGAGTCGGTCTGCTGTGATACGAGGCCCTTGGTCTCGAAGAAGGAGGAAATCACAGTCCAGCAATCCTCGGGCGTGATGCCCTCATCCTCATCCCCATAGTTCTCATAGTCGTAATCGTCTTCGTAATCAGCCATGGTGCCGGTGTGAGATCTTTTCAAGATTGATAAGAAATAAAATGGAGCCTTCTCCTTCAAATCTTGCTCCAACAAGCCTTTGAGCAGAGGTCCAGAGCAATTATCGTGAGTTGCAGCCTCGTCCTCGCGCCGTGGAGGGACCGCTCGAACAAGGAAGCTCTCGACGAATCAGCAGCGATCCTAATGCCTGTCACCAAGCAGCATCTGCGAGCGATCCCGGCAAAAAGAGTCTCCTGGACACAAAGAGCTCTTGCGGGACTGGCGATGCGCACGATGGATGCCGACGTTGAAGAGCAGCAGCTTTTTAGGCGTGATGATGGAAACTTTCCAAGGCAAAAGGGATCCCGCCAGTTGCTGCGGCGCGACGTGCTTAGAGAGCAGAAGCCACTGACTAACTGAGACTAGCGCCCCGATACAGCACTTGCGCCTCTGAAATGACGATTGGATTAGATAAGCGCCATTTTTCTTTGGGCGCCAATAGGTATAGGTAGTGGGCGCCTTTTCTTTGCACTCCGTAGACCAGATACAGACAACACAACGAGAGAGCATTTGGCGAAGACTGACATTTGGCATGTAGAGATTCTATTAAGCTACTTTCCTGTAAATCAAAATTCTATCCAACAAAACAACTTTCAAGCGTACCTAACCATACTATTGTATCCACAAAGATTGCCATCACAAGGTAGGTAGCACTGTATGGGATATATAGGTACGCATCACAACTATGTTTGTAAGATCAGGCCCATACCCTGTGCAATCTTGCGTGCCAGGGCCTTCTTCAGATACCATTCTCTTGCCAAAGATCGTGTCATCTTCGCAAATGCTGCAGGGGATATGCGACCTTTCTCAACCGCCCGGCCAAGCATGAATATCGCATCGCCCAGCGCCCGTTCCTCTGCCACTACTCTGTACAACTGATTTGATACTACAGTGGGGGCTACCAGTAGCTCGTCGATGTCTGGAACAGTGTGGCCCCTCGACCCTTCAATGACGGCATCCGCTTTTCGCAGAGCGTCGTGAAGGATGTTGGTGTTGGAATTGATTATGTTGGACAGCTGAGTCAGTTGCCCCATTTCCGCTTGAACGGCGGACATTGCAGACAGCATGGCGTTCTGCTGGGCACCTAGTCCAGCCATGGTAGATTCATTCTGCTGTCGACTCCGTTGTCGGATAGTAGCCAGAGTCTGGGCCAGCTGCCTAAGAAGAGCATCTTTTTCGGGGTTCGGCGGAATAGGGGGTGCTTCGATGGCATGAGATGATACCTCCAAGTTGAGTGCATCGTCAAGAAGATTTGGGGGAGGTGGCGGTGGCTTTGGTTGGAGAGGAAGCTGGGGCTGTTGTTGAAATTGCTGCTGCTGCCATTGCTGCTGCTGCGCAGGTGGCCTATCCCATGCTTGCTGCTGCTGATGGGATGGCTGCCATTGTCCTTGGCCCTGTGCCTGTCCTTGGGGATAGAATTGACCTGAATATCCGGCATTTGGTCCTGATGACGGAGGCTGCGGTAGCCCTTGCGACTGAGGAGATTGAAGGCTTGGCCCCTGAATATTCGCGTACTGAGGGAGAGATTGAGCATGAGACTGATATGATGGCCTGGATACCTGCGTCTGCGGCGGAAGAGGCGGAGCTGATTCATATCTTGATGGTAACCCCGTGCTGCTGACAGGACTGGGAGAAGAGAGCTGAGAATGTGATGAGATCGGTGGTGGTGAGCGAGTGTCCTGATGAGGTTTGGGAGGCGGTGGTGGTGGTCGGGATTCTCCTTGATTTGTATATGGTCCTGCCGGAGGTGATATCGAAGTAGCAGGTAGTTCTGGGGGGTGAGGGGCGACGGGAGGTGGCATTTGAGGGGGCGGGCTCTGGACACCCGGACGAGCCTGCCGGGAGATGACTGGCGGTTCCTTTGCAAATACGTCGCTCAAGACGGAGAGGAAGTCGTTTAGGCTTGATTTCTGTACACGGAAGTTAGCATAACTTGTTGCCTTCACTTGAAGGAGAGCACATGGAGCCAATCAGTGGAGGAGCAGTATGACTTACATCCCAGAAATCACCCCAACCAGCCAGATATGGGTGGTAGACCTGGCCTTGAGGGTCGACATGCTGACCCGGACGGACCATCATGGTCTCCGTCGGCGTGACATACGCCAACGGTGCCTCCCTCGGATACGCATGCGGCACCCATATCGAGACGGGGAACCTATATGTGGTGCCTCGGAAGAGGGTCGGGATCGTGCCCGTCAAATGGACTAGCAGGGAGCTGGCGCCATTGGGAAACGCTGTGAGTCGGATTGTCAGTCCTGTAGCTTCGAGGCAGTGAAGATGATGGATAATGGAGAAGCGCAGTCATACTGTAGACGTCGGTTCGTGGAGTAAGTGTCGGATACCGCGCGAGGACCGTGGCAACGTCGCCGTACGTGCGGTTGACATCGTGATATTCCTGCCGATGACAAGGTTAGATGCGGGGTTTGATACAGCGTGGTCAAGGGCGCTTCATTTGAAAGAGCGAGAAGGCGAGAAATTGAGGTGGACATACGCTTGTCAGGACGCTGTACAGCCAGTTCAGCACATGCTGTTGAACGGGCATCGTGGTGGTGATGCTTTGCAAGGCATCGTCAGTCGCAGGAGTTGGTGCGGGCAAATACTGGCGTAGCAGTTGGAGCTGCAACTATGGCTCCACGGATGACGACTCAGAGCTTCCAGCATCCAACGGCTCCACGGACTGGAGGGGTTACAGCGGGCAGCGCCGCCTTGTGGGGGTCTGGAACCCCTGCAAACGGCGCTGAAGCCCGCTATAAGGCTGTGCTGCGGGAGGGAGGCACATGACAGCGCCCTAAAATCGCTTCTTGGCACGTATTTGACGCTTTTTCAGGTTCAGGTTTACTTGCTTTCATATCGCAAGAGGTATTCCCAAAGTTTAAATAATTCAATCATCTGAATAAACACTTGTGGATTTGAGGCGCTATGTAGACGGTCGCCTTGATTATTACAGCAATAATTTCTCAAATGCTTCAGCCAAACGCTGGAGCATGGAAACAGAACTGCTCTTGCCCTACGGAGATGAAGATGCTGCCTACAACAGACATGCAAACAACTGCTTCTTCAGCCTTGAATTTGTACTTAACATATGCGACAAATCTACAATCACCAGATACAGTAGCGAGTCTCTTCAGTTTATCATCAAGTACGTCATTTGACTATCAAGGTTGAAAATGAATTCAACGGCGCTACACAAAAACTAAGCAAAAGGTATCATTTCTAGGCATCAACACATCAATCATCGCTCAGTGCAAAGCAGCGCTCGCTGCTGTCCGCGTTATTCCCCCACCAGTTTGGCATCGTAATGATCTTGCCCGCGCCAAAGCACAGGAAGATGAGCAGCATGTTGAAGTTGAAGCCAGCATCAAAGGCCGCCGCCAGAATGTAGTTCCACCGCGCCCACAGGTCGTAGCGGTATCGGAACGCCAGGAACATGACCACGAAGCCTCCGATGAAGCTCGACGTGTAGCCCGTGCTGAGGTTGCCGTAGAAGATGGACATGGCGGAGAAGAAGATGGTGGTGTTCCAAAGCTGGAACTTGGCCCGGGGGAACATCTTGTGCAGGCCGAAGATGATGATGGGGCACACGGCGCCGACGAGATAGCCGTAGGGAACAGGCTTGTAAATGTCCTGCTTGAAAAGACGGCTGGGGCCGACAAGCACATACTGGACACCCGATGTCAGAGATGAGGCGAGCGACTGACCAGTCCACTGGTGAGTGGGATCTTCCTTGGCGCCAGAGAGATAGTCGCTCTTGGTGTCGAGGACCCATCGAATGACTGCATAGTCAATGGGGATACCAATGGCCGAACCAAAGACTTGCGAGAAGAAGACGGCCTTGGGTGGCACATGCATGTAGTGGCCGATCTTCATGTCTTGGAGGTTGAGCTGTGCACGATACCAGGCGTCTCCCGCAATGGCTCCGTAGGTCGAAGCACCACAGGGATTCTTGAATCCAGATATGCCGTTGACCATGGCACCGTATAAGAGCTCGTTGGTTGTTCCGATGGGCTGAAAGAGAGTGTTAGTAAAATGTACACACGAACCAAGGTTAAAGGGAATATCTCACCAGTTGGTAGTTGGACAGAGCATACAGCCAGCCCAGCGGCACGACAACCAGAGCTCCCGTGATGATGGCTACGAAATAGGTCCACACGGGAATGAACATTAGATTCTTGCCGACGATGGCGATGAGCATGACAAACGAGACCAGGAACAAGGCGCCAAACCACCACCAGGGAATCTCGTCATATGGTCGCTGCAAGATGTTGAGCTGATCCTTGTACTGCTCGGTAATCTTGCCAGAGCCCTTGACTGCCGTGCGCTCTCTGAGCTTCTTGAAGCTCTCTTTGATCTGAGGCCAGCCAAAGAGCAGCATCCAAACGAGGGCCGAAGAGTAGGAGGCGATATCGAAAAAGTTACTCCACAGCTGTTGAGTGCCAACGTATAACTCTCCGTACTGCTCGTATGCGGTGTGGTTGAGTTTAGAGTCGGCAGTTAGGAGTTCGGTCAAAGGATAGGAAGTTCCGTTTTCTAGGGACAAGAGGTTAGCTGTGCGTTTTTTTTGCATGGCAATTTGCAAGTATTATAAGCAAGTACATACGCAGAAAGACGCGGTTCGACATCAAGTTGTGCCTCCACTCTCCCAGATTACCAAACTTGGAAGCAGGGAGCAGGACCCAACAGTTGAAGACAAATGCAGCAAAAAGAATGACCTGCGTCCACCAGGGGGTCAGGAAGAGACTGCCGCCGTTGGAAATACTGGACCAGTCAAGAGACAAGTTCAAGAATCCCATACCACCGAATCCAGAACCGATAAAGTTGGCCGTCTTGTTGTGCGGCGCAACCCAGCAAAGGAAAGCCAGGGAGCCGAGGAAAGGGAAGACGTATTCGGGCAGGAATTGCCACAGGATGATACCGCCCATGACGGAGAAGAAGACCACCATCTGCTTGCGAGACGCACGGTTTGGGTGTTCGCGCTGCTTCTTCTGGGTCTCAAATAGGGCGGCCTGGCAAATGGACTGGAACCAGGGGTACTGCGGGTCGTAGATCAGGAACTGCCGTGCCAAGGCGGCATATGAGTAGCCCGTCCAGGTAATGCCCAGCATGAAGAAGACGGCCACTGCACCGTTGACAGGCTGGCCAAAGTACAGCTCAGACATGGCAATGGGGGTATAGCCCAGGTTGTAAGTGGCACCAGATGCTGCAGAAATGGTGATCAAGACATGCTCCTTGGTGCTGAAAGGACCCGGGTTGAGGCTGAAACCCCATTTGGATCCGGGGATTCCAATCCACCAAGCCGGCAGGACCTTGGCGAGCCACACGCCGACGTAGTTGGAAGCGATCTGGACAAAGAAGACAGAATAGGGAGCATAGGTTGTTCGGAAGTGGGCCATCTGTGACAGGAAGGCTCCGGGGGCGACAAAGAGGATGGTAAGGAGAAAGTATCGAAAGGTCAAGGTCGGTTCAGTGGGATCGTCAGTGAAGCTGACAATGCGCCTCACATATTGCGGGATGTCCTTGATTCTGGGGTCATCTTCGTCGACAACCTCTTCCTCGCCGTTCTCGTTGGTGAGGGTATACTGGGCCTTGCCGTTGGTGAGGTCCTCCTTGGACTCGACGTCGACGTCAAGATTGGCGCCGGCCTTTTCGTCAATGCCCAGGATTTGGGACTGCTCTTTTCGGCTGAGAGACTCTTGGGTGAGGATGGGGCCGGCAGACACCACTTCGCCCGGCTTCTCTAGTTGAGCGGACGCCATTGTGGAAGGCTGATGGACCTATGCCCAGAACAAGCAGCCTGGCGTTCCTGAGAAGTCCTACAAATTGTAGTGTAAAGAAAGGAAAGCAGCTCTTAAAGTGAGCCTCTTGATGAATGAGGGCAGACATGGAGCTATTTATCCGAGCAATGTAACGATGGATCGATGCTACGTAAAGAATTCTCCATCCACATGCTGCGCGGGGCCTCTCAGTTCCTCTGGTCGGTCCAATGCAACACCACGATCAACACCATCACTGACAAACTGACAGGATTCCAGTGGCCAGACGCGGGCAACTCTACGGCACAAGATACCCGGAGAGTGGATGACCGGGGCAGCACGCCATAGCAAGGGCCGTTTACGATGAAGTGCATGAGGATATGCTTAACTGGAGAGAAGTTGGAGGGAAGCACTTACAAAGGCCCCTCGACGATCCATCCTTCGTATTTCGTGTAAGCGCAAGCTCGCATTCTGTTGCTCAAAAGTGGCAATATAGCCAAATTGATCGAGGCCGCAGTGGGTCATCTGAACCGGAGCCAGCTTTGCTTCGGTCCAAAAGCGGAACTGCCATCAAGAGTGCCACATCTTAAAAATCAAAAGCTCCAGGCTACTTCGGCTCTGGGCTGCCGGCTGGGCGCAGAAAACGCCATGCATATGGAAAACGCGCCAGGGCTCAAGAAGATCTTTTGCGTGTTGCTGCCACATTTTCCAGCCAACTAGACTAGCAGGTGCGGCAACAGCGCCGTTGGAAACGGCAAACTTGGCTCGGGGAAAAAAAGTTCTCAAGGAGAATTAAAGAAACAAGCGTCGGCACAGTAAAAGACGCCAGGAGCAGGGGATATGGTGTCATTGCGGGCTAAGCTTGAAATGGGCGAATCCACGTGGGAATAGACCCAGATACCTGGCCGTCTTTATTGAAATGCTTAATCTTGCGTTCAGCGAAGCAGCGGGTTTGGGTTCGCCATCTGCCTCATGCAGCTGATATGCAGGCAGCGCCTTTCCCGAGTGTTTGGTGTCTATCAAGCCGGGATAAAAAGAAGTTGCTGCCAAGGCTGCAAATCGTTGATCCTGACGTTAATAGAGAGAGAGGCGTTGCTGCAGACAATAAGAGTGGATGTTCCGGACGCTCTCCAGGGCTGCCATGACGATTTTTGATATGGAGCTCCAGTATCGGGCCTTGTGGGGTGCAGCCCGTTCCGGACTTTTTTGACAAACGCACTATTGCTCTGAGAGGACTTTTTTTTATTTTTTGTTTTGTCTTATCCAATTGCCGGGTTGTGTTGTCCGACGATGTGGTTCGCCTATTATCGGGTATTGTTACTGTTTTGTAACAGCCCTTTCGAGCTTCAGTTGAAGGGTCCAGAAGACCCATTCTGTATTACCAATACGTGTGAAATCATGGTCGTGTCAGCATGAGAGTGTGGACATGTACGGATTTTTTAGTTTAGCATTTTGGAGTGTGATTCTGATGGTTGTTTGTGATGCAGCTTGGTTGAGATGGGATGAAATAACCGATTCTACCATCACGTGATCGGATGCTCATAGAATCCTTGTCATGAATCGCCAATACCTACCTAAACTTCAGATGTTTGCAGGCTAATAAAACAGCCAATGACTGTCCTACTAACGGACGTAACATCTTGACAGTCGCTTTATACAAGCTAGCGCACTATAAGATTGGCACACCAAGTCTATTCTTGGCAGCTGCTGAATTCGGGGCGCTATCATGGTGTTCGATCCATTGCTGCTGCTACTCCATCCCCAGGCAGGTCGGTTGACAGATAGATCTACAAACTTAAAAAGAGTGCATATGCACGGCCGATACCATGCTGCTAAGCTCCACGCTTGGGTTAGATGGGAAGGATGAGAGGTGGGCCTCTATATCTATCGCGGGCTTGTTCGTGGGGATGCCATCACGAAACGTGCAAGTACATATCCAGTGAAGGAGGTGGAATAATGCGATTGCTGGATAGACTTGGAGATGTCGGATCATTCGATTTCTACAAGTCGAGGCCACATCACATAGGTGCGACAGTAGTGACTAAAGCTTGCTTCCGGCAGTGAATGCAAGCAAAGGCCAGTGCCTGCAGAAGAGGCGTTCCAGTTCCAAATTGCGTATACACATCTACCGAGGTGCACACATTAGTCTCCCGTTTGCAGTGTTTTCGTACTGTCCTACGATTTTAGTGTATACCATTTAACGGCCAAGTTGTATATTTGACCCGATATCATGCTTGCAGTGGAAAGAAAAGTTGGTTGGTGTAGCGCTGTTTATCAGCCTGTCAAGGTATTTCATCTTATTGGCGGCATATTAGTTTTCAACACCAATAAGTCAAGCAAAGCACACTGACGTGATTAAATCGAACTAGTAGCCAATGATGTCAAAGTGCCCCAAATAGTAAAATAAATGTGCCAAATACCCCTTTTAAATGCGAATTAACACCGGGCTCCAGGGTAGTGGCGGGAATAGCGAATAGGTCTAATTGAGCCACTGCGGAACTGCCGAAGCAGTAGTCTCTGATTGGCTGGACAACTCGATCCTACTCTCGCAACTACTGCAGGGGTCAGTTTTCAAGACATAGTCGGCTTGCGCTGGTGCTGCCGCTGTCAGCTTGGGCAGCACGTATTGCCTGGGGCACAGCAAGCAAGCTGGCATTTGCCAAGATGATTTGTCCATTTAGCTAATGTTTAATGCAAAATAGAATCAATTCTGCTTCGATTTACGGCGTCACGAATGCAGTCACGTGCTGCATTGAGTCAAAGTTGCGACACTGTGAAATGCGAATTGACAAGAAAGAGAAGGAGTGTCTTGTCTTCAAAAGAAGCCGTATTTAATCCAGAACTCCCCCGTTGTTTTCTATAAATACAAGAAATCTTCCCCCATACTCACCATCTCCGCATGCCCGTAAATCTTCCCCAGCGGGCGGGATGTTCCATCCGGTGGCGCCCGAAGGCTTTCCCGGCCGGACCATCGGATTCGAAAAAGAGGCGCATAGTTTTTTTTTCGTTGAGACTAAAAAGACAGAAGCACATTAATAATAGCCTTGCTGGAAACGCTTTTTGCCACAAAAGGATTTCTGCAAGCGTGGGCTGATCTTTTCGTTTGTTCTTTTCCTATTTACTCATCGCATTTCCAATTCCTGGATCCTTTCTCGGGGGACTTTTCATTTCTCTTGACTTTGGCCTCCCCCCGCAACCTGGCACGCAATAGATTGCGTTCTTTTTGTGACTCGTCATCGCATGCTGCTATCCTTTTCTTCTCCTCTCTGTGTAATTCACTGCAACGTCCGTTGTCGGCGGCTTAGAAATTCCTGGGCGTTTATCCCGCAGACGAGCAAAAATAGGAACCTGCCGCGTCCCCCACGCTAGAGGCCTCGAAAAAAACCCCCAGCAACTCGGCGATCGTTTCAGAGCTCAAACTTGGTCTCGATCCCTTTTAACTCCCTCTTCTCTTTCAACTTATTTGCCTCACTTTTATCCACCGTAACTATCTGGCTTCCATCTAAGAGTCTCCCGTAGAGGTTGCTTAGACACCATGTTGCCGCCAATTCCCGTCCTCGCTGACTACGACATCTCGCCCACTCATGGCTTTTTGCCGGGCACTCTCCCCCTCTCGCGTCTCCCAGATCCCTACTACAACAAATGGGAGGCCATCGCGGCCAATCTTCCGGCGCTGATTCTCACCCGGCGGCTGCGCGGCGTCATCGACCGCCTGCCGGTGCTGTCGACGGTGGGTTTGGAGCACGATGCCGAGTGGCGTCGGGCCTATTCGCTGCTGAGCTTCATGGCCCACGGCTACATCTGGAGCGACGACGTGCCGGCCGAGCGTCTGCCGCCGCAGATCTCGATTCCGTACCTGGCCATCTCGGAGCACCTCGAGGTGCCGCCGGTGGCGACGTATGCGGCGCTCTGCCTGTGGAACTACAAGCCGCTGTTCATGGACGAGGACATTGACAACATGGAGAACCTGGCCACGCTGTCGACCTTTACCGGAGGAATCGACGAGTCGTGGTTCTACCTCATCTCCGTCGCCATCGAGGCCCGTGGCGCGCCCGTCATGTCCCTGATGCTCAAGGCCTTTGCGGCCGCAAGGCGCAGCGACTCGGCGGCCGTGACGCGGTACCTGCAAGCCTTTGCCGAGGTCCTGACTGATCTGAACAACCTGCTGGAGCGAATCAACGAGAGGTGCGACCCCGACATCTTCTTCAACCGCATCAGGCCCTTTTTCGCGGGGAGCAAGAACATGGCCGACGCCGGACTGCCAAAGGGCGTTCTCTACGACGACGGCACGCCCAGCGCGGCGTATCGCCAGTACGCCGGAGGCAGCAACGCGCAGAGCAGCCTGCTCCAGTTCTACGACATCGCCCTCGGCATCCAGCACCGTCCGACGGGCGAGAAGAAGGGCGACCCGTCTGAGCGCCGCGGCCGGGCGCCGACGCACGGCTTCATCCAGGAGATGCGCGAGTACATGCCCGGCCCGCACGCGCAGTTCCTCGAGGACGTCTACCATGTGGCCAACATCCGCGAATACGTCGAGGAGCACACCGACGACTCGGAGCTGTGCCTCGCCTACGACGCCTGCCTGGCCATGCTGAGCGCATTCCGCGACAAGCACATCATCATCGTCACGCGCTACGTCATCACGCCGTCGCGCCGGTCGCGCAGTCCGCGGGCTGCTCGCAAGGGGCTCAACCTGGCCATTGCCTCGCGCAAGGCCGACCAGAAGGACCAAAAGGGCACGGGCGGCACGGCGCTGATTCCGTTCCTGAAGCAGGCCCGCGACGAGACGGGCGAGCCGGCCGTGGGCGAGTGGACGCAGCGCTTCCTGAGCCGCGAGGGCAAGAAGGCTGGCAGCGGAGACTTTTTCTTGGGCAAGACGGGAGACGCGCCGCTGGAGACGGAGGATGTCGAGGTCAAGGGGCTTGCTGGGACGTGGACGATGGAGGACGAAGTTGGCGGTATCTGCCTTTACTGATGAATTGCTTGGAGGCGGTTCAACACGCCTGGAGCTGCTGATTTTTATTATATTTGCTTTTTTTTAATTCCTGGCGGGCGGCTGTTTGATTGGATTTGCTTGATAGAAACACTCGAGAAGTGCTGGATTACAAACGATGGAATGATGCTTACGACTGCGTACAATACGCAAACATTAGATGGTGCAAAGATGGTATCACGGGCCATAGAACCACTCAACTAAATTTTTACTCTTCTTCTTTTACTCGCATGATAAAATGACATTGCCACTTGGTGACTTTGACTTCAGCTCTGTCTGTGTGCCAATCCATCACCCCTCCAGACAGGGGGTCTGTCAGTCTCTCACAGCCGCAAAGTAGCAAACAACTTCAGCCGCGCTTTGTCCCCCCCTTTTCTGTCTCATCCATTTCGAGATTTGACAACAGGCTGTGTGCTACGGCGGGAACAGGAGCTGCGGAGGTGATCCGCGAGTTACACGGCCCCCTCATTCTGTTTGTGTTATTTGCTGCTTTTCTGTTCCTTTTTTTTTAAGGAGTCTTGATAGCGTTTGAAATGAGTGTTTGCTTGCAGACTATTGATTGTGATGTTTGAATAGGGCGTCCGAGATGCCGTCAGCCGTGGTATGAGTCGTGGACGGGCCGAGGCATCTACTACATTGACACGAGATGCACAGTCTAAAGCATTGCACAAACACTATAGGAGCAGTTACTCACGTATTAAAACACAGTTAGTGCATGGAAAATGCCACAAGGCTGCGACTGACAGCTGGACCGGCCGGCACTTTGTTGGCGGGAGACTCGGCCGGTGCCGCCACACTGACCACTTTGCAGCCATTCTTTCTTCAGTAATCTGCCTAGCACTTCCCGTAGCTAACTAATAATGCGTCTGCTATCAAAAAAATACAGCTGCGAGATGCCCTTGCACGCTGCATATCTCCCCCTGTCCATCTACGAATGAAATGTCACGTACTGTATCATACAAGCTTCAACCCGAGCAAACGCAACCCAATAGATTTAAAAAAAAAGCATGCATATAATCTCATTCCAAATAAAACAACATGGGGTGCCAAGCTGAACATGGTCCACGACACCAGACAATATAAACCAGCCTTTCTTCCCTGTACCACAAACACTTCCTATTCCAGCTCCCCTGTCCCAAGAACAATACTAAGCCCAGACGCCACTTTTCCAGAGAACAATATCAAGGCTCCCTCCCGCACCCTGCATCGTTCAATCCATCTATCCGTCCTTTTTTGCTCCAAAACTTCAGACTGACAGTTGGAATTCACAGGTATTATGCAGCACACGAAAGAAAACAAACGATGCAGGCGTATCATGTCAGAGAGAGTGGGGGGAGTGACAATCTTGGCTATTCTTCTGTTTTTCTCTTATAAATGAGATTGTGGCACAGGCAGAATACCAAGGGCATCATGAATGGGAAAGCAAAGAACAATAGCTGTCATCCACGATACAATTTGGAAAAAGAAAAAAAGTCATTGCAATAATATCCTCTTTTTATTCCAGTATATCCTCTTCTTTCTCTGTGAATCAACAAAGCCAACTTTTTCGTTTGCGCCTCAACACCAAGATATACAACATCACCAACTCTCCCTCACCACAACCAACAACCAACAAATCATCACCAAAAAGCATCAAGAGAACACAAAAAAAAAACACCAAAATGGCCCTCTTCGACCCATCCACCCAAGACGTCACCATCCACATCTCCCCCTCGGCTCCCCCCCTGCACATCCCCCTCCGCGCCATCGACGGCTTCAACGACGAAACCGTCAGCATCGTCCTCAACTACGGCACCCAGCTCGGCGCCGCCATCACCATGCTGCTCGTGCTGCTCTTCACCACGCCGCCGTCCAAATTCCTGCGCACCGCCCACCTGCTGCACCTGCTGGGCCTGCTCGTCTGCATCGTCCGCACCGTCCTGCTCGCCCTGTACTTTGAATCGCCCTTTGCGCACTTCTACGCCGTCTGGAGCAACGACTACTCCGCCGTGCCCGCCTGGACGTACCGCGAGAGCGTGGCCGGCACCGTCTTCTCGATGCTGCTCGTCGTGGTCAACGACGTGGCCCTCATGAACCAGGCGTGGACAATGGTCTCGCTGTGGCCGACGGGAACCAAACTCGTGCTCTGCGCCGTGTCGCTGCTCGTCTCGCTGCTGTCGGTGGCGGCGAGGACGGCCTTTACCGTGATCCAGTGCAAGGCCATCTACGACCTGACGCCGGCCGTGCAGTTCGCCTGGCTGGTCCACGCCATGGTCATTCTCAACATCTGCACGACGGTGTGGTTCTGCGCGCTCTTCAACTCCAAGATCATCATCCACCTCATCACCAACCGCGGCGTGCTTCCCTCCCGCCGGGCTATGAGCCCCATGGAGGTGCTCGTCGTAACCAACGGGGCCCTCATGATCATCCCAGGTAAGAAAAAAAACAGCCTCATCTCATCTTGTCTCACCACGCAACTAACCCCCTTTTTCCTTCACAGTCATCTTCGCCTTCATCGAGTTCCGCCCCATCCTCAACTTCGAGTCCAGCTCTCTCACACCAGCGTCCATCACCCTCATCCTCCCTCTAGGCTCTCTCGTCGCCCAGCGCCTGGCCCAGACAAACCAAAACGCCATCCCCAGCCTCTCCGGCTATCCCTCTTCCACCGGTGCAGGAGGCTACAAAAACAACCGCGGCTCTGGCTCTGGCTCCCACACGCCCCTTAAAGCCGGCTCACTGTTTGCAACCTCGACCAACAACAGTGTTTCTGCGGCTCGGTCTCACTCGACTTCACGCAACACCACCACGGTCCCTGCTAGAGACATCGTTGATCCCATCGAACTTGAGCTGAGACAAATTGATGGCTATCTGCAGCCGCAGGAGACTCACATTAGCGCAGAGTTGGGCGGGAGCCAGTCTCACAAGTAGTGCTGAGAGACGGGTTTTCTGCCTCATTTGCGAAACTGCATTGGCAAGCGTGCGTATCGAACCAAGCATTTATATCGACCTATATATAGTAGTCATTATTGCAGCACAGGGAGGCAACGTGTTGGCATGTCGTGCTAAAACGACTCGGAAAGGAAACTTGAAGATGTACCTCGACTTGCTGTTTTCTACATTGAGGGCTCATTTAGCTATTTTGCAAGTACTCATTTTTACTTCCCATCACTTACCCCTTGTGGCGATTTAAACGTCAATTTGGGTCACTTAGTGATTTTAATAATTTTATCATCATGCAACAACCATTGGCATCCAAATAAACTGGGAAGAAATAGTGTACGCAGGTAATTGTTGTCGTAGTTGAGTATCTGTTAGTATCGATTGATTATACCCATCTTCACTCATAGTCCCCCCGTAATATCTACTCCGTCTGAGGCCGTGCTCTGAACGCTGCCATCCTGTCCTTGCACAGACTAGTGATACGCCGAATCTCTCCTCCTCGGACAGGCTGAGGTTGCTGAAGCGGGCAATGGGCCTGCGACACAAATAGCCCGTGGCTACGAGAGATGAATCGCCGACTTAGGAGGCGAAGAGAGGGATGGCGGTCAATGATGCTTAGCCGATGCTTGACGGGAAATGACTCGCAGGTATTTTCCGACATCTCCTCGTAATTGTCTGCCCCATATTGCGACTGCAAGTCGAATCCTCCCTCACCATCCACGTTGAAGCCTCGCCGTGGCTCCGGGTGGCCATGTGGCCCGGCGTCTTCATAACTCGTCTTCACTTTCCTCCGCCAACCTGGCCTGAGTATTGACCCCTAGATAAATTAGGTTATTCATATCACTCGGAGTATGTCAAACAGCACATAGCGGGCATTAAACACTTACAAGGCCTCTTCTGTGACGGCTCGCCTTCAACGTAGATGGCTTAGTATAGAGCAGAGGTTTGACATCGCTTGCTTGACTACTAATAGTGTCCATATCCGGAGATCGACTATATGAACGGGGTGGCCTATCCTCCAATGGTAACAGCAGTCTCGGAGTAGGTGTCACATCCCAAGCCTTGGCGGCCATTTGTCCGTGTTGCTTCTGCTGAAAAGGACTGCCATTAGGTATGCCAGACTGTAGAATGTCTGGAGACGTATAAGCCTTGGGAATATAATCAAATAAGTCTTCTCCATCGTTTTGATGACTCATTGATTCGAAAAGGCCAATCGTCTCCTTGAGTCCCTGTTTGGCAGAAGTTGCCATGGACTGTGCAGGGAGCGAGCCATCCACCCTTGAAGTATAGCGCGCAGGGGCCTGACCCGACGGAGTCAATCGTAACGACGGCTTAGGCGAGAATCTTGAAGTTGAGCCGACTTTTGTAATTTCATTTTGCACAAATGGTTGCTCGTTGCTTGCGTCTGTCCGTAGGTGCCTCCTCTAGAATGACGGCATCGAGACTGACGAAGGCAACGAGCTATCAAACATTTTCCGAAGGCTAGACACTTTTGACTCGTGAGAGGGAACAGATCTGGAAGTCTTCAACGATGGGCTCTTGAGCTGATGTAGTTTCTTAGGGTCGCTAGTGGTATGAGCGGTTGATAATGATTCGGTGTCTTGACATGGGGCTTGTAGAGGAGCATCGGGCAGCGAATGTTTTGCCAAATCCGGCTCGGCCCCTGCTCCCCGCGACAGAGACAAGTTCTCTGCATCTTTTGGATCATGTTTCATTGTTTCGCTCTCTGAGCGCGGGACCTCTTCAGGTAATGTGTTGTCAGCCTTCGGATACCAAGCCCCTATCCCTGTAACAATCATATTCTTGAGCGGAGATGGAGTCTTGTGTTGAAATGCGCCGCCTTGCAACTTGAATCGAGTCTCGGTCCCTCTTTGCCAGACCCTCGTTTTGCTTTTGACACCGGCGCCGCTCTCCTTAGAGCGCCGAGAAGAGCGATCGGGAGAGGCAAGTGGTCGTGGCAGACATTCGGGATGCTCAACATGGAAGGGTATCAGGTCTGGAACAGCATCTTTTCCCTCTTGCAGATCTGATTCTTCTAGATCCCCGGCATGAGTTGGCAATACTCCTGTTTTTGACGATCCTTTGGCGCAGCTATTCGCACAAGAGAGTGCATTCTGTTCGTTACTCTCGTTGGTCGTAGGTGAAGCACCGCGTTTAGGTTCATAGGTAGCCGGCACGATGTCTAATAAAATGTCAGCTCACATTCTGTGTACTCAATCTGCAGAAACTCAAAGTGAGTTTATAAATGCCCCAATCTGTAAAATGATATCAAAGATGTGGCTACCCACTAGAAACGGTATTCTCAACAGACCCTCGCTCGAACAATCTCCTCATATCCGCCACCACCGAGCCGCTCCGCGCCAGTGGTCTTTTCGACTTCAGCGATGGAGTAGCATCGATTGCAATATGTATATCTTTAACAGCAGGTCCTGATTGAGCTGTGTCATCACGGTTGGCCGGAGACACGCTGACGGGAGCTGGAGATGGCGATGCCGCAGCTTTCAAAGTTTCAGCGCCATCTTGTACTTTATGTGTCGATGGGGCTTTGGTAGGACTTGACTCGACGAAAGCACGATCTGGGGTCTCGTATGTCGCTCCATCATCCCGAACCGATTTTGACGAGGCTCCCAGGTTCTCGAATTTGGATACCAGTCGTGCCAACCCCCCCTGGGGCGGTGCACGCCGAGAATTTGCAGCAGACATTTCTCCCGCCAGCCAGCTCAGTTTATAACAAACAACGCAGTCGTAGGTCGATATCACCCAGGGGAGTATGAAAGCACAAATCGAGGGCGCGAGAAGAAAAGTTATAAAGGTACCTAGAAAGAAAAGCGAGTGGTTGTTGAAAGACAAATAACGAGTATCCTTTCCCCATGGGAAGCTAAATAACACGCCATGGGTGTCCGGGCAATGCAACCAAAGCAATTGTCAGCATGAGGCCGCGCCTGGAGCGAGTGTTTGCGCCAAACTGCCAATTATCAGTCCAATGCTACCGAGAGCAGCTGTAGCTTCCTGTTATCAGAAATCCGCCGACAAGGAGCAGAAGATGAAGCAAGCAAGGCCGGTGATATAATATGGTCAGCTCTTTCCAAGAAACACACCGCAAAGCTCCTAGTTTTTCCACGTGCGACAAAGGTTTCCGATAGGATGTATCACAAGAAGCAGCGCAACATGCACACGATACAAAGTCGCAAGGTATTCCAAAAAAATGGAGAGCGCCGTTCTTTTTTTCATTTCTTTCCTTTCCTTTTCCTTCATTGTCGAGCCGAAAAACTTCCAGCAAAGCCATTTTCAAGCTGCGCCGTCCATCCAAAGTCGCCCCGTAAGTCTATATTGCATGTGGCAGAACCCCGTGCAGATCTCGCATAGTAGCATACAATCAAATCCTTCTAATGTACAACGACTCATTCCTTTTCCTGCCTGAGGATATCGAATTGTTTGGTCAAATCAAGTCGTGCTGGAGTGTAGGCCGAGTGAGTGCCTGTCGATTTATTGACTATATCGCCTCAGCTGTTAGCAAGCGCTCTTGAATAAGTCGCATCTGGAGAGTCGTACGGAGGGAGGAGGATCTCGCCCCAGGAGCTGGAGAGAAAAGTGACGGCAGCCTTTTTGCGATTCGTTAGCATTCTTTGCGCTCTTGAGTAGCCAAATTACGAGCAACGCACTCCGAAGATGGCAATGCTGCGAACGAAGGCGGCGTTCTCAGCGGAAGTCAGGGCATCGTATGTAGAGGAGACGAAGCCCTTGGGGGCGCGGCGGCCCTTTTCTCCGTAAATTCGCTTGGGAGGCATAGTTTCGTGTCCGGGATGTCGCTGGAATCGGAGGCGGATCAGGCGAGACAAGGAATATGAAAAGCGACAATTATCAAGGCTCGATTTCCACTCGAAGTCTGCGGGATGAACGTCACTGGAACCGTCAAAAATTCAGAAGCGCCCCGCCATCGCCGCGGCCGAGTCACATGATTGGCAAAAGCTGACTTATCATATACCACGATATCCCGCAATTTTTATATCCAAAGATCTGGTTCCGTGGTCTAGTTGGTTATGACATTTCGTTAACATCGTTTAACGCCACCGAAAAGGTCCCCGGTTCGAGCCCGGGCGGAATCACTCATTTTTTGCTGCTTTTTACATCAGTAGCTTCAGTCTGCTCCAAGGAGAGGGTCTGCCTCAGTTTCTTCTTTTGCTTGGCTGACTTTTTATGCTGTGGAATTTTTTGTCTAGATTAATCCAGAGTGCCTCCAAGTTAAATAGCTAACTTGTTCAATTTCATAGAATCGATGGTCAGAGAGCACGATGAAAACTTTCATTGATTGGTAGAAGTCAGCACCTTTACCCAGTATCCTAGGAGAGTTCAATCTGAAGTTTCCACTGTGCATCTAACCAAGGAAAAGTAACATACCTTGTCTCTTTAAGAAAGAAGTATAAAAATTTAAAACGCATTCTAATTTCCAATTATTCTTTCATTTATTTTATTTCATCATGCTATTCAATCTGAAGGCTGTGTGGCGTCTCCATAAGATTTGGTGTAGCTCCCGCATGCTATTTGGCTGAGAGCAGTTTATGCCACCATACTCTGCAGCGCCTATCTAGAAGTGGCGTAAACCATAAATTTGCATGACATTTAATACAAATCCCGCAGCAAATAAACAAACAAATCCGATAAACTTCTCATCTTCCCAGGCTGTTGAATTCATACATGATAGCGCGGCTCTAGAACTCTCCTCTACAGGGTATCTCACTCTCAAAGCATCAACAGGCACCCCGCCCCCGCTTATCTGAATCGGCCGCCATATCGTCATTGAGAAGGTCTGGAAGCAGATCCGCATCGCCGCAAAGGGCTTCGTCGCGTAGACATTTCCAAGTCTTGGTCACATCGTATCTAGAGCGCTCATGGCTGAGTCTCCGCTGCCTGGCGGCTTCATCCGCCCTCAAGGCGGGCTTCCTTCGCCAGCGCCATCATCGGCGTCTTCACGGGCCGCATCTAGTCTGCCGCATCCGAGGAACAATGCGCTGCGGCCCGGATCCAACAAGGAGGACATGGTCCGGAGATATGTAGAGGACAGGCTGCTCTACATCTCCCGGCGCTATGTGAAGAAGTTTGGAAATCCGGATCCGGGAGATGCGGTGGTTGGGTTCAAGAGCTTTGGTGAGGTCTGCAAGGAGCTCGACGGGATTGTGAATGTCTTGTGGAAATCAGGCACGCGTGAGTTTTCTTGCAGCCATGATGAAAATTGAATAAAAGTATCACATAAACGCTAACTGAAAGGGTGTACGGTATAGCGGGTTTACAAATACCGTTTCTGCTCAAGATGGCCAGCGACTTTACGCAATATGTCCGGTCGTTTCCGCCATCATCCAAGGCGTCATTTGATCTACTGCACAAGCTTGACCATTGCTTTGCCAGCTTACTCTCCGGCCAGGACATTGAAACTAACGATACGCTTCCGGGATTTGAAAATGGTCTACGGGCGGGCATGACAACTACTGACATGGTGCGATGCCGGAGTCTTGTCGAGCAGACGAGGGTGTTGATGGTTGAAGTCATGAGCAGTGGCGAGCAGGAAGAAGAGGAGGAGGAAGAGGATGAAGATGAAGATGATGAGACTGATGGAGATGGCGGCAATGAAACGGAAGGGGGAGAAAGTTACGATGCTGGCGGCAACTCTGCGTGGGACATTGACGAGGATGAGCTGCACTTGGACGCTGCGCGGATCTACGAGAAGACGATTGTGCAGCTGGGGAGGAGACTTGGGGACTCTCTGGGGAGTGGCGATACTGGCATGACAGAAAATTGATCAAGACTATCTATGCAGCAGGTCAGCTGGATGAAAGTGAATTTACGCTTGTAGGATGAGGGTGATGTGAGTGCATGGTGAGAAAAACATATTGGCAAGATTGGGTAGTGTCGGGCATTTTATTAGAGTTTTGTTTGCTGCATCAAACAAACACTTTGCCCCTGTCTGGCTGAGATGCAAGACACCTTGTTTTCTTCCGAAACCGGCGCAACATGCCGAATTACCCATCTCAAAGATAAGAAAGGCTCAATCAAAAGTAAAAAGAAATGAAATCGTAGCTACGACCGTTTAAACTTGTCAACTATCAAAATAAAATTCAATAGTCCCCCGACTTATCTCGTTCCCTCACCCAGAGTAGTATTGGGCAAAGAAGAAACAAGCTGTAAAAAAGCAAAGCCAGCCCAAAATGGCCACCCGCCTCCTGAACGGCGAGTCAACCAGGCACATTGGCGCCGTGATTGGCTGGGCTTGCGCTGCGGGTGAGCCAAAGCCGTAACGACGGCGTGTCCCCTTTTGCATTTGCATTTTGCTAGCCTCATGCACGTTGGCATGGATATGCAAGGGTTGTTGATGGGAATTTCTCTCTCATTGTTTTTTTTTTTTTTTGTTTCTTTTTGGTTCTCGTGCCTTATCTTTGGGTGGGAAGGAGATCCGATTGGGGGGGATGGAGATGAGGCCATTTTGTTAGATACGTGGCTGGGCATATGTATTGCCTAGGTAGGTGAACGGTTCACATGCATGCGTTTACAACTGCCTGCCTTGGTACAGGTCCGTAATGGTGACTGTTTTTTGCATGTGTCTTACATGAGATTGAGACGGATATGGACAAGAGACGGGGATTTATCTTACCAAGTAGACTATGTAGTATAGCAAGCAGCAGGGTCTTTTTGCCATTTTGGCTGCTAATTGACAAGATCTGCTCCAGACATGGAGAGAGAAAAGGCGGGATGAGATGAGGACGGGCCATTGTTTGTGATATATTGGCCGATCGCTTCTGGATTCTGAGGGATCGCCCATGGACCAGCCACTTACTCCGGATATAGAAGATGTGGTCCATATCTACCCAACGGCAAGGCCTTTTGGCTTCCATTCTCCTGCACGTACCGATATAATTGTGCGTTTATTTACGGCTAGGCATACTTTGGAAACGCCCGCTTCCGCATCAGGCTCTGATGGCACCGACTTGCTGCTGCTGCTACACAAGGAGGCATCACCACCACCGCAATGCCTCACCATCACGGCATCCGCAGCCAATCCACGCCTCGCCGCATGAAAAAATAGATTTTTGGCTACTCCGTCGACTACACGTCCCCCAAAACACTGCTCTATTAATACACGCACCAAGAAAAATGTTTCACCCCCCACTGTCTTGCCCACCACTCGCTCACTGACCCCTCACCAACAATCCCGGTCACTTTCATGTTTCAAAACTTTCCAAATCCCACCCTGCTGGGCCTCTTTTTTTTGCCGCGCACGGCTCGTGCTGGCACTGCCTGGTGCCTGGCCCTGAATGCCGCGCTTAAGGGCACAGGGGTCCGGAGCCTAACAGCGCAGGCTCCCCCTCCATCACTCCACCGCAGCTGCTGCTGAGGCCAAACATTCGACTCTGGTGCTCCTCTAAGCTGACGGCGTTGATGCCATCCATGTCGGTCACATACGATGGCGCCTGGGAGCCGTGTGTGGTGGACCTGTGCCTGACTTGTAGCGCGTGCAGTGCAGTAAACATCCACTGCCGGGTGCATGCAGGGCCTATTGCAGCCGTTCTGGTTCCAACAATGGCGATAGCGGCAGTAGTACACGTATTGAACAGTGGCAGCTGTTTGTAGCGTCTCGTTCCGCTCCAGCCTCGTAGCCGTGGATGTGACTTGTCTGTACATATAAGGCTCCTCGTTTGCCACCATCTCTTCTCGTCCCCCCCCCCCCTTTCCTTCCCTTTTTCTTTTCCCACGCACCTCTTCGGCTTGCTTTTGATACCCTTTTCTTCTTTTTTTCTTTCTTACCAACTTCAACTTTCCTTCTCAACAGGCCTGTGGCCGATTCCCTTCCTTTCGCTGGTCGATTTTCTGCGCACTCCTTGATTTCACTTCGTTCTTGCTGCTTAGCAGGCAAATACAACAATCCTTTGTCCAACCAGTTTGCGACTCATTTACAGTTCAGTTCAGTTCAGTTCAGCTCAAAGCACTTTCAGCGAGCGAGTCATCTCGAGATTTCATCTGAAAGAAATCCTTTCAATCCCTTTCAACCGACAGCAGGCCGTCTCACACTTTGTTGTGCAATCAAACAACCATACAATCCTTTTATACTCCAACAAGATGCTCTTTCAATCTCTCGCCTTCTTCTCCCTGGCCTTGTCCGCCAGAGCCACTCTCGCCCCCAATGTTCAGGGCATGAACATGGTCTGGCAGGAGACCTTTGTCGGTGAACAGGGCGGCATGGTCGATCTGACCCAGTGGAACATCATCACCGACATCCACAACAACCAGGAGCTCGAGACTTACACCCAGTCCGGCTCCAACATGCAGCTCTCTGGCGGCCAGACCCTCCAGCTCGTCCCTCAGCAGGCTGCCAACGGCGAGTGGACCTCGTCTCGTATTGAGTCTGTCCAGTCCTGGACCCCTGCACCCGGAAAAGTCATGCAAGTCCAGGCCGCTCTCCGTGGTGGCGACAGCGCCGTCAACCAGAAGCAGGGCATGTGGCCGGCCTTTTGGATGCTGGGCGAGTCTATGCGCACCGGCACTCCCTGGCCACTCTGCGGAGAGCTCGACATCTTTGAGCAGATCAACGGCCAGCTGACGGGCTACGGCACTGCCCACTGCGACCACGTTGGTGGTGGTGCTTGCAACGAGCCCGCGGGCCTTGGAGAGAGCATTGCCATTCCGCAAGACGACCAATTCCACACCTGGTCCCTCAAGATCGACCGCACTTCCAACAACTGGCAGACGGAGACAATCCAGTGGTTCATGGATGGCACGCTCTTCCACACTCTCACAGGAGCTCAGATGGGCGACGAGGGTGTCTGGGCCACTCTGGCGCACTCCCCCATGTATGTTATCCTCAACTTGGCCGTTGGAGGAACATGGCCTGTAAGTACCCTCTCTATTCTGTTTTATTCTGTCAACATGCAACTGACATGTCACTTCTTGATAGGGCGACCCCAACGAAGCTACTCTGCCCGGCTGGGGCAACATGTTTGAAGTTCAGTACGTTGCCGTCTATGCAACAGCCTAGAGCAAAGGCGTTCAACAATACATGGTATATAAGAGAGAAAAAAGGTTAAAATCTGGATAGAGATAAAAAAGAGAAAAAGGCTGAAAAAAATGGCGTCTTTTTGGCAATGGCAATTATATCACGACGAAATGTCTTTTCCCTCTACATGGAGGACGGTTTTTACCGAATTTGATTCACTGTATATACTACTACTAGAAACTTATACCCAACGACTTTTATGACCCAAAAGTCAATTTCTTTAAAATTTATAGTAGGCGTGAGCAGAGGTGCGAGCAAGGTATCATGGGTGGACAGGGCTTCGGAAAGCTTACCCACGTGCATGTTCTAATTGGTGATGGAGCTGCCGGAAAACATAAGCCCTGCTGCATCATGCGTGGATTATAGGTGAGGCAACATCATGATGGCACTTTAACATGACACTCTGTATTTTCATTTAAACCTAGGTAGATGCTAGCAGTACAATGATATTGGCAGCATACAATTTCACCTGAAGCGTCTTTATATCAACAATACACATAGTAACATTATCCTGATCTTTTACAACTGTGGCTTATATGGTATGTGAAAACTGAAGTGGGAAACAAAAAAAAAAAGAAAGTGGTACAAAATAGAGAAGCCATTATCGAAAAAAAAAACGTTCAAAAAGTCAACACAAAAAAAACATTTTACAAGAAGGGTGTTTTGTTTCCACCAATTCGCGTCTTTCGTCGATCAGCAAGGAAAAAAAAAAACTGACTTTGTGTAGGTAAGTAGTTTTTTTTTTTGTTTTAGAAAACCACAACTATAAGAAAAGAGAGAACAAAACCAAGAAAAAGTCAAAGAGCCAAGCAAACAGACGTGGAATCAAGAGTGAACAAACCAAATAAAAAAAGGGGGGGAAAGGATGTCAAAAAAAAAAAAATAACAACACTAAACCCACAGGGCACATCATCTCTTTCTCTGTCTCTCTCTCTCTCCCAGTTTTCTCTTCGTTTTATTTTTTCCCGTTTCAAACCATCAAAGAGCATGAGACCCTGGGAAAATAAAACCGGATCGCCACATGACCATGATATAGATAATCCACTCTAACGCCTTGTCGAATAATGCCAGATTAGAGAGACTACCCAGGAAGACAAACAATAACAGAAAAAAAAAAAAAAGATGTAGTTAAAAACAGCCAACCCAGCTTTAAACATTGTAGAGAGATGGAGAATCCTACTCTGCACCAATCTCTCCACCTTCCATCCCTGAGTATCCACCGGGGAAGACAAAGTCCTCATTGCCATTTTCGCCATCATTCAGAAACGAGTCGAAATCGAAGTCGTTGAGGACGTCAGTGGAGCCAAGAGGATTCATGTCCATTGTACCAAAGTCCTGCTGCAACATTAGCCTTGGGCTCTCAAGTCGGAGGCCACTACATGTCAAATGTGACGACGGAGAGAGACTGAAACGTACCATTCCAAAGTTGCTTTCCATTGCTCCTAATGAGGTGGGCCCAACCAGGTCATGGGCGGGTTGCTGCAAGGGAGCAGCCGGCTGAGGTACCGGCGCACTGGCCGCAGCAGCAGGAGTTGGGACACCTGTGGTGACTGTTGGTGCAGGTGCATTTGGCGTGGGGTTGCCAGCTTGGTTGGCCTTGAAGCTTCCAGGGGCGACGACTGGGGTGATGGGAGTTGCCGGCGCATTGACCTCGGCCTCTGCGCCATTCTCTGCGGCAGAAGCAGCGGCGTTGTTGTTCTGGTTGGACTTCTTCTGTGCAGCAAGTCGCTATAAGATCTGTCAGATTGCAAAAAAAGGGGGAGAAAAGCGAGAAAAGCGAGAAAAGCGAGACAAGGGGGACAAGGGCGAGATGGAGAATTTCAATGCAGAATGGACTTACCTTGTCCTTGGCACTCTTAGATTCCTTCTTCTTTGGCGCCGCCTTGTTGCTCTGGCTAGGTGTAGGAGGCGCTGCCGCCGCCTGCTGGGGGGATGCAGTCGTCCTGTTGTTTGCGTTGGCTGCCGCAGGCGCCGATGGAGGAGGCATTGATCGCTGCTGGGGAGTGCCCTGGACTGGCTGACCCTGCTGCGGCATACCACCAGGCACCATCTGGCCGTTCATGCCTTGCTGCCACTGTTGGGGGTTGCCTGGGACGCCCTGCCGAGCGGCCATCATCTGCTGCTGCTGTGCGTTCATCGGGCCATTGAATGGCTGGCCGGGGTGTGAGCTGGGCGGTCGCATGCCGTTCATTTGGGCCTGTGCAGCGGCCATGCTTTCGTCTGCTCCTCCCTTGTAGAAGTGAGGTGCCATGCTGACGTTGACGTGGTTGCCCAGGAAGTTCATGGCGGGGTTGGGAGACTCGCGGGACTGTGCACCATCGGGAACAGGCGAGGAAATGCCAGAGTTGTTCATCTGGGGAGTGCCGCGCTTCATCTGCTCAGCCGGGTTGGGAGAAGTGCCGGATCTCATGGCCTGTGGTGATGTGTCTGGGAAGGGCTGTCCATTGGGTCCGGCTGCTCCCGGTTGGTTGTCCCTGGGGATTCCGCCCATGTCGCTCTGCTCCTGGCGAGCCATCATCAGCCGCTTCTTATTCTGCTGCTCTAGAAGCATCAGCTGCATCTGATAGTCCTGCAGAGCATGGTTGCTGCCGGTGGGCTGGGCCTGCCCTCCTCCTCCTCGCATAGCGTTGGGGCCGTCCATGGTGGGGCCGTAAAACGCATTGAGAGCATTACCGTCAGGGCCTCCCGGGGCCATCATGGGAGAGCTCTGGTTCTGAGGCACGCCGCCCACCATCTGCTTGCTGCCCATCTGGTTGCCATGATGCTGCTGGAGGTTGTGCGAGTAGGTTGCGATGGACTTTTGCTGGGCTGCGGGTGGCGTATTGGCAAAGTTTTGCATCTGCTGGGGGTTGAGCTGGTTGGGGTTGATGCCGTTGGCGGCCAGGACCTGCGAGGCAGCTGTGAGGTTGCCGGCCACAGCCATCGGCTGGCCAGGCATGTTTTGGCCGGGGCGGCCGTTCATCATGGCGCCGGGCTGATTAGCGTTGAAAGGAGCGCCGTCCATTCGTTGACGTTTTGAGGGAGATGGCGCATTTTCTCCCGAGGCGGGCGATGATGGCCGATCACGGTTGGCGTCCATGCCGGAAGGATCCCTCTGCATTTGGTTCTGCTTTGCATGAAGCATCTGGATATTGGGATTTTGATTGTTGGCCATGGCTGCTCGGGCAAGATTGGTTTGATGCTGCTGCTGCTGCTGCTTCATGGCCATGGTCATGTTGGTGTTCTGCATGTTTCTCATGAATGCCTGAGCCTGATACTGTTGCGCCGATATTTCAGGGCGCATTTGACGTAGCATCTCTTGCTGTTGAGACTGCTTCATTCGCTGTTGCTGCTTGAAATTGAGTTAGTCAACAGTATCAATCGGCAGACAGATTACGACAACAAAAAAGGAAAGAAAGGGGAAATAATAATAATAATAATAATAAAAAACAGCATCTGAATTCCGTACCTGAGTATGCTGAACGTATTGGTTGACGATATGGTTGCCATTCTTGGCGCGTGGGGCAGTATAGATATCCCAAAACACACAAAACCACTCGTAGAGAAAGGATGTATCCGAAGCTGGCATCGGTAGCTTGGGAGGAGGCAGGTCCTCTGGCAGTTTGGAGTCGCTGTCGTCCTTGGAATCGGTGTCCATGGGGTCGTCGACGCCGTTCATGGCGTTGCCATTTTCGCGACGGCCGCCGGCTTCCTTGTTCACGTTGACCTGCTGATCGCTGGCCAGCAGAGAGCGGGCACAGTCGTACATCTGATGTCTGAGGAAATATTCGTAAATGTATGTGTTGAGAGTGCTGCGCTGGTCCTGCACCTGTCGCCCTGCGCCGGCAGCGGCCACCATTTGAGGGTTCATGGCGGCATTATTATTCATCATGGGCATCGGTGCGCCAACAGGGCCGCCCATGGGCGTCACGTTGGCCATTCCAGGCTGGGCATTCATCGTGAATGAGGGTGGATGGGAGGCGGGATTGAATATGTACGAGGATGCAGAGAGCTCTCAGGGCTCAATGCGAAAGACTTGTGTGTTTGAGCGAGAAAGAGATTCCCTGGTCAGCCGCTTTGGGTGCCGCCACGCGAAGAGCGCCACAGGGCTGGCCGACGTGGGCAGGACGAGGCGGAACCTTGAGCAGGAAGCCTATCCCAGCAGGAGAGCGGGAAAAACCCAGAGGTATTTGTACACAAATGATCGCGAACCGCGTGAAGCTGCAGATCCAGGCGTGGAGGCAGATGCTGAGGCGACGCGCTCGTCGAGGACGGACAAGAAGTGTGGCGATGTCTGTAAGCGGCGACGGCGGCGCTCGGTGCTGGCGCTGCAGAAAATTGCCCGCTCGAGTCGCGGAGCAGCAAAGAGGCGGCAGAGGGCAGCTGAGAGTGGCTGAAGTGGCCGACGAAGCAGTCGAGATGGAGAGCGGAGGGGAAAGATCAGAGCTGCCTCAGTCCCGGGGGATGCAGTGCACGCTACAGTGAGGTTGGCCTGGCGGTTCTGCTGTAAGCGCACCGGCAGCGCGGGAACTGGAGCGCAGCAGCACTGGCGGGCCTGGGAAACAAGGCGTCTCGTCTGGTATTGCCGAGGCGAGCAGCGGCCACGATTCGATTCGATTCTGTCCAACAGCTGCGACGGCGTGAGAGGCAGGAAGAGCAGGTTGCGGTCGTGGGTCGTCCGGGTCAGCTCTCGCGCTGGGCCGTGGGGACAAATGTCGCGATGGACATCAGATTAGGCTGTGGAGGTAGTGAAAGGTAAGGCAAGGTGCAAGTAAATCGTGGGCGATGGTGGTGCGCAGAGCGCCGCTCATACAGTACGCAGAGCGCAGCGGCACGAAAAGGAGCGCGGGCGATTCGCACGGTGGCGGCAGCGCAACAACCGCGTCGGACGGTGCGCGTAGCCTTGCGCCGGGGCTGGGGCCGTCGCACGGTGCTGGCGGGCGCGGGCGCGAGGGGACACAGTGCGAGGGGCTGGCGGCGAAAAGCAGAGCGAGCCTGGAAAAGTGTTTCGAGGGCCGCATCAGACTGCTTCGGGGGGGATTGGCGATCCCACTGTAAGGCTCCGGCTGCTTGGTGCTTGCGTATGCCTCAGACTAGGTGCGTAGTTTTGGGGCTGGGCGCCTGAGGCACACACCCGAGTCTGTGCGGGCCGCAGCGCTGTTTTTGCTGCCATTGTGACACGGAGCACGCTAAGGCGACCGCTGAGGTAAGGCCTTCGACGTAATACCGCTGCATCGAGGCATGTAAGAGAATTTTGAGGCGCACTGCTCTCGGCAACACTCGCTGCGAGCCTCGAAGCGACTCGATTAATATGGGTTTAATGTGGGATTTTGCGTATTTTACTTTGACATACGGCACAGCGGTCCTCTTCCATTGCTCATTTTGTCGAAGCAAAGGACATTTTGATTTTCATTTTGTGACTGTGGCTGCATCATGTGTTGTGTCAAACATCCTGCGGCTTCCCTTTTGGCGACTTATCCTGGACCCTGAATCCTCACAACCTCCGATATGCGCATCGCCTTCCTTTCTCCCCCAGCGGCACTCGTCATTCCCCTCCATCTTTCGGCGTGAATCTACGCAAACCGGACGCGTTGCATCGGCTTGTAACATGATTGCTCATACCACGTACAACCCGAGACGCGGGCATTGACCACTCAGCAGGCATCAGCCAGCGCTGCTCAGTCACTCCACAGCCGGGGTGGGCTGATTCATGGAGATCAGGCACGACTGCTTGCCACCTTGGGCTGGATTCGTTTCCAGCTCTCTTTGCTGGATGCTTACATGGCGAAATCAAAATTAGGTAGCGTAAATCCCCGAAACTCAATCTGGCTACAGAGATGCCCATGGTACACGGAGCCTCACTTATACGTGCATGGGTAGGTAGTACCTACCTACACTAGTAGAACGTAGTAGTAGGAAGCAACATGACGAGACGTAATGCAGGCTACAAAGCATCCATGAATGTTGCTGAACTTTAAATCATTGATGCTGCAAGTGGAAGCAAACAGCGCAGCCATCAGGCTCCATACTTGTCCGCGGCACCATGTGCTAGCAGCTCGGTAAACTATTCATAGGTACAGATGGACATTCGGTTATCCATCCCGTTCCTTTACTGACAGATACCCATCGGGATTATGCCGTAATTATTCGCAATGGCTTGATCAAAGTGTACAGACAGACAGCTCGGCTATCTATGGGTATCATACTGCTTTCATTCCCCGTAATTTCTCTGACGGCAGTGGGATCGGACCGGCCATCACCAGGGGGCCGCGGCAAAAGGATTCCCTTTGAAGAACGGAAGAGGAAAAGGAAAAGCCCCGCGGTCAAATGCTAGCTCTGGCATTTCCTGCACATGGCTTGGCCTCTCACCTCGTTAATCTGGCCCGACACATGCTCGTCATTCTATCAATCGTCTTCCGGCGGCAGCTCGTCGTCGATGTAGCGTATCAACGTTACCCGCATTTCTGTAGTGTCGTTCCCCCTTAGGACGTCGCTGATAAAGTGCGCTTCCACCTGCATCTGAACCATCTCCAATGCGCCTCTCAACACTCCACACAAAATGTTGGAGTACCAGAGCTCGTTCTGCGCCCTTCCATCGTCTGGGAGCTCGACAAAGTCGGCAAACGGATTCTCGTCAAATACCAGGGAGAATGAGTTGTTGTCGGCTGTCCAGTTTGTCACTTGCGGTGTAATATTCAAGAATATTTTGAATCCAACCTAGGAGGCACAAAGTCCGTCAGCCGTAGAAAACAAAGTGCATCCTTGAGCCCGCGACCTTACCCGCGATATCATGTCTGCGGTTTCCCGAAAATGAGAGCATCGTTTCATTGTATTTGACTTTGCCAGGTAGTCTTCGATGAGTCGCAGACCGATGTTGTAACCCATCTTGTCAAGTTGTCGGTTGACCTCTGGGTAGTCGTCTTCGAAATCCTTGCATAGCTGCGCAACGATGGTTCCGTACGTGAGCGTCACCAGCTCGGCATTCACTTTATCGATGCGAGTTCTATCGGTGCGATTAGATCTAGGTGTTTTCTCTCTCTCTCATGCCAAGACACCTTACTTCCAGATTCTAGATCCATGTTAGAACAACGCCGAGCGTAGAGCAACCTGAGGAAACGTACTCTTCCCCGATGCGGGACGCTTTGCTGGCTGCCATTGTGGCAGTCGTCTAGGCTTTGGTAGCTGCAAGGGAATTCGCGGGTGGTAGAAGCCAGTTGTATTGTTCTTGCGCTAGTATCTCTGCAACGTGAATGCAAATAACCAAGGCCGGGCAGAGACGTGAAAGATGGATTGCGCTGATATGGGGGGTCGAGGAACGTCCGCGACTATCATACAGGGAGCTCCAGCTTTAAGCGGTGGGGTTCCGAGTCCCTGGCTGCTAGCCTCGACCACCGAGCGTAGGAACATCAACGGGCCGAGAACCAATAGGAAAGCGTTGACCGGCGCCAAGTTCGCAACTCGACAAGGCTTCGCGATCGCGACACGGACAGCCTCACCAGCTCGAAACCCGATTCCATTCTACTATTTCGGCCAATTTAGCTCTTGGTAGGATTTTCAATACCTTGCATACTCACAATGTCGGCTGAAAAGCGCCCGGCCGATGACGACCCCGGACTGTCAAAAGTTCTTGTCAAGAGGCAGAATGTCAACACTTCTGAAGGAGCCCTTGCGCGGCTCAATGCCTCCAGCAGCGCCTTGGTTCAAACGGTAAGATCATCTTTTACTCACAGAGGCCTCTTGGGATGGTATTAATAATATTTATAGGCTCCTCGGACGAGCGGGCTTCAAGCTCCTGTGATGGAGCTGACGGGACACTCTGGGGAGATTTTCTCAGCCAAATTTGATCCTACGGGCAATTTAATTGCCTCTGGATCAATGGACCGAAGTATAAGTATGAAGCTCTCGATTTTCTCAAGGTGCATATTGGTTTGCTGACGCAAGGTAGTGCTGTGGAGGACATATGGCGACTGCGAAAACTACGGCGTGCTAAATGGCCACAAGGGAGCCATTCTCGACTTGCAGTGGGCACGAGACTCGGAGATTCTGTACTCTGCTTCCGCCGATATGCACCTTGCGAGCTGGGATCTTACCTCGGGAACACGGATTCGGCGATATGTCGGGCACGAAGAAATCATCAATAGTCTGGACATTAGCAAGCGAGGCGAGGAGATGCTGATAAGCGGAAGTGACGATTCGACAATTGGAATTTGGGATCCACGGACGAAGAACGCAGTCGACTACATTGAGACCGAATTTCCCATTACAGCCGTGGCCATTTCGCAGGCCGGCAACGAGATATACTCGGGAGGCATAGATAATGACATTCGAGTCTGGGATCTAAGAAAGAAGGCCGTGGTGTACTCTCTACTGGGGCATGCGGATACCGTTACGTCTTTGCGAGTCTCTCCCGATTCACAATCTCTACTGTCACACTCGATGGATACAACGGTGAGAACATGGGACATTCGCCCGTTTGCGCCCACCGAAAGACACATTCGAACATTCGACGGCACTACGGCTGGTGTGGAGCAAAATCTGCTACGCGCCAGTTGGGATTCAGAAGGCAAGAAGATTGCTGCTGCTTCTGGAGATGGCACTGTAGTCATTTGGTCCAACGAGACGGGAAAGCTAATGTATAAACTCCCGGGACACCGAGGAGTTGTAAACTGTGCGGAATTTGCGCCTGGCAAGGACCCCATTTGTGAGTTTACAATTAGTTCTCGTTGCGCTTTGGTAGAGAAGTCTTCTAATTCCCTTTTTAGTACTATCGGCCTCATCAGATCGCACTATGCTTCTTGGCGAGTTGAAGTGAGTGACATTTGCGGCTTTGTACCGTCGAGTTATGGAATAAGCAGTTGGAGACGTCTTTTCGTTGACGAGAGATACTGGCGGCGGATCAACACGCTACTTTGGTCTCGACGAAGACAAAAGCGGCTGCTTATTGAAGCTCACTGGCGACTCTGACTTGGATCGTTTGCGGCGTCTGGCCCATATTATGGAGCCAACTCACATTTAAGGGCTTCATGTCGGTTGATGAGTCTTGCATCCCGTCATCCAAGACATAGATTCTCAAACTTGAGAATGAATACTCATCGTCATGTGAAATAAACCAGCATTTCGGGAGGAAAAAAAAAACAATGGCAATATCGGCGTCAATCTTATTGTATGTATAATCAGCGATACCTTGGAATTAAGGGGGCAATAGAAGGAGAAAAGATGAAAAAGCGGCCATGGGACATTTGGTTGCTGTATGCTCTCCAAACGATTTGAATTGTCCTGTTGTTGAGGCAAGTGATGTACAACTTTTGTAATACCTAACCGCCAGCTCAAGCTCAGCCGTCGTCACATGGAATACGATAATAAGCGCTGTTCTGGGGAGGCTCGTCACAACAGTCAACCGCGGGCTGCGTCAGCATAGGAACCCCGGCAAGCGACAGAGCATGGATTGTTATATGCATATACAGTACCTTCTTGATGAGCAATCACTTGGCGAGGCAGTAGCATTATCGCCATCAACCGTAGCAAAGCTGGGGAAAAGACTCCGCACAATCGGCAATCTTGCCCAGGCCAGGCCAAGCCAGACCAGCCTCGATGACAGACGCTCAACGACGCCAGATGCTTCCCGAGCACAGGATTGTTTGCTCCTCCGACCCCCTTGGCCGTGATGGACCGCGTCAAACCATCGGTGCGCATCGCGAAACAATCAATTTGGGCGAGGGAGTGGCGCCGTGTCGTCTCCAGCGCCGTCTATTGGCGGTGGAGCAGCGCAGGATGAAACACGGCCGTCTTTTCTCCACGGCCAACCCTGGCGCCAGCCCCTGGTTTTGCAGCACCTGCTACAAGGACACGCCTCTTTGACCCCTGCGCGGCGTTGAGGCCTGCCTTTGACACATGGTGGCTGCGGCGGGTAATACGAGGGCCTATGCTGTGCTGTGCTTTGCTTTGGCCTCCTGGTCCGTTCCCAACTGAGGCTGTGAGCGAGCTTCTTCCGGGTCCAGCCCAGCCCGTGTGCGCGGGCCAGAAAACGGCGACGTCCAGTTTAATGAGCCTCTGGGTTTCTATTTTGGCCCAGCTTCGATGTTTGCTCCGCCTGGCCTGCCATTCGTCCCGCCTCTCTCTTTTTCTCTCTTCCTTTTCTGCAAAGACAGATGCAGGGCGGGTTTTCCGTCTTACATGTTTTGCGCTCGTTGGTCCGGATTCTTGCGTTTTTCTCGTAATCCCGAGGTTTGAGGGCTGCCCTTCCAGCTGGTTTCTGGATTTGCTACCTGCTTCTCTTTTTTTTCTCTATACAATCCAATGTATTGAGATAGCCTCGTACACCCGTTCCTTTGGGCATTTTCTTCTTCTTGCTGCTCGCTGTTTATCCTACTCCATTCATTTAATCCTTTTACGGCGACTTCGAATCTCGGTCTCTTTCCCTCTATTTCGTCATTCTCTTCTTTTCATTGAGCAGGATCTCACCTTTTCGTCGGTCATTGGATTTTTCTTCATTCTGCTCAAACACCTCAATATCGCTCGTTGATTATATACATTCCTTCCTTTTTTCTTCTCAATTCGATATTCGACGATTCCTCGATTCCTTCAACGACTGCGGCTGTGCCGTGACGGAACCAGAAAGATACATACCCACCCACCAACCAATTCTCTCCATTTCATGATATAAGCCAGAGCAGCACAGAACCGAATACACAGCATGGCGTCTGATAGAAGTATGGAGCTGCTGCGCGACGAGCTCCTTCGCCGAGCGCGGGGAGATGGACGGGCAAATACTCCTACAGACCGAAACCAGATCCTAGCAGAGCGCCGGCGAACTATGTTGCGGGACATGCAGACGGATACGGAGCCGGACACGACACGACGATTTCCTCGGCGGCTTTTGTTGCCTCGACTGGCATTGGGGAGAAGACGAGGGGCCTTGGGTGACGAAGAAGCCGCTCTAGAGAGCCCCAAGACTCCAATCATTCAATCTAGACAAACAAATTCCTCACCTCTGTCGGCTCCTCAGCCGGCTCACCTTCTGGGAGCGCCTGGCGCCAATGCATCTCCAGAGTCCATGGCGCCTCCATATTCAGAAGCCCAGCGACAGGCCGGCAAGAAGGAGAAGAAGAAGAAGTTTTTGTTCTGTTTCCCGTACATCAAGTCGAGACATGTGCGAGTGCAGATTGCTCAGTGCTTTGTGGCTGCGATGTTTCTCTTTTCGCTGCTGGCAGTGTGTAAGTGGCGGAAGCTGAGCCTCGGCTTTTTTTTTTTTACATCTTTACTACACGCAAAATGCTAACATTAGTCGTAGATTTGGGTATAACGCTAACGAAGCACTCTGTTATCGGCGAGTTGAACATCATGTTGATTATGATCATTCTCCTGGCGGCAGTCTTCTTCTGCTACAGCTTGGTCCGGTTATGGATGCTTGTTGCTCGCGGGGATCCTCCTGAAGTTCCTAGAGCGATAGATCCGCGCGGATATGCCGTTCCCCGTAAACCCATACGGGTGGTGATGGCCCAGGATGAGGAAGCTGCTGGGGTTGAGAGTGAGGCCATGAGGATGAACCCTCCTGCTTACGGACTCTGGCGAGAGAGTGTGGTATGTTGTTATCCCGACTATATTCATCATGTATCTGAGCTGACGTCAAATCTAGCGAGTGGACCCGAATCGCTTTTTCTGGCAACGCAATGAGGCTGCTCAAGCTCCTGCTTCTCGGCCAACAACGGGACCGAGACCACCGTCGTACGCCTCTGACGATGGAGTATCATATGTGGTCGAAGCGGTGCCTCGCTCCATTGCTCCGTCAGCATCAGCGAGCGAGCCACAGCCGGTACATCCTTCAGAAAGAGGACGAGCTGGCCAGGCACCTCCGAACTGAGAGGGATGTATCACAATTTTTTGTTTTATTTTGTACGGGGTGTTTGGGAGGCAGTCACATGAAGGATTACGGATGTGTTTGCACAAAGGGAAATGTGTACATAAAAGCTTCAGATGGGAGGCGATCAACACAGCATGTTGCGGCCTTCTGACGGCGTTCTTGGTAATATAGGATGCCCATGTATTTTTGCTGACGGCCCATATGAAGGGAATGTCCATGATTTGGTCTTTTTCCTAGCATCACATGCAAATGGGAGCCCTTGTAAAAGTATTCCTATGCTCTTCTTCAGTCCACCCCTCCAACATCCATTAAAGGCCGTTATTTTACATTGAATTCACACGTGCACAACTACTGGCCTGAAGAGGCTCATTTTACTCGTCAAATATCAATGCCATCAGTAGCCTAGAGTGATGCTGCAACTGGACCCCCGGTGCGTCATTACCAGGGCCAAGCTTATAGCCTGTCATGGACTTGGGTCGAGAACTGGGCCTGTTCCCTTTCCCGGATGGTGAAGTGGTCTTGATTGGTTGGTAGGGGGCCACATGCGGCACGAGTGTCTGCATGCAGGGCTGAGAAATTAAATATCGAAATGGGAGTGGCTTTTGAGGTTTGTTGTTGGTGTTGGAAGGGCTTCATCATTTGATATTGCAAAGTGAGTGGCTGCTTCGTATTTTCTGCCGCAAAGTACACGAGTTTCAATAAGATACAGCTGCCCCGAACGGGCATGTAAGCTCCATCATCGCCGTTTCTACCTCGGTCGGTGGGCATCCTTATTTGGCAGCATCCCTGGATATCAGATGCTGTGCTACGCAGGGGTTAATGTGACCAGGTTCGGATTCTGTACAGGCTTTATTAACTGAGCGCATACGGCGCATGTCACGCAGAGAGTGATTGGGCCTCCACTATGATTCTTCGTCACCACTTCTATTGATGTTCTCTCGTTCAATATTGAGAGAGAGAGAGAGCGTGGTGCATGAGATATCCAAACTCGCATACACTACACGTAGTCTAGTAGTGTAGCATTAAAGACACGTTGTCAGCGACTACAGGTAGTAGAAGCCCTAGCTGATACAATCACGGGATCGTGTTCTTGGAGGCACCGGCTCTGCTAGTCCGGAAAAAGAAGGACACGGTGCTGCAAGGATACTTGATATTGTGAGATGCGGTGTTTTTGTGGTGTCCTCAAATTGGGGTAGAGAGTTCAAGTTTATGCGCTGTGTGACTAACGGTCCGTTCTGCTGCCAGGCGGTACCTGCGTGTTTTACGGTGTCAGTGCTAATACAAGAATATTGCCTCGGTTGATATCGGGCATCTGGAAGCAAAGCATATGTTGATTCAGACCTGTGTCGTTTGTGATGATGGAGGCGATTCAAACAGTGGCCATGTCCAGGTACCTTGCAGGTAGCCGTCGCCTCTCGAACCGCAGCGCTGGGCGGGCATCCACCAGCCCGCGTGGCAAAAGTACTCGCGCCGTACATGCATGGGTGCATTTCCCCTCACCTCGCCCCCAAGAGCGCTAGCGGGAGGGCCCTGCAGCGGGTGACACAGTGGCATCCCAGTGGCATCCCAGTGGCATCCATTGCTCCACGGCGACAAACCACAGCGAGCCACAGGCCACACACTCGCCCCGAACGCGCGCACACCTGCTGTAGCTGCAGGCGCCAGCCATCCAATAGTGGCCGCCGCCCTCTGCTCGCCCTTCGCCCAGCCCGCTCCACTTCCCTGCCTTTTTCCTTTTCCCTCGAACATATTAAATCTCCTCACGACAAGAAAATTTTTTCCCTTTTGTTGGAAATCTAGGATTCGCTGGTGGACGTCGCCGTTGTTGTCGCAGTTGTCGAAACTACTGAACTGAATCTCTCGAGGTTTTTTTTGCAAGGTGTGTATCTTTTCAGTCTTTTATCCCGCGGCTTGTTTTTCGCTTGCGACGCAACATGTCCATTGCCTGGTCAAAGTTCAGCGGATTGTTTCGCGCACCAGCCATTACCAGCTGCTGTCCATCTGCACGGGGAGCGCCCATTTGAGCATCTTGATCTGGCGGCGCTACAGCACGAAAGAAGACGGAATCATGACAATTGGTACCTCTTTTGCGCTGCCTCGCTGCCGTGGCGGCCCCAGAGTTGTGCGGATGTCCATGCGCGGGGAGCAGCAAATCAAACCACCTTTGCGCCGCTCTGTGCGACACACCACCGTGGTGCGACTCCAACTCCAACTGCGACCTCGACGCTTGATTTCCCGGCCGAACGGTGCCTGAGTGCATTATATCACATGTGCGTGGATGGCGGGCTTCGTACAGAAGATGCTTGGATGTCTCGGATCGTCTGGAGCGGGACAGGCGCATCGTCTCCATGGATTGTGCGCCGCTAGCATCTCGGCTCTTGGACCCGGGCACTGCCCTGTGGTGTTGCTGCTCATGCGAGACGCATCAAACCGCCATGCATGGCTGCGACGATGACTTGTTTGCGAAAATCAACAACTCATCTTCACCGGCTGTCAAGCTACAATATGCGGCCTGGATTTGCGCCACGTCTCTGGCAAAGACTTTATCCGACCGACGCAGCCACGTCTACGCTTTTGACTTGTACAAGCCACGATGCCGCGACTGCACATTGTTTCCTCCATCTGCTGTCTTTGCTTTGCCCTGCCAGATTCTTCTCGCAAAGACCTCTGCAGCCGTCTGAGCGAGGGAATTTCTCGCAGCCAAGCTAGTCTCCGAGCTTCCAGCAACCCCGCGACAAACTCCAAGACCCGCCGCATTTAGTGGTTCTCGTGGCTTCCTCTTGCCCGGCGCCGCCGTCGGCATAACAACGTTGAGCTTTGACTGGGCTGTGGCTTTCTGGACACTTGTTTCGCTAATGGCGCATAAACATGGACTTGAGAAATATTCCGCCCGTCTGCTAACCTGATATTCCGGGCTAGATCTAAATACATTATCAACATGTCTTCTCTCTCTCGTCGTGCTTGCTACAAGTGTGGCAACGTTGGCCACTACGCCGAGGTTTGCTCCTCTGCCGAGCGCCTTTGCTACAACTGTACGTTCAAGTCTCCGCCGCAGAAAGAGACTCAATGAACTAGATTTGCTAACATGATTGAACGATAGGCAAGCAGCCTGGTATGCATATGCAAACGCCATCCGATTAGCCTGTCATTCTCTAACAGCTTGTCACCATAGGCCACGAGTCCAACGGCTGCCCTCTCCCTCGCTCGACTGAGGCGAAGCAGTGCTACCACTGCCAGGGACTGGGCCATGTCCAGGCCGACTGCCCTACTCTCCGCCTGAGCGGCACTGCCACCGGTGGCCGATGCTACAACTGCGGCCAGCCCGGCCACTTGGCTGTATGATGCCTTTACTTTGAGATTTCTGCCGAGGAAAATACTAATCCATTCTCCATAGCGTGCTTGCCCCAACCCCGGCAACCCTGGCATGGGCCGTGGTGCTCCCATGGGCCGTGGTGGTTTCGTCGGCGGCTATGGTCGTGGAGGCTTCGCCAACGGCCCTCGTCCCGCTACATGCTACAAGTGCGGTGGCCCCAACCACTTCGCTCGCGACTGCCAGGCCCAGGCCATGAAGTGCTATGCTTGCGGCAAGCTCGGCCACATCTCCAGGGATTGCACTGCTCCTAACGGCGGCCCCTTGAACACTGCCGGCAAGACCTGCTACCAGTGCGGTGAGGCTGGCCACATCTCTCGCGATTGCCCCCAGAAGACCGCCAACACCGAGATCAACAACGAGGTTGTGGACCTTAACAACGTCCCCGCTCCCTCCGTGGCTCCCATTGCCCCGGTGGCTTAGAAGGTCCTGATAAGTCGTCTACTGCCCTCCATTCCTAGCCTTGCAGGGTGGTGGTGGACGGTAGACATACACGCCCTCTTTCAGGGGCAAGGACTCCATGAGCTGTAACAACAGGAAAAATTTAAAAAAAAAAAAATTACTCTGGATTCCAGGCTGTATTTTTGTTACGGTTTTCTTCTTTTCTATTTCAAGTCGATGCAACCCTTTTTCGTTGCATAGCACCCCAGATTGTGCTTCCCCGATTCCGGTTCTTTTTGTTATATCTCCTTTTTTTCTTCTATTCCGGATGGTTGGCAATATTTCTTCTCATCATCGGCTTAAGCGGAGTCTTTCTTTGGCTTCGGTTCCTGTGGCGTCTGTTTATTTTTCTTCTTCACTCTCTTATCGCAGACGTTTTTTCGTACCAGAGAAAGGCGACGGCAAATGCATACATTTTCCTGCAGCCTCACCTCCTGCGTGGCAAGGAATGAGCGAAATGACAGCGGCAGCAACGACGATATCGAATGCGTCAAAATTTTTCTTTTTTCTTACACACATTTTCTCAGAATTGAAGAGCGTCCGATTTTGTGGGAGGCCCTTGGGTACGCATGGGCCTCGTTCGAAACGGTTCCTGGGCGCAATTTCCCATCTTTCAAACGAATTTACTTTGGATCACATCACTCAAAACTACCTACATATTACGGACTGAAACGACAAAGACGCTGTCACGTAGCTCTTGACGACTTGAGGACTTTAGGCACATGCGATGGATATACCCGTGAGGCTGTGTGTGATGTTGTGATGAGCTTGAAACGGCGGCGCTGCTCTGGAGGCCGCAAACGGTAACACTCGTTGTTGATTGGTACTTGGGGCTGCAGATCTTTGGTTTGCTGCTGGAGAGCAATTCGGCGGCAAGTGATGAGTGGAAGACCGTCACCTCCTAGAGTGAATGAGAGCGCGCGCGTGCAAAGGCGGTGGATGCAACATGTCTTGAAAAAACTGGCAGTTTGAGGATGCTGAGAGGATAGGAGCCGTGCGATCCTATGGCTGTGCGGCAAATGGAGAATATGAGCGCGCCCCCAAGATTGATAAAGGGCAATGGGATCACGGGCATTGAGCAGTGCCCGTGCTTTCGGAGTGGTTGGAGTGGTTAGCGTGGCTGCCGGAGCAGAGGAGAGCTGGGAGAAGTGGAAGCTGCAGCGATTCAGTAAAATTATGACAAGCGGAGAGGCGCAGATGAGGAAGATGAAGAAGAAATCCTGTCATGAAATACCCTCTTTGGCGGCGGCGGCAACTGTTGACGCTGCACGATGTGTTTGGTGTGATGATGAGCGTGTGTGTTTGTGTAGATGTGTGCATGTGTGTGTTGTTGTTGTTGTTGTTTCGAGTCGGACGAGGGAGAGAGTTGATACGCAAAGCGACTGGCAAAGACACGCGGAAGAGGCATGGCAGCCAGCGAGGCCAGAGATCAACTTTTCTTATACCCCTTTTCGCACGATGAAACACCAAACGCCATATTCTAGGTAAGAGTTGAAATATGCAACGCCGGACGAGAGTCGTATCATGACCGCGTGTGCTCGCGTAGAGCAACATGAGGCTACTGACCCCTTTGCAGACTCGGGATCCCATCAGTTGTTCTCCATGCAAGGACTTTACTTTGCCCTTGATTTTGTGTACACAAGGTAACGTACTTTGCACGTAGTAATTCAAGCCGTACGAATTATGCATTTGACGCGGCTCCTGTCCACGAATCTAGTGGTAATATCTTCCGACAGGTGGCTCTCATATCAGCAACGTGCGCATGAATACCTATGCATGCACCTTCCAGAGAATCCACCCATCCATTCGGCCAATGCGTCCAATAGCGTCGACGGCCCCCAAATCCGCGGGGGAAAAAGAGGCGCGGTGACTGCAGCCCGCCAAGGATTTTCGTGGCATGTGCTGCAGTTACAGGCAAATACCGTGATCTAGACCTTGAAACGCGGGGGCTGCTGTATCATACTAGTAAGTAAGCTATGTATGTAGGTGCAAAACTGAGAGATGCAGACAGAGAGAGCAAAGGATTCAAGTCAGCCTCGTAGTCGTAGATCAGCCGTGATGGTTGCCTAGTCTGCTGGCGTTGGCGCCGGTGTTGTTTCGTAGCATTAATCAATCAATAATCCTTTCTTTTTTTCAGCCGCCACCGATGAGCGAATTTAATATATTCTCTTCTTTTTGAACTTGTATTCAGCTCATCGAGATGCTGGCTTTTGAACATTTGACATCTCTTGTTTAATTAATTGCTGCCCTGAGACTAGCGCCTGGTGCACCTTCAGCTCTACCGCTTGTGAGACGAAGATGTTATACGGACGGGACTCTTAGTTTGTATCCAGCACAGGACATTGCAACTCGCACAAGCATCTACATTGCGGCTTCTCATAATCTCCAAGAAGGCGCCTCGTATGCTCTTTCCCTTTCAACTTTGCAAGCCTCCGTCGCGCCTATAAGCGAATCGACTCATTCACAATGTCCTTCATCAACACCGACAGCGACAACAACAGCTTCGTATCTCATATCAGTATCCGCTCCAGACGGTCGCGATCCAGACGGCGCATTTATCCGAGAAGCAACGATGACTACATGATGGGGTCTCCTGATCCTGTCCCGGTGCGGCAGAGAAAGGAGGCGAAGCAGCAGACGCCGCAGGAGGCAATTGATGAGTTTTGGGCCAAGTTTACGACGAGGGCGCCGGGCAAAGGTGAATTTTGTTGTTATATTGTTGCTCTGCCCTCAACGCAGTGAAATAGTATTGTTAATTTTACTGACGAGATGTATCTGTTTAGCGACAACTGTGATACCGCAAAATCCATATACTGCTAGAGTGGCTAGAAAGAACGCCAAAACCGCATCCTCATCTACCACAACCCAAGCTTCTTACGAAACGGCAGCGGCTATGTGCCGAGCCAAAGTCGACAAGATTGTCCAAGAATGCCGCCGCGTCAACAAAAAGTACAGGGACCCGCACTTTGATCTCGAGGCCGATCTGAAGCTGGTTCGCCGGGACTGCCTGGAGTCTCTCTCCAACTTCGAGCCTCTCGACAACCCGGGCAAGGATTTTCGACCGGGAAGCGCCAAGCGTGTCGTGGAGATATTCGACAAGCCGCAGTTTTACATTGAAGGCCCGACGGCTAACGACGTGAGACAGGGGAGAGATGGAGACTGCTGGCTCATGTCGGCGCTGTGTACGCTGAGCAACAAGAAGGGGTTGATTGAGAGGCTGTGCGTGGCGCATGATCAAGATGTGGGAGTTTACGGTTTTGTCTTCTTCAGGGATGGCGAGTGGATTTCGGAGATTGTAGATGACTTTGTATGTTTCCGCTCCTCTTTGTTGTACATGACGATGGTTGCTGATGTTATTTTGCAGCTCTATCTCACCAAATCGGACTACGATGAGAAGCACTGGGAACGGGTTCTCTTTGATGAGCTTGAGCGCTCCAATCCGGAAGAAGCCTACCGCAGAGTGTACCAGTCCAACAGCAGTGCTCTTTATTTTGCTCAGTGCCAGCATCCTCAGGAGACTTGGCTTCCGCTTCTTGAAAAGTGTTATGCAAAAGCGCACGGAGATTATGCTGCTATTGAGGGTGGGTATGGAGGCGAAGGCATCGAGGATCTCACAGGCGGGGTTACGTCTGAGATTTTTACCACTGACATTCTTGACAAGGTAGGCGACATGAAATTGCATTCCATGCATATGATAAATACCATGTGTATCAGTCGACTAACAAGTTTCTAGGAGTATTTTTGGAAGGAGCTGATGAAAGTGAACCAAGACTTTCTCTTTGGCTGTAGCACCGGGGTATGGGGAGCGAACTGGGGAGAGAGAAAAGGCATCCTCGAGCTCCATTCCTACTCCATTCAGAAAGCCGTGGACATTAATGGTAAACGCCTGCTTCGACTGAAAAATCCTTGGGGAAAAGGAGAATGGAAAGGTCCTTGGAGTAAGACGCTTTCTTTCAATTCATTAAAGTGATGAAAAAATGCTAATATGCCAACAGGCGACGGCTCCAAAGAATGGACTGCCGAATGGCTGGAGAAACTCGACCACCGATTTGGTGACGATGGTGACTTTTGGATTGCATACGAAGACTTGCTTCAGAAATATCAGGCTTTTGAGAGAACTCGGCTATTCGATGACAGCTGGCAAGTGTCTCAAATCTGGACTACCGTCAACGTTCCTTGGATGCTGGATTATCACGACACTCATTTCTCTTTGGCCATTACCAAACCTGGTCCAGTTGTGATTGTGCTAGCTCAGCTGGACGATCGTTACTTCCGTGGTCTTCACGGACAATACAGATTTGAGCTGGCGTTTCGGGTCCACAAAGCTGGGCACGAAGATTACCTTGTCCGCAGCCAAGCGCCATATCGCATGAGACGCTCGGTCAATGTCGAACTTGATTTGGAGGCGGGTGAATACGACGTTCGAATCAAGATTGATGCGGTTCGCCTTGACGACATTTTGCCTATTGAGACCGTCATTCGAAAGAACGCCAAGAAACGACGAGAAAAGCTGACGCGCATTGGTCTAGCGTACGATCTCGCACATAGCAAAGGTAGAGTTGTGGAAACTCCGGAAGAGAAGGCTGCCAAGGAAGCGCATGAGAAACGCGTCAAAGACAAAGAGCTTTGTGAAATCAAAGATAGGATCATTGCTCGCCGCAAGGATGACCATTATCTCAAAATGAAGCAGCATGTCAGGAGTCAAAAGCAAGAAAAGAAACGAAAAGAAAAGCGGAAAGCTCAAGAAGCCGAAAGACGGCCAATGAATGGGAATAGCAAAGAGGAAACGGAGCACAAGAACAACTCTCACGAGCAAATTGACAAGTCAGACGAGAACCATGAGCCACCATCTTCGCTTAATGGAGCAGGATCATCAAAGGCAAGACGGAGAGTCACAATGCCAAGCCCACCTGGTGATGCAACTGATCAGTCAGGCTCACCACCGGAACACGGCCTACAGAAGTCATTACAAGCTTCTCCCTACTACGAATCTGAGAGCGACGATGGCATAGAGAGTCTATCTTCGTTGTCTGATCTTTCTGATCGCGAGCTGGACTTGCAGGCCCAAACTTTTGGAGGTCAGCTGAACAGACGCCCCGTTACGCTTTCGCCTCCAAAGTTTGAAGATGAGCTTGATGAGTTTGAGAAGGATCCTTGGAATGCGGTTGTCGTAATTGGACTGCGAGTCTACCACAAAGCTGATGAAGAAGACAAAAACAAGGAGATCATTAGACTCAAGGTGGTACGCCCAAGCCCGTACACTGATTCCGACGACGATGAAAGCACGGCGGCGGCGGAAGAAGCCAAGAAAGAGGAACAAGACTCAAAGAGCAAGGGCTTGGATGTTGACGACAGTGCCAAGGATGCGACGCTGGAAGGTGGACTGAAGGACAGGAAGAAGAGCATCGTTGGCAATGGTGAGGCGTAGGCTGGGATGGTTCCAAACTTTTTCACGATTCACGCTCTTGGAATTGCATATTCTCCTTCCTTTGCATCTTTGGAAACGATATTTGTTTTTATTACTGAAGTCACGCCGTCTGGAGAGGGACTGATGGAGCTCTACCTGAGAACATAGCTTTCAAAAACAACCCTATATAGTATAATTATGAATGAGGAATGGATAACACATTTGTTTTACCGAATCAAGCTGCTGAAATCACCGTTTGCCTAACATGAATTGGAGTATTAGTGGTATGGATTTGTTAATCTGGAATAAGCTTCTATTGTAAGTTGTAAATGATAGCTTTTGGATAAATATAAATTTTTTTTTTTCAAGTTTCAAACTAGTACTGTTAATACTATAAACACCGCGATTCAATAACTAAATTTTGCTAACCAGGTTTAGCCATAGAACGCCAAGTGTTTTTGTGCATTTGTAAACTTCTTTTGAAGAACATTCAAGGATAACCCTGAATTTAGCAATACCAACAGCCGTGATTGTAGATTACTCCAAACGCCTGTGAAACTAATTGTATAGGGTATACTTTAAACTGGCAGCGTCTATTCCAAAATACACAACCAAAACCAAGACTCCAAGCGGATTGACCAAAATCAAGATGAAGAGAAGTAAATGACGAAGAATTCCTCACTTGTTCTACACCAAGTCACTTCCACGCTGCTCAACATGGGTCGAGTTCATCATTACAGTGGGCACATCATCCTTTGGTTCCTGCTCCCCTCTGACATCGCCGACTTGACCAACTACCGAAGGCTCGCGTTGACGGTGCTCTTCCCAAGTCTCGGTAGGAACCCACTTGGTAGACTTGCGGGCACTAGACACTTCGGTGTAGAGCTGGTCGACCTGTTCCAGACTGAGACCCTTGGTTTCGTAGATGAAGAACCAGACGTGAGCAATGCAGATGAAGCAAGCGCCAAACCAGACAAAGAAGATCTTGGACTGGAGGTTGGCGAAGCCCTCGCCATAGTTGACCAGATAGGGGGTGGAGTAGGCGATGGCCCAGTTGAGGAGCCAGTTGGTGGCGGTGGACATGCTGAGAGACTTGGCACGAGTGGTGAGCGGGAAGATTTCGCCGGTGACGACCCATGCGAGAGGACCCCAAGTGCTGGCGAAGAAGAAGATGAAGATGCAGACAAAGGCCACGGCGGCTTGCTGGCCGGCGGCATTTATGACAAAGATGTCGCCGTTTTCGCTCTGGCCGGTGGAAAGGGTGCCGCAGACGGCGACGATGAGCTGGGAGACACACATGCCGATGGCGCCGGCGAGGAGCAGAGGGCGACGGCCCCATTTGTCAATGGCCAGGAGGCCGGGGATGGTGGAGACGACGTTGATGGCGGAGGTGATCATGGCAATGGTGAAGCCGCTGGAGACGCCCGAGTTCTGGAAGTAGCGCGTGCCGTAGTAGAAGATGAAGTTGATGCCCGTCAGCTGCTGCAGGGCCTGCAGGGCCATGCCGGTGAACTGGCGCTTCAGGATCGGGGGCTTGAAGCAGTCCCAGTAGGTGGCCTTGCTGACGCCGCTCTCGTAGTCGAGGTTGGCCTTGATCTCGCCGAGCTCCGCGACGACGGCCGGGTGGGCCTTGTCCAGGCGCCGCATGCGGGAGAGCGCCGCGGAGGCCTTTTCCAGCTTGCCGGAGCGGACGAGGAAGCGCGGCGTCTCGGGCAGGAAGATCATGCCGATGAAGAGCACGAGGGACCAGGCGAACTGGACGGCGATGGGGATGCGGTAGGAGCCCGAGTCGGGGCGGTTGGCCGTGGCGTTGTTGACGACGGCGGCGAGGAGGAGGCCGATGGTGATGGCGAGCTGGTAGGCGCCGACGATGGCGCCGCGGATCCATTTGGGGGCTGTTTCTGACTGATAGAGGGGGACTAGTTGGACATGTTAGATGATGATGATGATGATGATGGGGGACATGTGGCTGCTTACTCAGGGCAGAAATCAAACCGACACCGAAACCAGCAAAGAAGCGGCCAGCGAGGAACATGGGGATGGCAGTGGCAATCGTCTGCAGGACGACGCCGAGGTTGAAGACCCAGGTGGAGACCATGAGGGCGGGACGGCGGCCGAAGAAGTCGGCCAGCAGGGGGGAGGCGAGGGCGCCGAAGAATGTACCCGCGGACAGGATGGAGACGATGGAGGATTCCTGGGAGGTGGTGATGTCGAGGTCACCGTTGGAGTTGCGGAAGCCGGTGCTGAAGAGGTCTTTCCAGTAGGGCATGGCCATGATGCCGCTGATGGTGCCGGTGTCGTATCTGTGAAGAAGAGGGTTTAGTTGAGGAGAAGATGGAATAAAGGAGGAGGGGGATTTGATTTGATCTGACGACTTACCCGTAGAGGACACCGCCAAAGGCGACGAAGAAGCCCATGGCGATGGCGGGCCAGGAGGCACCTGCTTCATCCATGGGCTTGGGGATTTTGGCACGCTGAAGGATGTTCATTGTGTTTGATGATGGTGGTGAGAGTTCTTGAAGTGTGTGTATGGGTATGTGTGCTTTGAGTAGCCGAAGCAGACTTGCGTAACTCGAGAGTGATGTGTAAGTAGAAGGGAGGGAACTGATGAGGGAGACGTCACTCTCTTTATATACTGCTGAGCTGGGGCTTGAGAAGGGCCCACGATCTGTAAGAGAGTTTTTGGTATAAAAAGGTAAAACTAGTCGACTGGTAGATGGTACTCTGGACTTTCGGTATACGAATGCCCACAACGCCAATAAACTTGGGCTAGGAAACGGGGCGGATGAGATGGAGGAGCGGGGCCGCAGCTACTTTTACTGAGATTGCGGGGGAAATTGCGCGGAGGAGGACCACTTGATCACAGATCTGAGTGCTACATGGAGGTCCTGGACACTGGAAAGGAGAAGGGTGTAACGGTGGTGGAGTCTCGGCCAGAGACACGGTGAGATCAAATCTAGAAGGGGGACCTTGAGGGCCAATGAAGACGAGTGGCGTTTGGCATTGAGTTTGGTTTCAAAAAGGGGCGTTTTTAAACCGTTTTTGGAGATTTATAGCTGAATATTTGATGTTGAACTTGTTTCGGGCAAATCTACAAGCAATGAGGCCATGAATCTTCAACGCTCATGGATTTTAGCTTTTCCAGTTCATCTATATATAGTTTGACAGGAACATAACGAGTACAGTAGAACGAAATTTATAAGTCGGAAGCAACGAGAGAGCATGGCTTGAATGTACAGTGGTGGCAACGAAGGAGGCTGCCTCAATGCCGAGCGCGGATATACAAGATGACCTGCTATCAGCCACTTGAATTAGACCCCAATTAGTTATTTCTTCTACTTGCCATAAATCAATAGCGTCTAGAAGCGTTACATTTGCTTTCTGCACCAGTGGTCATCAAAATAGAGGTTATTGGTAGTTGAATGTGCTCTGCGTGCGTCCATGTCTGCGGTTGAGTAAGCCATTTCCGAGCTCGGAATTCAAAGACTCCGCAAGCGACAGGGTCGTTTTGAATGGCGGCGCATGGCTTACCAGCATCTTGCTTGCGTTGGATGTGTTTTTCAAATGAGATGCTTTGTATTGCTGAAGAAGAAACTATTTTTTGGTTTTCAAAGTGGTCATGTTGCTGGAATTAAACGTTTGGGCTTGAGTTTGGGAGAGGATACGGATATGGGCCACTTGGCGCTTCTAGTAAAGCTTCTGCGAAGAAGACAAGGCTGCTAAAGCCACATAATAGACTTGAATTTATGCCCCGCTTGCGGTTGCAATGTTAGCGCGATAGGCTTACAATGGCGTACCGCTAGACATTTGATGGCGGAATCTATAGACCTAGATCCCGCGCTGAGACATTCTAGTGGCGTTGATACGTATAAGAGCTCGTCTGCTTTCTCGTTCTGTCAAGCAGTCGAGGGGAAGATGGCATTTATGGCATATGATCACGGTAACATGATACATAGTCGATGAATGGTATTCTCAATGATACAAGAGAATTCAGATTTCAATGTATAAATGCTCATCAAGTGCAACTTTAATTGCGCCCATTTGGTTTTGCCGAGTGGCTCGCCGCAGAGGCTTTTCCACCATATATCGCGCCAAGCTTAAAATACGTGTACAATTCTCCTTTGTATACGGAACATGTTCACTTTGACGATACGTACCTAGTAATTGCCAGCGTGGCATGATTTCCTTGAATTTTAAAGTTGCAGCCATACGTACATGTACCAGTCTGTCGAACGGCTGGAAAATACAAGCGCATTTCTCCTTTTCGCTGCTATCTTCATGCTCATGAGGCTAGTTATTCTTATAAATTGTAGTGCCGGTCCTTGATGTCAATATCAAAAATGGGTATATAATCAATTTTCTTACGCTTGATCATGAACTATCGTGATATCGGCAAAAGAATCAGCAGGCCTCGAGTCGAGAGCAGCAGTAGTAACGGTAGCAAAAAAAGAAAGCTCTTTAGAAAGCATGATCAGTTCTAGCAAATTGTTTTAGGTTTCAGTTAAAAAGCTTCTTTATTTTCTCACTAGCTATGTATCCAGTGAAAATTGCAGTCACAGTATTCGGCGACCTATCTTTGCTAACACTATTGATTTAACTGAGCACCTCGATACCAAAAAGCAAGCTGCATTCCAACACCTTGATTCTCCTCCTTATGTTGCACCTCCATTTGCTTCTGGCCTCTCGTAACGAAGAAGGGCACAACTTCTTAACGGTTTGAAAAGTTGCCAAGTTGACAACATCTTGGAAAACCTTGGCCCACTCAAAATTCGAAAACCGGCGAATAATCCTTTGATATGAGACTATTCGCGCAAATATTCATCGAAAGTGATGTGGACATTATAGGTCACCTGGTACCCGGCGGCTTTAATAACCATGTGTGCTGTGTTTTCAGGTTCTTCGATGTAAGTGGCGCCTTTCTCTGCTCCGAGTTGGCTAGCCAAGTAGCTCATTCGCAGACTAGGATTATAGAACCCTTGAATGTCTGCATCTGTTGGAGACCTCACAGTAAAGAAAAAGTGTTCACCGTTAGGACGGGAAGCTATGACCTCGCGGTAAAGGCCTTGAAGGACTCTTTGGCATCGGGATAGCTCGGCTGCGAGTACATCATCCGTCCTCATGCGTCGAGACATTTTATGTTTATGCGGCGTGAGTTATGATGCTCTATCGCCTTTTGGAATATTAAATTGGGCGTTGAATTGGGTCAAATATTATGATCTGGCCGTTTTTTGAGGTGCAGCAAGTATCAAGGCGAAATGTTATGTAGAAAAGTCGGGTGGTTGATTATCGAATCCAGGCTGTTGGTACGAAAGCCAAAAATGCAGCTTGGGGAGCGAATGATCAAGCTCTTATACCTCTGAGGTAATTATCCAAAGACCGTTCTTCAAAGCAGGTTACTATTTTTACTGTCATTCACGGCGTTTGTGTTGATGATGCGCTGTCTTTTTCCGTTCAAATAGCAAGAGCGCGCTATAGATTGAGGTGAATCTGAGCTGTTCAACGATCTTGGGCAGTACTCTGCTTAAAAACACGACGGCATTTCACATATTGAATACCCATACAAAACATGTTCAGAAAGGACACCACCTCTGAACACTTGTGTATACAATCTTTGGACAGCTTCTATGGAGTAGCGAATGCCAAAATTGAACACCCACTGACGACCGGGGGGAGCCTGGAACCTGCCATGGGTATAATAGAGCAATCAAGATAAGTATCAAAGAGTATAGCATGGAAAGAAATGTTTGGACAGAGGATCATACGCTATGAAACCTCTGGCCTATTTTTTGGCCTAGGAGAATTGTAGCCGCGAGATGAATCACTGCGCCCACTTCGATTGGGCTGTAGCCACCCGCGCCACTCCATTCCTTTGAAGCGGCATGACAATGAATGAGTCTAGAACATGGACAGAACAGAGCAGTAAACTTAATATTAGAACTAGAGTGCTAGACCAACAGAGCGTAGCACTGCTGATACGAAGAATCCGAACTCTCCGGCGAATGTTGCGATCGCCAAGTCAAACGTAGGCGCAAACACCAGCCGGCTGATATATACACTAGAGATGCGCCACAACAGCCGTTGGCGACCGACATGTATGATGCTGTATAACAATCTCGAAGATATTTACTTGTATTTCTCTCCCTTTAAGTGTATTTTGAAGCAATTGGACATTACTTGATGTACTCTTTGGCGTAGCAGCGGCATCGCACTTTTTATTAGCCCCTTCCGCCATATCGCCCCGGTTTGCACGGGCTGTTATCACAGACATTAACAACCTGTGAATGGCAATTCTTGGATAATTTTGTCTAGTTATTCTTCCTTCGACTACAAAAGTCCCATTCCAAAACTGTGACAAGGGTGGCGTACGTCTGGCCGAATAATCAGTGGTTTAGATATGACCCGGGTAAAGTCGTCTCCGTATATGAGGCTGCGATAATTGTTACATCATCGCAAAATCACAATTCAGTGTCATATTTCTGACCTCGCTTTCATTCAGATCAATAAATACGATGCGCATGCTGCTATTTTCGACAATAAAATTGTCCCGTCAGTCTGTCCGATTATGGGCACGCTGCATCAGCCGCAGTGACGGGGATACTCTTGGCAATGTTCCAGTGTTGGCGGAACAAAGCAAGCCAAATAAATATTTAGTAGTGCGGATATTTTAAGTCACTAAGAAGAACATTTCAAAATGGCTATGTAATAATATCTTTGGCTCTGTACTATTTGAGATGCTCGGCTCTAAACGCGGCTCCGAACACGGCTCTGGGGTTAGAAATTGTTCTCTGGCAGACAGCCGAGTTTCAAGTAAAGGCCTTTTACTAAGGGTGGTTGTATCCAAGAATAAATAAGAATAAATAGGTTCTAGATACTTGTTTGCTGTCAAATTATAGCTATCTTATCTTTAGCCTCTTCGTATTTCCTGTTCTATACAAAGAAGACAGTGTCTTGATAGAGTCAAGACTATGGTAGAAATAATGTTAAGAAAGGTTAGCTTCTTCTCAAATAATATATGCATGATAAGAAAACTAACAGATCATCGACTGCAAGGAAAAAATAGCCCTTCGTGAAAAGTCATGTTTGGCTATATAGCATGTAGCTACGCGTACCTACCTGTAGGTACAGTGCTTGAACACCGTATTATACAGTATGAATACTGTAGATTGGTCGGTGAGCTACATCCAGTCAGCTGTGAGACTACATGTACGCTCATAACTGCTGGGTCTACAGTGGCGGATATTCTTGTAGCGTTCCGCGAAGATCAGAAAACATGGCCTGCTTCGTCGTTCTACTTGCGATACTATTGAGCGGCATATCCGGGCTGACAGAAGCTACCAAACCATCAGCCAACCGTGGCCAGCCGATAATAATAGATACAGATCTTTTCAGCGACGTTGACGATGTGGGCGCCTTGACAATTGCAAACGTCTTGCACAATTGCGGATTGGCGGACCTGAGAGGCGTTGTAATTAACTCGCCATCTCATTATGGAGCTTTGGGAGCAAGTGTACGTATACGTTAAACCGCTCATGTCTGCTCGCTATTGACGAAGAATAGGCCCTTTGCACATATTTCAACAACGAGGATATCCCAATCGCCGCCTTTCGGCCACTTACAAATGATACATTCTTTGACAGCTACTTTTATTTGTTAGTCTCATCCATATGCTCATTGATCCTGTGTGTTGCTTCTAACTAATTGTTATGCTAGATACGGCGAGTACGTTAGCAAGCTAGCATACAACTGGCCCAGAAAAGTCCAGGAATCGTCTTTGACCCCTACACCAGTAGAGTTATATCGCACTATCTTGAGTTCTGCCGAAAACGAGAGCATTCACATCATCTCCATTGGTGGACTTGGCAATCTTGCCGATCTTCTAAAGTCTGAAGCAGACCATATAAGTCATCTATCGGGCTCCCAACTCATCTCGGCCAAAGTTGGCGAACTGGCAGTAATGGGAGGACAGTATCCATCGGGCTGGGAATATAACTTTGGCGGTATAAATCCGAAAAGCACCGCAGACGTCGTTAATCATTGGCCAAAGAATGTCAAAATCACCTACTCGGGCAATGAGCTGGGTGGCAATGTTTTCTCTGGGCAGAACTTTGCACAGCGACTTTCTCCTGATTCTCCAGTTCTCAGCGCCTATCAATGGTATGTTGGTCGAGGTTCCACCATTCGCCAATCATGGGATCCCATCACGACGCTGTATGGTATCTTGGGGCTGGAGTGGGCCTCAAAGCTGAGAATCCGCCCAATGCTTGCTTATGGAAATGAGATTGGCTACAACAGCATTACTGCAGCCAATGGATCGAATGCGTGGGTCAACGATACGGGCGTAACTAATCAGCATTGGCTGCGCCTAGCAGACGGGGTAACAAATAGCAGTATGGCGAGACTGCTTGATGAAATTATGACTCGTGGTCCTTCCGCTGGATGCTGTTTTCAACATGGAATATCTGGGGATTTGTGAGCTTGGCTTTTTCTGAGAGCTCCTGATGGTTATTATCCAATAATATGGAAGGTGTACGAGGCAGGGTATCCTAAATTATCACGAATCATGATAGAGACGAATATGTATGATAGCGATACTACGACGATGAAGAGAGCTATTTCTTTTGATGGAAATTTAAATAAATAATCGTGAATATTCACGGTTGTGAGTAAAGCTTTCGACAATGGTTTTAATTGCAAATGATAGGCGCGTAACAAAAAAAGTACAGTCAAGCCTGCGGTAAATGATACAATAGCTAAAGGAAATAATTAAGTCATTATTCGTTAAGTAGACTTTTAGACACTATTGATAAACTACTTTCTTGGAGCGCGGCCGTTGTAATCAACGCCGGCCTTGGCCGTATAATTGGCGAAGCAATCATAGTCAAAGTCAATCTCATCAATTCGCTTCTGCAAGACCGATACAACGTGGTCGAAAGAGCAAAGGCCATCGGAATTCTCTGGGCATCCGTGATAAGACTCTGCAATGGGAACGACTGCATCATTGCTATTCACAACATAGTTAGCACATGAGACGAGACCCATGGATGATTTCGTATACTTACACCAAGAATCGAATCTGCCGAGTAGGCTTATAGGCAGGGCATTCCAAAATCTGGGTGGTGAAATGGGTTGCAAAGGGCACGATTTTGCTAGCCACAAAGGAGTTTCGCTTTTGGTTTCCAGAAAGACTCAGCGCTGGGCCTTTGAACAAGGCTGTCAGGTTGAACGCCGTCAGAGTATCGAGAACGACGACCTCGTGAGTCGCATCGGCATAGATTGACTGGTTCAGCGGGAAATAAGTCGTGTTGTTGTCGTAAGTGAGATTAAGGGCCGAGCTGGCAGTGGGAAACGAATGCGTGAAGCGGGCTACAAATTCCTGGAGATAGCCTTTGCCCTGTGCGGCGGCAACTGGAGATCCTGGGCCGTTGTTGTAGTAAAATGACTGTCAATATCAGCATGTATAATTACAAAGACGTTTGGCGAGAGGTAATAAATGACTTACCAGATCGTAGTAGTATTCGTAGTTGAGAAAATCTTCCTCGGTGAAAAGGTTGCAGAAAGCCGAGTAGCCGAGAGCATGGGTTTCATAAGAGCATAGTTGAAGCATGGCGACAACATCAGTGGCGGTCAGATTCAAGCCGAAGATCTAAGACATATCAACAAAAGCATCATATAGTCGTCTCTCATCATCACCATTTGAAGCTTACCTGTGACTGCAGTCGAGCAATCGTGCTGTTAAACGCATTTTCAGCGAATTTTGTTGCGACTGTAGATCCAATGCTTCCGCGGCTAGCAACATTCGAGTTGGTGCAGACTTCATACGGGGCGCCTGAATTATTCACGCTGGGGTTCTCAACCAGGATCTCGATGTTGACTTGGTCCAAGTATTCGGGCACGCCAAAGAAACCAGCAGCAAAATTCTCGGCCGTCTTGACCATGCGGTCTTGAGATTCGGTGCGGAAGACCGGGATCGTGCCGCTGGCAGTGAAATTGTTTAAAAGATTGCCGTATAGCTGACGATAGGCCACTCCCAGATTGAAGTTTTGGCTGCGGCCAAAAGGTGTCAGCAGCTCAGCACCGAGCTTGTAAGTCCAGTCAGCCAGGAAAGCCAATTCTCCAGCGACTTTGAACCCGCCCGCCTGAGTCGCATTTTGGACTTTTTGAGCAAAGGTAGCCGGAGCGGCGCCGCTGGTAGGATAACGAGCACCGTGGCGGTAAAGAAGATGCAACTGGACAATGTTGCAGCCATCCGGAATTAAAGGGCTCGCGTCGGGCAGGTCATAGTCTGCTGAAGACACAGAATACCAAGGAGAGAGATTTCCCCAGTACTTAGTAATGTCAAAGCCCTTGCCGAATTTGCTGGCTCCCCAGGGCTGCGGCGCAACCAGCGGGAAGCTGTCCGAAGGTCCATTGTTGTAAGGATAGATTGGGGCGGTTTGAATTGCAGCCGGTTCTACTCCCGTTGGTGTTGGGCCCGGGTATCCTACCTTGGACTCGGGCGGGAATAATTTAGAGTTGAAATTTGCTGAAAGTGGCAGCGCTATCAGCACCTTGTTCCGGACATGACATGACATGTTCTTTTCTTCTTCTAGACCTAATGGACTGAACTTTAGAGAAACTTACTGCTAGCGGGAGGGTAAGCATTTGATGTAGCAGCGCCAGCAACGCTCAACGCCTCGATGGTTGTATTCAAGCTTCTGGCTGAGCATATATCTGCTAGCAATGCTAGCATAAAGGTTGATGAGACCGTGTCGGACCGCATCTTGTATCAATGATTCCTCCGATTCACCAGTTGGAAATTCTACAATTGATTGAACTCGATTCCAAGATTTCCGATAAAAACTGCTCGAGATTCTGACCATTATATAGTCAAGGGCGCATCCAGGATGTGTTACCGCTGTTGGTATATGAGACTGCCTCTGTCCACGGTCGACAGATACATCTACACTGTGAGCCAATCAAGCGGTAGACTAACGGCACGTTGCCCATGACCTATAAAGATGCGGTATAGCTTGAAGGATGGATTCGCCAAATCGAGAACAAGCAAATCTGTCAATGTATGGTATGACGAAAATCCTGTGGGGTCCGATTGTTGGGCGATTATTGCTGCCACTGCCACTAGTATACAGTACGAAGGGAATTTATCTTCGATGAATGGCCATTATCATCTTTTGACTCAGTTTGCACTTTCTCTACAACCAGACCCTGTTCTTCTTCGTTGGAATTAGAAAAGACTTCTGCTCAGTGAGAACCAGCTTGCATGGCTTGCCTAAATGTAGAGAGTAAGCCACGCAGCATAATCGCTCTTCACCGATTCCTTGCCGTGTTCCGAACTGACGGCTTGCACAGCCCACGAATTTCTCCATCGGGCAACTTTTAATGACGCATACAGCAGTAACTGGCGCCTGGCAGGTACAAAAACGTGCTCTGAATGAAAATACTGATAAAAATACCCTCGGTTAAAAAACGGTTACCATCGTCAGCCGTGAGCCAGAACGTGGTCACGGCGGAGTGGAGTCCAGAAGCTGTCACTTTCAGTAGTGCAGGTTTGAAGCTCATATTCGCTCAACTAGAATCCTGCAATTGCGTATATCCTCATCATGCCAGAATACAATTATGGCATGGAAAACGCAACAAAGAACGCCATCGATTACTTGAAGAACGGATGGAACGGTGTCGAGGACCGGGCAACCATTCAGGTATTGCAGTAACAACGTAGCCAGCATTTTTAAGCTACGAAAGGGGTCAGTACAGAAAATGTGATTATAGACTCATGTATACTTTTTAGTAGGGATATTCGGTAGAGGAATGGTGTATCACACTGTAGCTCACATCTTCCAGCATTTCGAGCATGAGGCCACAGCTCATGCGTATCAGCCGCTTCCCTTTAGGCAGAACATTCTGCTGCTGATGCCTCTAGCTTTGTCTGCTGTATTATTGACCCCTTCAGTGCCTCTGGAACATGATTTTGAGACTATACGAATGGCGGTCAGCGACAGCGGCGAGATGACGAACAATATGATGAAATCCCCTTCGTTCATTTTGTCCAACGCATCAACCACGCGATAAACCTTGGGCGTGACTTCGAGACCTTGGACAAGGATATCCCACAGAGCCTCTGCTCCTGTGCCATCGACGCCGCGCAGCTTGACGAGTTCCTTGACCTTGGATATAAGGAGCGTGCCGTAGGGCAGAAGCCGGGCTGCAAACCTTGAAGTCACAAACGAGATGCTTGCAGGTGTGGGTTTTAACCACGGTTTGGTGGAAGGAAAAGAACAGTATGGGCGTGCCTGGAGCCGGCGAATAGTGTTGGCAGCAACAACAGATTTGCCGCTGTAGTCGACACGCCTAACAAGCGGGCAGCTGGTGTCCGTCAATTGGGCCTATTCCTTGAAGCTATGGGACTGGTATATCCATGATTCCGTTGCTGGGACGTGTGCTTGCAGGTGCTTTACTTACTCGCTGCCGGACGAGAGGTCCTCAGTCGATTGGAGCCATTACCGCAGCAACGCGACACGATTCTTGAGTGATATCCCAGCACAAGTTTCTACTAACGTCATGACCTCGAAACTCTCGTCACGGTTGGCATGCTGGTGTTCATACACGACTTGGTTGGCGTATCTGTGAGCAGAGACAAATGATGATGCCTCGTTGGGCGGACAAGTTCTTTCTTTGCCCTCATAATATGGGGCATGGGCCGATAGATGAATATAAGGGAAGAGTAGGGCAAAAGTAGAGTCATCCAGCGAGTGTTGATAGAGCACATGCATGCATGTAGGTCGTAGAGTTCGAGGCTCTGTGCCGCCTGATTAGAAGAGCAAGATTTAAGATCAATTCCAATTCTGATAAAAAATAATTAAAAGTATAAGTGTAAGTTTACTAATGAGCAAAGTTGAGAGACAATTTGCCAAAACTAGTTTGTTGGGATAGCATTATACCAGCCAAACAAATTCTTTGGGTCCCACTGCTTCTTCAAGCTCATAAGCTTCGTAAGCTTGCGAGTGGAATACCAAGCAACAGGCCCTTCATCGCCATGCGCATAGTTAACATATGTAGACAGGCTATCGTAGCCACTTGTCGCAGCAAAGCTTTGCCGAGATTGTTTCATAAACGAATTAACTGGTCCGTCAAGCGTGGGATCGGTATACCAACCCTCAAAGAGACTGGCAGGTTTGCATTAGCGCGAAGTTTGCAAAGGTTCAAAGACGGGACTTGTCACTTACACCATGGTCTTGGTGTCGCGAAGAGGATATGCTGTCTGCGAGTCCGGAACAGCGGCAACTGCCTCGGATGAGTATTTCTGAATCACCACGCGGCCAGCATAAGCCGGGTAGTCGAGATAGAACTGCGTTAGGTTGGCAAAGTAGCTTTCCCAGGTAGGCACATGTGTCTGTTTCAGTGCGGCGTGGTAGATATTGACGCGATTATTGGCAGTACAAGCGTTACCTGCAACTCCGAAATAAGCCTGGCTTATTTCTTCATTCCAAGGAACCATGGAGATATTTTTGTTGGTAGGGTTCATGGCAATGAGCGGTTCCAAGTGAGGCATGGCTTCATCTACTGTGCCAAAGTAGATAACATTCACCCACAGAGTTGCCTAACAATGTATTAACGAATTAGTCTGTATTCTTGAGAGAACTCGGGAATCAGTTAGTTTACCTCACGGGTGGTGGCGTTTGCAAAGGCAAAACCACTCAATGCCATATTTGCGGGCAGAGACTCATCATAAGATTGCATGTACTCCCACACAGAGCCATTGTCGGCAGCTGTGAATGCAAAATCGGCATTGACAACTTGTCCACCGTTTGTGGCGTCATATACTTTGTAGGTTGCAGAGGTTACTATACCAAAGTTTTGGCCAGCACCACGCAGCGCCCAAAACAAATCTGGATTCTGCGTGGCGGATACCGTAATAAGATCGCCCGAAGCCGTCACCAGTTGGACCGAGAGAAGATTATCAATAAGCAGGCCCCTGAGGCCCTGTAGGCTGCCCCAGCCTCCGCCCAACGTGGTGGAAATGACACCAAGGCAGGAGACAGAGGCAATAGCTGGCATCTCATATATCAGTCTCCTTTTTAGCCTTCCGAATGCAGATGCTCAGAGTACATACGAAGTTCTTTTCCATTCTTGAAGAGCACGTCGATAATCTGTGAGAAAACGACTCCGCCACCAACTGTGAGCGTGTTCTGCGTTGTGTCTAGGCTCACGGACTGAAAGTTGGCGAGGTTTATGGCCAATCCATCTTGCAGTTTGGATAGCGTTGTGGTGACGCCTCCACCGCCACTGGTGACGGAGAATGGAATCTGATGCTGCCCGGCAATTTTGACCTGGATACTGTTTAGTCAATAGTTTCGCCACCAGACATTGGAAACTCTTGGACTCACGATATTTTGGACGTCTTGGTTAGTGGCAGGCTTGATAACAGTGCTAAAGGTAGGCTGCGTAAAAATATCCCATCGAGGAGTCAGCGTTTCGTTGAAGCTGCGATCTGTGCAAATAGATATTTCAGCACCATAGGACAACGAAGATCCAAATAAGGATGCAACATTGTCAACCGAGCACCCTACAGAGGCAGAGATGAGAAAGGACGTCCATAACAGCAAGTGACGCGCCATTGTGGCAAGATTGCTAACGACTGGACCAGGCTAGATAAGATATCTACTCTGGATGCTGGACTTGATGGACATTGTAGAGGAAGATATCTGGGTATTTATATAGATCTATTAGTATAGGATCCTGAGGAAGACGGAGCAAAAATGTGGGCTTGATGGCAGAAGTTTTCTCTCTATCGTAGGAATTCTAGCCACAGGGGTAGAACATGGAGGCTTACGATAGTTTACAGAAGTACGACGGGTAGGGGGTTGCCAGATTATTGGAATTAACTGGGATCCCGACCCAGGGGCTTATATTGGCTATTCATATCAAGGTTAGCTTTGGTAAGATTTTAAGATGGCCAAGCACTCAATGGGTATACGTAGTGCTATATATATCTCAATATATTGTCTAGTGAGATGCATGGGCAGTCATATATCCATGTTCCTTGAGCACTAAGCACAGAGCAGTTGTGCAGAGCTTGAGCTCTTAAGCTCTCACTCGTGCATCGTAATCATCAGCCGCCCGACGGACCATGTCCTTCCAATCAAAGAACCAGACCTTGTGGGATCGTTCTCGAACCTGCTCTTTGAACTTGTCAAAGTCGTCGCCCACATCCGGGACAGAACCCTGAAATAATTCAGCCATGTAGCGACTGCTTTCGACTAGCCACTGTCCTCGCTCACGGCAAATGCTGTCATATGTCTTGAAGGCTGCAGACAAGGCCGCAGATTTCGAAATTGAGTTGTCCCCAGAAATTAAGTCGTTGCCAGCCTTCTTAAGAACGGTGGCTAGGACCAATGCATCTTCCACGCCCACGCACGCCCCAGCACCGTGATGCGGAGAGGTGGCATGAGCCGCATCTCCAGCGAGACAGACGCGGTCATATGAGAAAGATGGGAGTGGGTGATCAAGGGTGTCAAAGATTGCCCATCGATCAAGCTGGTCAGGGAGAAGGTCAATCATTGCGCGGACGGCTGGTCCAAACTTGGAAAACGCCTCCACGACGTCTGCCTTTGAAGCAGGAGCAGTGAGATTCTCATTGTCTGGCCAATCATTCTTGTCCTGGATAAAAGCCACAAAGTTCATGAACTTGCCACGACCGACGGGGTAGGTGTTGATGTGTGCTCTCGGTCCGAGGTACATCAATTGTCCACTTGGAAGATGGCCAAGGGCAGCAAGTGCCTCGTCCATCTCGATCAGGGCGCGATACGCGCTCTGATGTGAGTAATGTGGATAGGAAGCCGGATTATCCTCCCCCAAGACAATCTGACGAACGCGAGATTTGACGCCGTCACAGCCAATAACTGCCCACGGCAGAGAATAATACCATGTTAGCATGTGTGCACTGATTTTTGGGATCCGGGCTTAGGGCACTTACCAGCATCGGCCAACGCTTCTGTGCCATCGGAGAACTTCAGCACCAGCTTCTCGTCTTTACTATTTTGCTCAATCGAGGCTATACGTTTCCCAAGCTTTATCAAGTCTGGTGGAACAAGACTAACAAGCTCGTTGAGAAATTGGCCGCGGTGACAGCCGGGAAAGCCATCTTTTTTGCCTGTAGAGAGCTCAAAATCGAAAGCTGTGCCCTTTTCTCGCAGTCTAATGTCTTCTTGGGCGAAGCCATTGATCCACCGCAGGCTTCCAGTGGTTGCGATACCGACCTTGCCCAGGGCACCGGCAACGCTGGGATTCAAAGCTTGCATACATTGGGTTGCTGTCTCTGTAAATCCGAGACCAGCGCCTATTTCTTTCAATTCAGATGCTCTCTCGTAGATGACGACTGGGATGTTGCGTTTAATTAAGCCTAGGGCTACGTGTAGACCAATGATACCACCGCCAATGACTGCAATATTAAACGGCACTGAGCCGTCTTGGCCTGCGTTGCCCGTTTCTGCCATGTCTTCAACAAATATCCCTTGAGAGAATCTGCGTATGAAGGTTGCGTAGCACTAAGGAGTGGGGGCGAGGAATAGTAAGGGAGAGAGGGCAGGCCAGCAATTAGGAATCTGAGTTGGCCGGGCACAAGCCAAGCTACAACGCGCTTTACTTTGAGTAACACCTTTATAGATCGCCGCTTCGGTCAATCAAGGTAAAATGAGTTATGGGTACTGCGTATGGCTATTTAGGGGAGGCGCATAGATGATGTCTCTGCCCGTGTAAGCAGCTAGTTCTGTAACAACTCCTCCAACAGCGACTGGTCTAACTCATTGCGCTATTAGCTAAGTTGTTATACTATAATAAAATAAAATTGTAAAAAACATACGATGAATTAATTTTATCTTAATATTATTAAATACTTTCTTTGTGAGTAATGGTTTATATCAACTATGGATTATCCATGCTGCTTACTCTATGGCCCGACTAGTGTAACCTCCATGGATTAGATCGTGATAACATACCCTTCTAGCTTATACTAAGATCTTTTAGTCAGGTCCTCGGCAAAACGTTTTCTCCATTTCAAACCGTTGAGGTTTTGTTCCATCGCAACGGGTCTGCGGTGAATTAACACCAGACATGATTTCGATTCCTATCTGCGGGGTATACGACATATAAGCACTAAGATTTTGGGATCAGGAGATGCAGCTTTTCAGAGAGCCCTGTACACGGCTCCAGTTCATAAACATACCCCCTCCCCTAGACGTAGATGCGCTGACTATCATTCTAGCGCCACAGGGTATCTCGCTCCACCCAGTTTTAAGAAGAATCGGTAACAACCACTAGCTCAAGTCTCGAATCAAAGGAGGATTCGTATATACTTCGTATGTAAGATTCATTGACATGCAACAATGCTTGCTACATATAACCTAGATAGTCTTTGTTACACAGGGATTATAAAGTCGGCTTCCAGGGAGTATTTGATTTGGTATTAATAATGATAATGTCAGACGCAAAGTAGATCCACTGGTTCTATTAATGCGAATAACAGGATATTGCTCCAGCCCGGATAGATTCATGTAGTCAGAGAAAACTACAAGCAATATACCGGAGCCTGAAACTCATTGAGCTTATGGGGGTGACGATAAACGATTGAATACACAGTAAAATGCCTCAATATTCCTTCAGAATACCAACATCTCGTCATCGTTCGGATTTAGGCAATGTAGAGGAGCCTGGTTATCACCATCGCCCCATGAAACCTTTGTACAGGAAAGGCCGTAAAACCTTCTAGAAATTCCAAGTGCCTTATTTCCACTAACATTGCTTTTGCTATACAGCTACAATTCTTTGCGAAGTTCAGCCTACATCATTTTCATTCATGTTAGACAGAATGGATGAAACAGAGCGTTACCGAGATGTTCTCGGCCAGCTGCCTTTCTTGAAAAGCTATACACACCTTTTACTATGCTTCCCAATTACAGATGATAAAGATCGGGAGCTCATAGTATCTTCTCTGGAAGATAGTATACTCAAACTGAAGTCAAGCCTACCATGGCTCGGCTACCGAGTTATGAACGACGGTAAAAGTAGCAGATTAGCCGTCTGTCCAAAATTCGCACCACCCAATTCCTCATTGCAAGTTCGAGACCGCTCCAATGAGTGCCCATCATTTTCAGAAATTATCAAGGCAAAAGGTCCATTTTCGATGCTGGACGGGTCCCTCGTAGCGCCCGTGGTTGCTTTCCCGCAGTCATACGAGGAGTCGGACTTGAAGCCTGCACCAGTCATCTCATTCCAAGCCAACTTTGTTAAAGGTGGCCTGTTGCTTGACTTTGCTGCCCAACACAATACAATGGATCTGAGTGGCATGTGCCAATGCCTTCACTTGTTGGCAGAAGCCATGCGAGGTGACGAGTTCTCGGCTTTGGAACTGGAACAGGGGAATCGAGACAGGCGGCATGTCGTTCCCCTGCTCCGTCCAGAGGAGCCGCTACTGGATCACAGCCACATGATCCGCCTACCAAACCCTTCACTATCTTCAGGAGTACCGCCTGGTCCAAGTCAACACGGGATCATAAATCAGCCCGTCTGGAATTGGCATACATTCCGATTCTCCGCAACTAGTCTACGAGCACTCAAGGAGCTGGCATCTCAATATACTGCATCATCAGATCCAAATAGAGACCAGACTATGGCATTCGTCTCTACCAATGACGCTCTCTGCGCATTCTGGTGGCAGCGCCTTTCTTTCACACGACTGGCCCGCAGCGACGGCACAGGCCCTTTTAAACTAGATCAGCTGAGCAAATTTAGTCGCGCAATAGACGGCCGTACCGCTCTAGATATCCCGCCAGAGTACATCGGTCAAATGGTCCACACATGTCCCACGAAGCTCCCTATCGGCGAAGTCGCTACCAGGCCTTTGGGCTACGTGGCTGCAGAGTTACGCCGTAATTTGAAGACGTATAATACGCCGCAGATGGTTCGAAGCTTCGCAACACTGATAGCTCGTGCAGAAGACAGGAGCACCATCACATTTATGGCAACATTTGACCCAACTATTGATGTAGGTTGCTCGTCATGGGCGCATGCAGACGTGTACTCTAAAGAATTCGGAAAGGTTTTGGGGAAGCCGGCACTAGTGAGGAGGCCAAGGTTTGATCCATTGAAGGTGTTGTGTATTTCCTCCCGAAAAACTTGGATGGAGATATTGATGTAATAACTTGTTTAACTCAAGAAGACCTTGAAGGATTAGTATCGGATGTGGAGTTCAAGAAGCATACAGAGCGTATTGTGTAACTAGGGCTTACATCTTGATAAAATTCTGGTAGTAAAGTTCAGCAGAATTCAACTGGTTAAATATGTGTGCCATTGCAAAAGTCTTCCTATCGACATATAGATATACCGATGCTTGTGAATGTTGTAATGTATTAAGATATTGACTAAGTATAAACTAAGAAAAGAAAGTTATTGGAACGCCTCAGGCCTCAACTGACTAAACTTGTTATTAGCTACAACCGCCATGTCACTCCAGTAACTATTGTAATTACTGCCAATAAAGGCTCAATTCTTAAGAAATGGGGTTATAAGAGTTGAAGCGACCATTAGGATCCCATTTCTTCTTGAGCTGCTGAAGTCGAGGCAGGTTATCTCCGTACCAGACTGCGGGACCTTCATCACCATGCGCGTAGTTGACATAGATGGACAACTCAGAGGTACCTGCGGTTGCCTGAAACTCATTACGGGCATTCTTCATGAATGTTGAGAGGGTGTCAGCATCGGTAGGGTTGGTGACCGAGGTGATGAACAGCCTAGTAATTTGTTAGAGTCCAACCATGAACTGTGGCATTTTAGGTTTGAGAATATACGTACTGGTGCGCTCCCAGCTCACGGTGGGCGTAAGCAGTCGCGGTTTCCGGAACTGTGAGAGATTGTTTGGTTGAATATCTCTGGGTAACCCAGATAGGAGAAATTGTCGGATGCTGGGTATAAAACTCAGCCAACTCGTCGAAGAAGCTCCCGTATGTAGCAGCATTAATATTCTTGAGACCCATGCCATAGAAATCGGTCTCGCTATTCTTGTTGCACGTGCCGAAATCGGTTCCAAAGTCTTGTACGTTGGGTAGTTCATTCCATGGTACAACAGAGATGTTCTGTTTCGTGCTGGGTAAGTCGAGGAATGGTTGAATAAGCGCTATGCCATCGGCCTCGGCACCGAAGTAAACGGCATTGAACGTGATGCCCGGCTTGGATTTAAAGTCAGTATCAAGGGCCGCCGCGTTCTGAACTGGAAACTTACGCCTGGGGTAACAGTGATTTGTAAAGCAAGCTCAGCGGGGAGGTTGTCATTGAAAGCTTCTACTGCCTCAAAGAATGACCTATTGGCGCTCGCTGGGAAAGCGAAATCGGCATTGAGGTATTGACCGTTATTACGGAGGCTAGGGGCCTTGAATGTAGCAGAAGTGATGATGCCAAAGTTGTGGCCAGCACCGCGAACTGCCCAAAAAAGGTCGCAGTTCTCAATCTCGGAAGCAGTCAGAAGCTTTCCGTCAGCAGTAACGATGTTGACTGATTGCAAGAGGTCGACGACCATTCCATGAACGCCCATGAGACGCGTGACGCCACCGCCCAGGGTGGCTCCTAAAACCCCGACACAAGGACCACCGCCCGTAGCTGGTCAGTGAAAAATCCGTTAGCAATCATTTCGAGAGTGTATAGGGGAAGGCCCTCGATTTTGTTACAAAGAGACAAAAGATTACTTACGGAATTCTTTTCCGGCAGCAAAAAGAGGGTCGTAGACCTGTTGGAACTGGGCAGATCCTCCGATGGTAACGAGACTGTTCTTTTCATCTATGGTGACTGTGTTGAAGTTTCCGAGATCAATATCAATCCCGTTCTTGAAAGTCTCCAAAGTCACAGAGGCACCATGACCGGCTCCAGTTGCCATGAACGGGATGCCATTGGACACGGAGATTTGGACCTAAGAAGCCAGTTTGGTAAGAATTGTGCAAGCTGGGGAGATGCTAGGTCTCCAGGACATACAATTTTTGCAACATCCTGCTCTGTGGCAGGCTTGATAGCGCCAAGATAAGTTGGCGGTGCAAAGACAGTCCACCGTTGTTCGACACTAGTGTTCCAAGCAGCATCCGACGGCAGAATAATCTCAGTACTTTTGGATAAATACGGAGCATAAAGAGCCGTCAGGTTCGCGGCAGCAAAGGCAGCGTCCCGGATATACATGGTGGGCTACCGTCTCCCGATTACAGAAACAAAAATATTGCAATAGGGGAAGCAAAACGAGAAGCGGATCAAACCAGAAGGGGCCGGTAGACGTTGTAGCACTGTCAATTGAAGGATTGTAACATCATTGGGCTTTATATAACCAAGATTACAACTACTAGCTGAGTCTGATGAGCTGACTTTGATGGGCTGACTTTCATAAGCTGGTTATTGCAGTTAGTTGTATCTAGGGGATTAATTATAATTTAATTATTTATTACCACTTTAGTAGCTTATTATTATTTTTCTTCAATGCAAATGAATGAATATTTCCGTGAATCATACTTTATAGTAATCAAGTATCCTACATATGCGATATAACACTAGCCGTTTTCAAGTCCCTGTGTCAGAACAAGCATTTCCCGGAATTCCAAACGCAGCTGACTGCAGGAGACAAGCAACCTAGTATCCCCGAGTCTGATGCCGCGTATTACATCCATGAATACTAACATGATTGTGCCTGACGGATCTGCAGCTGGACCCACAGTCCCGGGAACACGGCAGCTTTTCTACCACATTTTGTCCCTTCGATACATGTATCCGCGGCCAAATTTGATAGGTATGATACGAAGTCCACAAAGAGGCCAACCACACACCCTCCAACAAGAGTAATGTCCCTGCAAGGCCGTAATGTAACCTGATTCGTAATCGCATTTCCTCCTGGCATAGTCTTACCTAATGGCCTGAAACTTGTTCGTACTCTGGCTGTCCTCTTTCCCTTCTTTACTACTAGCCGCATTTCTCCTATCTACCTTGTCACTTTGACTGACCCAGCAAGAATAAGCAATATATTTCCAGATTAAATCACTCCAACTAAGTACACAGTACGGAGTGATAAACAAGCGAGGCAAAATAGCCTCAGCGACCACGGTCAAGTGGCGTCTCAGGTTTGAAGCCAACATACACAACCATTCTGCGACCTTGCCCAAAGGTTGATGCCTATGGCTTCTTCCAGCGACGACAGAAAAGGGAGCAGCACCAATGCGTCAGTAATGGTGCATATGGCTACTCCTAGTGACGACAAAGAAGGAGGCAGCATCAAGGCATCCGTCCGCCCTTCTTGGCTGAAAATTGTCTTCTCTGACTCAATTCTAACCAAGGAGGTTGTTGAACACCACTACAATGGCTCCGGCACCGACGATGACCCATACATTGTGCGCTGGCTGGAGAATGATGTGCTCGACCCGAAGAACTACTCACTTGTTGTCAAGTGGTCGTTGACACAGATTCTAGCCTTTTCCTTCCTTTGTGTTTCCTTTCTCTCTAGTGCCTACACAGGGGGAATCGCCGAAATAGAGGCTGAATATGGCGGGAGCTCTGCACTCAACAGCTTGGGCGTTGGATTCTTCGTACTTGGGTTTGCTGTTGGGCCCTTTCTCTGGGCACCTTTATCCGGTACGTAAACGCAGCCTTTAAACAAGAACAAAACTTGAAGACATCACCGCCTCCCTCCCTCCCTCCATGTAGTTCTACACGGCCGTTGCTTTGCTGACATCCTTTGCTCAATAGAACACTATGGGCGCAGAAATGTCTTTGTGGCTACATACTTCATGGCTACGGCCTTCAATGTTGGCGTAGCTGCGTCGCAGAACCTCACAACCATCTTGGTATTGCGCTTCTTTGCTGGCCTGTTTGGATCATCTCCAATCACCAATTCTGGGGGTGCCGTCACCGACATGTTTGAAGCCGAAGAACGTGGCCTGGCTCTGACTGTTTTCTCTGTTGCCCCCTTCCTCGGGCCTGTTCTCGGGCCCATCATTGGCGGTTTTGTCGGGGCTGGAGCTGGCTGGCGGTGGTTGATGGGGTTATTGGCCATTATGACAGGATGTACTTGGATCGCTGGAACCCTTTTTGTCCCGGTAAGTCAGCTTCAAGATGGACAACATCTATACTACCTCCGGTGGCTATTACATGTGCTAACTATTCTTTCAAGGAGACATATTCACCTGTACTTCTACGGCGCCGAGCATCGAAGCTTTCCAAGTTCACCGGGAAAGTTTACATGTCCCCCTTCGATTCCAAGTCTGCGCAGAAGAGACTTTTACCTCATTTGTGGAGCGTCTTCAGCAAGCCATGGGCTTTACTTACAGAGCCAATCGTCCTGCTCCTGTCTGTCTACTTGGCCATTGTTTTTGGAACATTGTACCTCCTTTTCGCTGCGTATCCCATCGTCTATGCTCAGGATCGCCGTTGGCCCCAAGGGATCTCTGGCCTCCCGTTCATTGGCATCCTTATCGGAAATCTATCCGCCCTGGCCTTCTCCTTCGTGCTTAATAAACGATACGTGGTCTTCGCAAAAAAGCATCAAAGTAATGGGACGATGACGCCACCAGAGGCTCGCTTGCCGCCATGCCTGATAGGTTGCATTTTCATCCCCATCGGATTGTTTTGGTTCGCCTGGACCAACTCTCCATCTGTCCACTGGATAGCCAGCATTGCTGCGGGAGCTCCTTTTGGATTCGGCCTGGTTTGTGTGTTCATGGGGATCACGAATTATCTGGTCGATGCTTATACTATCTACGCGGCTTCTGTCTTGGCGGGAGGCGCTGTGCTACGCGGCATCTTTGCAGTCGTTTTCCCTTTATTCACCACTAAGATGTATGCGAACTTGGGCATTCACTGGGCTTCCTCGGTACCTGGTTTCATGGCTGTTGCTTGTGTCCCATTTCCATATATATTTTATAGATACGGCGAAGCTATTAGAGCCAGGTGTCGATACGCAGCACAGGCGGAGGCTGCTCTACAGGCTCTGCGAACTTCGAATGTCGCTGCATCATCTGAGACGGCACCTGATGCAGATTCAAGAATCTCCAATGTGACTACCTCATCTGAGACAGCGCGCACTGCAGAGGGTGAGGCTTGAAAACTTACAATATGGATATAGAGATTTATTACTATATGAATACTTATCTGTTACACCTGAAAAAGTATGCATCCATACTTCAATATCTAGCACATATAGAGTAATTAATTATAAAGTTCTTTTAACAACAACTCGGCTACATGAGTGCCCAATCCTTATTGATATAATTCATGCCTAAAACATAAATCAAGTAGAGCCGCAATCTTCGCTATCTAAGATGAGATCTTTTTGTTCTCCCACCACTTTCATGGCCACTATCTATATCTACGTGGTAGCTATCAGTATGAACAAAGGCCCATTCACCCACAGATTGGATCCCCAAATCTATCCAAACGATAAGCTTTCAAAGATTGTAGTGCATGTGGGAAGATACGAAGTGCCTGTGAAACTCTATCTGCGTCATTTTACCAACACCGGTGCTTATTTTGCGTCGGGAAATATGACACGTATGGGGAGATCACATACGAGCTTTGCAACCTGGCAACAAGACTACGATGATATATCGTTTATCCGCGTCCAGGGTATGATAACACCCGAAAGGATTGCATGAAAAGCGCCCTGAAGCGGAAGGATTGGAATCCTGGATAATTATCCCGAAGGAAGAGGATTAGTTTAGATCAGAATGTGATGCCGGGCTACCAGGGTACATAACTGACTACCGGGGAGATAAGATGACAATCCTGTAGCGCTCGAATCAGGTTATCAAACGAAAAGCAAGCATTGTAGATTCCCCTAGAATTTCCAGATCAGCCGGATACCGCTTTCAGTAATAATTTTATCCTGCATCCAGTTCCTTTCGAACCGAGCCAGGGGCGTCGCTTTACCAGTGCGGCCTAGCGTTCGATGATAAGCCTCCAAGAGAGCTTCCCAAACACCAAGTTTCAGGACTGAAAAGCGAGATACTGACAGTAAACCTGGCGTATTGCGTTTTTCCCCAGAGGCTTGTGGAATGTAAGCTGACTTTGAGTCAGATAGGCTAATCATGTTGGGTAGGAGGCCAGGTCCCCTCCCTTGGTCTTATCGCGAATTAATCTTTGAAAGTATTCCGAGATTGTCATTTTGGGCGGCTGTGCTGTTTCACGGGTTTCTATATGAATTGACTTGAGAAGTGCCTCACCGCAATGGTACCTTGGCGTATTGATCCAAGCAAGAGTTTATCTGAGAAAAAAAATAGTAGACTGAGGACAACAGCCACCATCCATATTTAGAAAGATGCCGTCCTCATCACCATACCCGGCTCTCATCACCGCCTCATCCGCCGACAATGAAGCCACAGCTAGCCTAGACCTACCCAGAATCCTGTGCCTCCACGGCGGCGGCACCAACGCACGCATATTCGCAGCTCAGTGCCGCGTGTTGCGAGCAGCTCTGTCTTCGACCTTCAGACTCGTCTTCGCGGAGGCGCCGTTCCCGTCTCGGCCGGGACCCGATGTTGTCTCCGTCTACGGCACATGGGGTCCCTTCAAGAGCTGGCTACGCCTCCAAGACGACGATGCCCCCGGCCTAGACAGCGTAGACATTGTCGAAGCCGTCGACGCTAGCCTTGCCGACGCAATGATCGGCGACGATGCCCTTGGCGCCACGGGCCAGTGGGTCGGCCTGCTCGGCTTCAGCCAGGGGGCCAAGATGGCCGCCAGCCTGCTCCTCCGGCAGCAAGCTCGAGCCACCTTCAGCCGGCATTCCAGAATCTCCACGTTCCGTTTTGCCGTCCTGTTCGCCGGCCGAGCGCCCCTGGTTGCCTTGGACAATAGCCTGCAGTTGGTGGGAGGGTACCTGGCAGATGCGGTTCAAATAAGCAGTTCAGCGTGGCGTCCCCCCGCTAAGGATCTGGGACGCGCCGCCAGCAAGGATAGCCATGCCGCCGTCAGCCCCAGTGAAGGCTTCTGGGATCCGAGTGTTGCGAATAAGCTCTCCATGGTTGATGACGACGACCATCTGCTGCGGCTGCCCACAATACATGTCCATGGCCTGAGTGACCCGGGGCTGCTGTTGCACCAGGATCTGCTGGAGCACTTTTGCTCGGAAGAGAGCGCAACCGTCGTCGAGTGGGGAGGGCCTCATAGGATGCCGATCAAAACAGCTGATGTTCAGAAAGTTGTCACCGAGATGTACCGAATAGCCGCAGAAAGTGGTGCTATTGGAGAATACGACTTTTTATAAGATACGTGGAATTGCGTCTAGTGCTTATGTCTGGGGGTATCTGCCAATTTGTAAAAACGCAGGTCATAAAATAGATAAATAGATAAGAATAATAACACATGTACAAATAGCAAATTGAACGCAATCTTTATAAATTCTCATTAATTCAAGCCTAGTTTGATGAAGAAAGATGTCGCGACTTTGACATGTGGTGTGATCAGCTGCATAGTAATTAAGGCTTGCCTAATTGGGCCCATTGCCCGATTAGGCAGTCCAACATGCCAAGTACTTTTTCACTTTCGAGAAAGCTAAACAGTTTGCAAAGCAAGTCATGTCAGGTCCTTAGTTCATCTCACATTTAGGCAGTGTGGTAAATAATTGTTGTTGCATAAGTACTTCGCTTTTCGGCTAATTAAAAATCGAACTTGATCTTTAGTTTATCCCCATCCACAATGTCATCCTTCTTTGCCATCAGCTCTGGCAAATCCCAAGTGCAATTAATGTAGCGTCCACCGAGCCAAGGGCGATGCTCCGCGGTAAGATAGACAAGCGAATGAGCGCTCAGATTGGGGCTGTCAGTGTAAACTAAGGAGATGAAACAACGTCTGTCAGCCAATGCATCATATTTGATGTCGAGAAGAAGTCTTCGTCTCTCTATAGAGAAAAAAACCATGTGCTGATTGCCGTGGAGTCAATCTGCGGGGCGAAAGTGTACGCAAGGCACAACATAAGCAGGGACCACTTACTGGATTTATGGAAGTCGTCTAGCTCTCCCGGTCCCATAATCTCGGTTGGAACGTTTCCGGGGTGTATAGAAAATACCGTCACACCACTTTCTGAGTACTCTCTGTTTAGCAATTGTGATAGGCGGACTAATCCCAACTTCGATGTCTGATATGCGCTGAGCATAGGGTTGACCAAATGAGCCCCAACGCTGGCAACATTGATCATGTAGGAATGATCTGCCTCGAGGAGCAGTGGCAACATTGCTCGTGCCACAAGGTAGGGACCGCGCAGATTAACTTCCAAGACATTCCACCACTGCTGTGGGTTAGAATCCGCAATCTTACCAAAGTTGCCTAGCACGCCCGCGTTGTTGATGACCACATCGAGGCGGCCAACCTGCTTCCTAATAACTTCTGCTGCAGCCACCACAGTGGTCTCGTCTCTGACATCCAGATGAAGTGCCTGGAAATGGGGGGCCGGGCGTCCGTGGGCAAGGGCTGTTGCCAGCACTTCATCAGCCAGCACCGTCATGTCCCCCCGGGCAGCAGCAAAGATGAACGAGGCGCCTGCCGCAGCGAACCCCAACACTATGGCTTTGCCCAAACCACGAGATCCGCCAGACACAAACACGGCTTTGCCAGCAAAGTCGAAATTAGAAGGGTTGATGCTCTCATAGGAGTCGCAATGAACAGTGCCGGTCACATCGTAGTCACCTACAAAAATTCCGTATCAAGTTAGAGAATACCACATTACCCACGGCATCAATTACTACATGTTCCAACGTCTACAAGTATTGTGGAAACTCTGATAGCTTTTTAGGCACTAAATGACATACCGGGACCTTCCAGAATGTTTCCTGGTGTGCCTCTAGGCGGTGGCATTTTGTTTGCGTATCGAGGGCAGAGCAAACAAGTAGAGCAAGCGAAATTTGTAGTTGACGTATTAAGAAGTAGGAAGTTATTACTGGTCAGACTGACTGAGTAGGGTCAACAGCCTTAATGATCTCAGGGGGAAAGAGTGTCTTTAAGCTATAACCCTTACATTCCGCCTCTTACATTGCTGGTTTAGTTTAATGGCTCTTTATTATGCTAGTCCTGACTCTGTCTCTGAAAACACAGTGTAACCTCGCTATATACATACATACTGCAGCTCATGTAGCTAGACCCAAGATCCCATGGACTAATCCCATGGACTACCAAAGATAGTATTATGATGCACTTACTACAAATAGTAATTACTGTAGGAACTGTGATGTAATACCTTTACAGTTTAGCTTGTTTCATCACGACTAACACATGTTTGTGAGATCTTGAATAGGCAGTTCCTTATACTAGTATCTCGGCTGATATTTATTCCATCTTCTGGGAAAACTGATCTATAAGGACTTGCTTGATCTGCGTGAGAAGCCCCTGTATCGTATGTGACTCGTAAAAAGCCTCATTATAGACAAGATTCAGCTGCAACTGGCCCCTGAACATCCACACGAAGCAGTACGTATGGCGTGTCAAGGTCTCTACACCAACGCTGACACGAAGCACTTCCAGCCCACGTGTATTCGCGATGTCATCCTCATATCCCTGCTTCTCTGGTTCCGGACCGGGGTCTTGGTGGATCGGGTCCACCAAGACCGTTGCATCTCCAACGCTGGAGATATCGATGCCGCTAGGCAATCCTCCACTCTGCGCGGCAGCACTAGTTGTGGATGAAGGCTGAGGTGGATTCCGCAGGCGCTCCAGCACGAGATTGGCATACGCCCTGCGAGCAAGGAGGAATTCCCTCGACAGCGATGAAGCGTATTCCTTCTCAAACAGGGCCGCATACTCGCCCCACGGCCGCCCCTCCTCCACAGCAACAAACCACCCAGACGTGTAGAGCGCTGCATAAGACGCCGGGGTGCCGCTCACCTCTGACACCGCTTCTCGCAAACTCCTCCTGATAGTACTTGTGTAGCGCCGGCAGTCAGTTTCTCCTCCAACTTGATTGTCTCCGGATGACGCTGCTTCAAAGGCAACTACCGCTATAGATGCATGAAGTGCCGCCTCAAAGCCAAGACCCTGGGCTTTGCACCCGAAGATGATGGCTTCCGTCTCCGTTCGCGATAGGCGAATCGTCTCACCTCGCGTCCCCCGGGCCTTGGTGGCTGCATCGCCAAGATACGACAGTCCGACGGCGCCTACAGCCAGTGCCGTGGTGGCAAAACATCGCGCGGCTTCCGCCACAACCGCTGCGGGCGCTGGAGAGGGAGGGACCAGGAGTGCCTCTTCAACGCTCACGGGCAGCCTGGAGACTTCGTCCCCCCATGCCAGATTGCCAGGGTCCTTAGTGCCATCGCCTATGGCAGCCAATTGCAGGAAATCGTTGAGGAGCTGCAGAGCACCGTAGCCATCAGTGCGCCAGTGAGCCGTGTGTAAGATGACGGTGTCGTGGCCTTCAAGGTAATGCAGAGTTGCCTGTGGAGTTGGAGAAAGCCTGGCGATGACATCCCCTGCGGTGGTTTTGCCATCGTCCTTGACAAGCACAAACGTTTCACCAGCCCACTTCTCAAGGGCTGGCCTGTCTGGAACAACATATTCGAGCAGCTCGCCATTGAAGACGGTAGCTATCCCGGGATGTTGGAATCGGAAAGCCATCCATGCCTCCCTAAGTATCGTAGCAATATCCGCCTCTTGCAGGGACCCTAACAATTTGAAGGAGGCCTGAGAGGTTACAGACCAGTGTTCCCTCCCCAAAGCCTTTCCAGTATCGCCCATCAACTTAATCATCAGCTCATTCTCTCCAGCCCGCCGTTGGAAGTGGTATGCGGAAGTTGCCGCCCAAGCCATGGCTTGATAATTGGTGCAGGGTTAGAAAGCTGATAACAAGAGACGGAACAGGAATAAACTCGAATTTCGATTAGAGGGTGTGTTTCCAAGCGATTGTAGTATGACACAGTGCTCTTCTACCAGTATATATATGAAATAAATAACACATTAATCTACATAAGAAAGTATTCTCTACAACTTAGGTTACATACCTAGGCAAACTAACTCCTTCCAACTGTAGATAACGGCGAGTTAAAACTTTTGAAACTCTGTAAGCCAGGGTGTCCCTTTTAAGGCGTCTACATGTAATCTAGACCCAAGAAATGAGACCGACCAACCGAATACTACAACTGCTTCAACCTTATTTTTATTGGGCCGACTAAGGCTATCTGATACATGCACACGGAGGGCGTGTGTTTTGGGCACCGGTTACATTGAAGTGGGAACATGCACATGTACCTAGCTATGGACGCGAATTGCCAAGAAACGCCGCAATAGGCAATTACCAGATATTGCCTACGGGAGAAATACAACGTCCAATTGCAAACCCAAGTTTTCTTCGAGAACAGCGACAATCTTGCGCAAAACTTCTAAAGCTCTCTCCCCCTCGTGGTAGGCCTGGTTGTAGTTGATCGACAAAGAGAGTTGTCCTTTGAAGGTCCATGGATACAGGAGCATTTGGCGAGTCACAAGGCTGACTCCAAATTGAAACCCATCTACATGAATCGCCACATCCCCGTTGGGACCGGAATACTTTCCTCGCAGGTGCTTATCAATGACACCCAAGCTGCTCAGCGTTATGCCACTTGGTAGCCGGGTATTCGTCACGGCCGGGCCTTTTGCGAACAGTTTCTGCCCATGGTACAAGTACCTCAGCCTAAGCGTCTTCACCAACATGTCGCTGTACCAATTCTTGTAGTAGTGCGTCAATTCTGAAGCCCTATCCATGAAACTGCTCTCCCTGAGTACCACAGGAGTGAGGCCAGTAACGTAAGTTGCACAAGCGTGTGTCCTCCCGTTGTAGGGCTGGGGCAAGTAGTCGCGGAGGTTTGCAGATAGAACAGTAGAATAATCCTTGCTTGCGTCTTCTGGAAGAGCCAGAGCAAACGCCGTCTCAGAAAGCGCAGCATGAAGAGCAGCCGTGACGCTGATGCCACGGGCTTTACAGGCGGCGACAAGGGCTCCTGTTGATGCCTGAGAAAGGGCGAGAGCCTGCCTGCAGGAGTCCATTGGTGCGGTTTCCGCGGATCCCTTGTAGGGGAGGCCGATACCCTGCACAGCGACACGATGGTGAGTCTCCATGGCGTCACGAACGTAACGATCCATGTCTGGAGAGCATTGGGCGGGTTCAAGTGACCCACAAGCGTCTTCCAGACTGGGGGACAGGTTCTTCCACTCGTTCTCCCAGTCGAATGATGAGTCGATATGTGAGGGTTGGTACATGGCGACGATTTCGAAGAGCCGGTCGAGTAGCATGCAGGTCCCGAGGCCGTCGATGCGCCAGTGAGAGGACAAGAACAGCACATGGCAAGACTTGGGGAAATAGTATAGCCTCGGCAAGTCATATGGGCCGGCCGCAGCTCGAATAATGCTTTCCGGGCTCTGATCATGTTCGACGATGAACGTCTTGCTCGCCCAGTCTTCGACGTCTTGCACGCTCCGCGGAGTCGTATAAACCTTGCCAGAGCCATCTGGGACCACGCTGAGGGCGGGAAACTCAAATCTCAGCCGTTTCCAAGACGTTTCGAGCGCTGTTGCCAAATCAAAGGCTTCGAAGCCCTCGCCTAAGCGGACCTCGCATTGACAATAAAGACGCCATTGCTCCCTTCCGGACGCCTGAAAGGCCAACGACATGTCGCGGTAGACCTTCTCAGCTCCTTCTAGTTCCTTCCGCCACAGGCCGGGAGAGACTTCAGTCCAAGACGGGAACATGTTGTTTGATTGAGGTTCGAGAAACAAGCTGAGTGGTGGAATAGCGCTGTTGGATGAAGGCCACGAAGATTGACCTGGGAGCCGTGACGAAAAGCCAGAGAATAAAGGCAGTCTTTAAAGCAGCGCGGATTACTATGCCAACTCTTACCGGTGCTATAATAGTATTACCCTTTTTCTCACTTATATGAGCTAGGCAAAATTCAGACATTTTGGACCAAATTAGATACATGCAGCTACTGTTTACTTCAACATGCACTCTGCGTCACTCTATTCATGTACTTTCAAGTCATAGTGAAGGTTGATACCAAGATTGTAGCCAAGATCAAATTCCAAAAACTATTTAAATTTTGCTAGAGCCAGTACTCAGAGCGACACGACAAGCTTGCGCGCAGAGTTACCTGCTTTAGCAAGGTCACAGGCTTCTTGAATAGCCTCCAGTCCCTTGCCCACAACATACGCCTCGGGTTGGCACACAAACGTCCCTGCAGCCAATGCCTTGCCTAAGAACTGGGCGTATATGGCAGGGCCAACTTCGTTGTTTCGCAGATCACCACCAAAGATGAACTTGGACTCAATTCCTGCGGGAAGAGTCTCTGTGATTGGGTTGGCCGCGGAGACAAATTTGCTGCCCGAGACCTTTGAGATGACTTCAGCAGTCTGGGCCAGGGAGCCGTTGGCAACAGAGAGGGCGCCAGCAGACGTCTTGCCGCTAAAGGCCGCGATGAGTTGAGGGACGATGTCTGCGTCGTGATAGTCAAAGACCTGGCTGGCGCCGAGTTTCTTGAGCAGATCAAAGTTCTTGGAGGATGCCACGGCAATGACATCGTAGCCGGAAGCCCGGGCGAGCTGCACAGCCATGCAGGCGACGCTTGAAGCACCGCCCCAGACAAGCAGGGTCTTGCCAGTGGAGGAGGCCGCAGGCTCAGAGGGCAGCCCCAGGGCAAGGTGGTCTTTCTGGTAGAGACCGCAGGCAGCGGTGGAGATGCCCAGGGGCAGCACGCTGGCAGCCTCGTAGGAGATGGAGTCAGGAATCGGGGCCGCCATGAAGTCCGGGACGACGGAGTACAGTTGAAAGGCGCCCTCGGAGGGCTTGTTGTTCATCAGATTGATGGCATGGGCAACAACGCGGTCGCCGGGCTTGAACCTGGTCACGCCAGGGCCTACCTCGACAACCTCACCGGCCATGTCGTTGCCCAGGACCTGGGGGTAGGTGATCCAGTTGAAGAGATCCGGGCCCATGGCCTGGAGAGCCCAGTCCACAATGTTGATGGCAACAGCTCCATTCTTGATGACAATCTCAGAGGCAGCAGGAGCTGTGTACGGGGCCTCCTTGACCTCGAACTTGGGTGCCTTGGGAGCGGTTTGCCAAGCGGCGATGTTGCTGGGAGCCATGTTTGTAAGCGGTGGGCGAGTGATGTGGTCTGTTAGACTGCGGCTCTTTGGGATCCTGCGGGAACAGGCAGCCGAGATAGACCTATCTACATATATTCACGGCTGTCGCGATCCAGAGGCCACGCGGAGATAAAAAAACAGGATTCACTGGCGATACGGCTCGGAGGTCTGGTATCTCCAGATGCGGCAGTTCCTGTGCCATTGCCAAACGCACATGGGGACGGGGCATTCCTTCAATACTACATCATAGATGTGCCCTGGATGCGACACTGCCATTCCTTCGACGCACTGTGACCTTCAATTGCCTATCAGAGTAGGTAGGTGTCGTACGTGTACGAGGCTGAGGTGCTTCATGTCCTCCCCAGCGCTACGTGCGATACGAGCCCTCTGCTGGGTATCTACAGGGCTGCATGTAAGGCACTGACGGGGTATCTATGCAGAGCAATCGCAATATGTATCGTTGATGTTACATGGAGTGCGTGTACAAGTACATTCTATTGGCTATGCCAAACCGAGGCATATTATATGGTCGAGAGCCGTGTAGGCGATCACGATTGCACGTGTGACAGGGGCTGTATTGCCACACCTAGGTGCATGTACTGTAGTTGATAATGCATAAGGGAGGCTATGGAACAGGGAAGGGAGATATCCTTGACCAGTTTGAGGGCAAATAGAACAAACCAGCGGGCTTACCTAGGGGTGGATCTACCTAACTAATAAACAAAGGCCCTTTTTATATCCTCTAGTGCTTATACCAAGTTTTTCTCGATAAGAGTTTTATATGCTGTATTTTTTCTTAAAGTTATTTAACCAATCTATTAGTTATTAACTATTAACTCTTTTCTAACTTTGGGTAACTATGTTTCTGTTTTTCTACTTGTTTTCTATAGTTCTGTCTTGTAGTTTCTTCAATTAAAACTCTTTTTGTTAAGTACAGGTTTACAAAATGTGTATTGAGGCGTTGATTTTATTCTATTCTTTTAATAGACGTTTTCTTTTACTTTGTCTTGTAAATCTCATCTAGTAGACAGCTCTAGGGTATCTTGTGTATTTAGTCTTTCTTTTTCCCCTCATTATGTATTGCAGTAGCGCGAGGGTGACAGGGGTTGTATTGCCACAACTAGATAATGATGATAAGGCTATGGAAAAGGGAAGGCAAATATGCCTAACGGGATATGAGCTTGACTAGGGGGTGGGTGCTACTGTAAATACATGTATAGCCCTGTAAATACCCGCAGCTAACATCGAGTTGTTTAGCTTCGTAGACTGTGGGCCTTGTAGAGAAACAGATACCGTTTGTCACTTCTTGATAGCCATGTTCTATCTTGTTGCCAACAAAACACATCATGTATTGCTTACCAAGATCCACAGCTAAAGCCGAGTGGGCGAGGGTTAGAATGCAACTCGACTCTGGTTGCAGGCCTTGTACTGTAGGATCCTAGGCCTTCAAGTTCGCCTTTCCTATTATACAATAGTACATGTATATAGCATTAAAAAAGGTAGGTACTTTGAGCCATTGGGTAGGGATTTTGCGAGGGAATATAGTATTACCTCTTGTAGCTTTTGCTCCTATGCTTATGTATTATATTTTGCCACTAGCAACTGCTTATTAGTCTTTGTTCTACTGTCGTTCCTTCAATTACATTTTCAATAAGGATTTATATCCGTATCATGAGCACATTACCATCCACCAGCAAGAGGCAGAGCCAAGCATGCCAGGAATGCCGGCGACGCAAGCTACGATGCGACGGTAAACAGCCGCAATGTTCCACATGCGAGAATGCCGGCATCGAATGCAACATCGACCGTAACCGTGCACCCCGTGGCCCCAAGAAGGGCTATATCACCGCATTGCAGAACAAGATTGGTATGTCTCGCGTACTGTGCTCGGTCCAACAATGAAGAAGCCGCCAGTAAATGACTGCGGCTCCCAGCCAAAATTTGTCATGAACTGGCGCTGAACACTCTCGTTGTTTCCGCTCACTGAGACTAATAGCACCAGAAACACTCGAAAGCCGCCTTCGGGAACAAGAACAGCATCATCCCGATTGGTCGGAGAGTCTGGAATATGGCGACGAAACGCTTCATCCGGTGACATCACATCTGCCTGTGATTCTTGACTGTCTGGACGACTCTGGACTACATAGAGATCTCCTTACAATTCAATCAACTCCTCTAGCATCGGAGCTAGACACATCTATCAGCACCTATTCTGGCATCAACGTGGCATCAACGTCAATGACCCTTCCATCAGATCATACACCCGCGATATCCATATCGGAATGCGGTAGGAGTTGCAACCTACACATCACTGATCTTATGCAAGACGAGCTGTATGAAACCCCAAATCTGTCCTTGGCGGCGACTAGATCTACTAACTTCAGAAACAGGGACCAGTTATACTTTGACAGAATACATGCCGCCGTTCCCATACTGCACCAGCGAAGGTATCTTTCATGGTCAAGGCTCTCTGAAAAGACGAGGTCGCGAAGCTGCCTTCAGCATGCCGTCTGGGCGGCAGCATCGCTCGTGTCAGCGCATTTTCAGCACCTGCAGCACACACTCTACCCAGAGGTAAAGAGGCTTCTTGCTACTACAGCCCCGGCAAAGATCCCTGGTGGGCAGGATCTTGCAGTTGATGTTGAACTAGTCCAAGCGTGGGTCTTAATAACCACTTTCGAGTTCATCAGGATGTATCACTATGAAGCATGTCTTAGTGCGGCTCACACATTCCGACTTGCACAGTTAATGGGACTGCATAAAGTTGACGTTCTAGATAATCTACCTTCTATAAACGAAAGAGACTTTATTACAGTAGAAGAAAGACGCCGGGTGTTCTGGATGGCTTTTACGCTTGAAATTCTCCTTAGCATGCACAGCAACCTACCTCTGGTAGTAAACGAGCACATGGTAAGCTAGCGATTCCCCTAGAACGCTTGCATGATCCTTTTTGTGACTCATTACATCCGAGCTTCATTCTAAAATTAGATTTTAGATCACGACCCTTCTTCCCGTACCTGACCACGACTTCCAGAATGGTCAACTGACCGAGACCGGCTTTCTCCACGACCTACTAAGCAAGCGGAGCGAGACGGTCAAATGGCCATTCAATGAATGCATAATGCTTGCAGCAGTTTGCGCACGGGCATCTTCCTATTCACCGAAGAGCTTTAACCACCTTCAATCCGGTCATCAAGACGGTGACCACGTTGATCGGCAGAAATGGCTGTGCAATACCCTGATTCTGCGCCTACAGACTCTGGAAGAGGACTACCCTAGTCAGAAGAACTCATCCGACCTGTCATTGCTATTTGCCAACCTTTTGGCTCAAGCATCAATCATCTATCTTTGTGGAGAAGCTCAATCTTCAGACTGGCAAACTGGGAGCCCGGATAGTGAGAACCCCCTGCAAAACGGAAGTCATCAACTGGCGATTGGTGCTGCACAACGTATACTAGAACTTTCCCGCTCACTCATAGACTTCCCCGTCAGCAAGGTAACAAATGATTGCTGCCTTTTCCAAATCACAAAGCGGTTGTTTACTAATGTTCAATCCCAGATTCACCCTTTTACACCGATTCCTCTATGTCTCGCTGTCAGATTTCTATCCACGAAAAGGTCGAATCCTATGGCTGCCGATCTTCTACAGGGTTTGCTGGACGTACTACGTCGTTTAACAAGTGTCAGCAACGCACAGCAAAGTTACATAAACATTCTAGATAAAGCAGAGTTGGATTTGTTTCGCGGATTAACCAGTGTCAATAACGCGCAAAGTCATATAAATCTTCTACATACACACTAAAACTTGATTATATAATATTTATGACAAAGAATAAATTGTAAAAGAGGTCTTCCTAGAGTAAATAGTTTAATTCTACAGCTGTATCAATTTCTAAGGATCAGCAACTATAATAAGAGTAATCTGAAAACAAAAAACTAGTACCTCAGTTGGAGTACACAGGACAAATACAACATCAGTTTGACAAGGGGGGAGGGGGTGTCTCCAGCAATTCATTTATAATTGTGACCCTAGTACGGCAAATCTATAGATCCGAAGTTTGTGCAGGGCCGCTAAATGATTATCCGCAGTGGAGAGGTGTAGAAATAGTACCCCCGTCTCGATGAAAATGGTAACGTCGATGTCAGATCCAAGACATCTTTAGCTAAATGTAGACTATTTCCTAAATGCAGCAAGCTTTGTTTACAATGAAACCAGATACATGTAAGCCAGCAAGCCCCTGGCTGTTACGTTCTATGTTAACACGATTGCTGCACGATGAAGCCAAGGGAAGCACTTGTAGTAAGCGGGCTGCGGCTACATCTGGAATGGATCCTGTAGGAGCTGTAGGGTTTAGACGCTTAAGGGATGCATATTGCCAAATCTAATACCCTGCTGACGGGACTCATTCGGCGATCTTCATGCTGAATACCTATGCTTTATTAGGTACGCCCTGGCTAGGTCCTGTCGCCCGTCTTCTACGCCTAAACGTATACGGTACGGATACGGCAGCAGCAGTAGTAATAATGGTGTACTGGGATTGTAGTAATAAGCCTGGATCATACGAGTACACGTCGGGTACTTGGTATGTCTGTGCCCTGATACGCAAGGAGCTGCAGCCAACTCAGCGCGGAATGTCGGCAAATCTATACAAAGGGGTGTATACCTAGTCAGCTTGACTAGGTATGAGATGTTGAGGCTTCATATCCCCTCGGAAATAACTTCCTTGTTTGGGTATGGACTCTTTTACAGTAGGGAACATGAATTCAGATACCTGGGATCTCATAGTACAAGGCCCACAGCTAAGGTCGAGCCACGGTATGACCTCGCAGAGACTTGATAACTCGACTTTAGCTGCGGGCCTTGACTTTGGCTGTGGATCTAGGTAAGCAATCGTATATCTTTTAGTAAACTGTATATAGAAAATGTTTACACAGCATCGATAAATGACAATTGGTATTTCACAAGGCCTGCAGCCAAAACTGAATTTGTAAGAGAATCCGGTATAATCCGAGCCACAGCTAAAGATTCCACTTCTACACGTGGATAATCAAGGGTCTGATCTGCCTATAACGTGAAATATCAGTTGTGACGTGACATATTCGGTTATCATACTACTACCGTGACATTTGTTGTAAGCTTAATTGAGTGGCATGAGAAGTATCTCAAGCGGATACCGAAAATACGGAGCATAAACTCCCCAGACCAATATTCACATGCAGATTACTTCAGTCTATGTGCACAATCCTCTTGCAAACTAGGTATCTTGATATCCCTGGAAATGGATTACGCTCAATCGTCTCACCCATACGTCCGTCTGCCCGGCGGGACAACATATGCCGGGTATCCAGATAGTGAACCTCAAGTAGACCCCTATGACTATGTTTCCGGATGTAAAGCATATCAAGGCAGTCCTTCCCACTCCAGATTGGGCGTAAATCACACCCACATCTTCTTCAACAGGAGTGAACCCATAGTGGCTCTATTCAAAAATGTCGACTAGTAACGCCGCCACTGTTCTCTTATTTGGGCCACAGTGCCTATCCTTTGACTCAGAGGCCCTCACGCAGTTGAGGAGCCTAGTAGTCGAGAGTCACAGTAGCGTATGGCTTGACACAATTAGCGAGCTTCCAAGTTACTGGAAAACGCTTGTCAGTAAATTCCCTGCTCTTGCCGCTCTCGGCGGTGGCGATCAGCTCCAGGAGCTCAACACGTTCTTCAAAACCGGAACAATCACACCCGCTCTTATTCAACTCCCCAATGTCGTCCTGACTCCCATCGTGGTCCTTACGCACCTGGCACACTACGTGAGATATGTTGAGCAACAGGTCTCTTCAACAGGTGGCGATGCTGAAGATGTCTTTGCCTCTTTCGCACAATGTCACATTGAAACCCTTGGCTTCTGTACAGGCCTTTTGAGCGCTTTTGCTGTCGCAAGCTCGTCCAACCGCTCCGAACTTCAGCAATATGGCGCTGCAGCAATTCGCCTCGCTATGCTTGTTGGGGCCATAGTTGATGCTCAAGAAGCTCCTGGAAGCGCTTATGGTCCATCTGAACTCTTTTCTGTCTCATGGAATACCCCTGAAACGGGAGACAAGATCAAAGAAACACTTGATCTCTTTCCAGAGGTAAGACCAAAAATATCAACAGACAAGGTTCTCAACAAGTACTAATCTAAATCTCTTCAAGGCTTACATCTCTGTCTCATACGATGAGCGCAGAGCAACGGTCACCACTGCCGAGAGCACTGCTGCTGCATTGCAACAGAAGCTTAGGGAGGCTGGAGTTACGGCCATGCTCGTAGGTCTCCGCGGGCGGTTCCATCACTCGTGCCATGCTGCCGACCTCGACTCTGCCATTGAGTTCTGCGCGTCTCATCTGGCTTTCCAGTTCCCCAGCACTTCTCAGATTGCCATTCCTATACGTTCAAACTCAGATGTTGGATGCATCAAGGAGGGCAAGTTACACGAGATCGCCCTTAGAGCAATCCTTGTCGACCATTGCAACTGGTATGCGGCTTTGTCAAAGATGTACAACAGCTTCTCTGACCCCCAGTCACTGTCCCTTGTATCATTTGGACCGGAGCGGTTCGTACCGCCGTCCATTGCTCGCAAGCTCGGTCAGCGGCTGAATCACGTCGCTGACACCAGTCTTGTTTCCTCCGTTTCGCCAGTTTTGGGCAAACATCAGCAGGTGGTATCACAGGACAGCATTGCGGTTGTTGGAATGGCTTGCAAGACTGCTGGTGCTGATGATGTTGCGGAACTCTGGGACATCCTATGCAAGGGGGAGTCACAGCACGTTGAGGTCACCCCGGATCGTGTTTCTTTCCAAACCCAGTGGAGAGACGTAGATCCCAAGCGAAAGTGGTTTGGAAACTTCATTCGGGATCCTGATGCTTTCGACCACAAATTCTTCAAGAAAAGCCCCAGAGAGGTATCTTCGTCGGATCCCCAGCAACGGCTGTTGATGCAAGTGGCCTACCAAGCTGTCGAACAATCTGGCTACTTCAACAAGGGGCAACCTGATAAGTCGGTTGGTTGTTATATCGGAGTCTGTTCAACCGACTACGAGAATAACGTTGCCTGCTACGCCCCGAATGCATTCTCGGCAACAGGAAACCTACGAAGTTTCATCGCTGGCAAGGTCAGCCACTACTTTGGCTGGGAAGGGCCTGCCATGACTCTTGATACCGCATGTTCAGCCTCTGCTGTTTCTATTCATTTGGCTTGTCAGGCCATCCTCAGCGGCGAATGCACCAGTGCCCTCGCCGGCGGCACCAATATCATGACGAACCCCTTGTGGTTCCAAAATTTGGCTGGAGCGTCTTTCCTAAGCCCAACGGGTTCCTGCAAGCCCTTTGATTCTAAGGCTGATGGCTATTGCCGAGGTGAAGGTATCGCCGCCGTGTTTCTGAAGAAGATGTCCCTGGCCATTGCAGATGGTGATCAGATCATTGGCTGCCTAGCAGCGACTGCTGTCAACCAGAATCAAAACTGTACACCTATATTCGTGCCTAATTCACCATCCCTATCCAATGTCTTCCAAACTGCCATGACTCGTGCCGGACTCGAGCCAGCACAGGTGACGGTCGTGGAAGCACACGGCACTGGAACCCCGGTTGGTGATCCTGCAGAGTATGAAAGCGTGAAGAAGGTCTTTGGAGGACCCATCCGCTCGGCGCCTCTTTATCTGAGCTCCATCAAGGGCTTGGTCGGCCACACTGAGTCGGTATCTGGTGTTTTGTCACTGATCAAAATTCTTCTCATGATCAAGGAGGGCTATGTCCCTCCTCAAGCAAGCTTCCAGTCGATGAGCCCCCATATTCATGCTTCGCCGTCCGACATGATTGAAGTGCCAACCAGCTTGAAGCCCTGGAAGAATGAGTTTCGAGCAGCTCTCATCAACAACTACGGTGCCTCTGGGTCTAATGCGTCCATGGTTGTCACGCAAAGTCTACCAGCCCAAGACCAGCTTAGTGGTGCCGCTCCCATTCACGCCACCAATATCAAGCATCCTTTCTGGCTCAGTGGGTATGATGAAAAAAGCATTCGTCAATATGCCGGCAAGCTTCTAGCTCTCCTAAAGTCTAAAACGACTCCTGGCAAAGCTGCGCCTGCTGTCTCTCAGCTTGCTTTCAACGTCTCTCGACAATCGAACCGATCTCTGCCGCACAAAGTCATCTTCACTTGCGGTTCCACTACCGAGCTTGAGAATACCCTTTCTAAACTCAACAGTGGCAAGTCGAGTCTCTCCATCAGCCAAAAGAAGCCGGCGAGACCCGTGGTCTTGTGCTTCGGAGGTCAAGTTTCTACCTTTGTCGGACTCGATCGACAGCTGTATGACAACGTGAAGCTCCTCCGGACATATTTGGATCAGTGTAACTCTGCTCTCAAGTCCATCGGGTTGGATGGCATCTATCCCGAAATCTTCCAGCGCAGCCCCGTCGAAGACACTGTTAAGCTGCAAACAATGCTTTTCGCTATGCAGTATTCCTGCGCCAAGTGCTGGATTGACTGTGGTATCGAGGTTGCTGCGGTGGTCGGCCATAGCTTCGGAGAGATCACTGCTCTCTGCATCTCTGGAGTTTTGTCTCTTCAAGACACCGTGAAACTCGTTGCTGGTCGTGCGCGTATTGTGCGGGACACTTGGGGCCGAGACTCTGGTGCCATGATGGCCGTTGAGGCCGACCTTGATGTTGTTACCGGCCTACTAAACGAGGCTAATAAAGGCTGCGAGGCCATCGATACGGCTTGTATAGCATGTTTCAACGGACCACGTAGCTTTACACTCGCGGGGTCGTCCAAGACTATGGACAGGATTCAGGAGATTCAGTCTCAGAACACGGCTTTTGCCGCTATGCGGACGAAGAGACTCAATGTTACTAATGCTTTCCACTCGGCTCTTGTTGAACCCCTTGTCGAAAACCTGGAACGGGTTGGCGAGGACCTCACATTCAAGGAGCCTCACACTCCCATGGAGAGGGCCACTGAGGCGAAGACGACTAGTACGCCAACTGCCAAGTTTACTGCGGAGCATATGAGGTTCCCTGTTTACTTCAACCACGCGGTGCAGCGCCTTGCCCAAGATTTCCCATCTTGCATCTACCTTGAGGCGGGCTCTAGCTCAACGATAACCATCATGGCCAGCCGAGCTCTTGGAGCCCCCTCAGAGTCTCATTTCCAAGCCATGAGCCTTACCAGCGACAATGCTCTCCAGAGTCTGGTGGATGCCACTGCAAACCTCTGGAAAGAAGGCGTCCCCGTTCAGTTCTGGGGACACCATTCTGTGCAAACGCGCGAATATGACACTATTCTCTTGCCTCCGTACCAATTCGAGAAGTCAAAGCACTGGCTCGAAATGAAGATTCCATCCAAGGCAATTGAAGGGGTTGCCGCCGTTCCTCAGGCGAAGGCTATTGACCTGCCCAAGGGCCTTTGGACATTTGTGGGCTATCAGGACAAGAAACAAAAGGTGGCTCGCTTTGTCATCAATACTGAAGTCCCCGAATATCAGGAATTCGTTTCAGGACATACCATTGCCGGGACTGCGCCCATCTGCCCTGCAACCCTCGAGGTCGACATGGCAATTGAAGCTCTCAGTAGCATCCATCCTGATCTCTTCACCTCGGGATTCCTTCCTCAAATTCAGCGAGTCGACAACCAGGCTCCTATCTGCATCGATCCCTCCAGAGTTGTCCATCTGGACTTTGAAGCTGCTGATGCAGATGGCAGAGTTTGGGATTGGAAGATTGTCAGTAGCCATCTAGCAAAGTCTGGTGGTACTATCCTGCATGTTACCGGAAAGATTACTTGGCGTTCTAAGCAGGATGCTAATTAC